CTATGTCTGGCGCAAACCCAACACCTCTCGTCACCCCGAGAACACCATCCCCACAGTGAAGCATGGTGGTGGCAGCATCATGCTGTGGGGATGTTTTTCATTGGCAGGGACTGGGAAACTGGTCCGAATTGAAGAATTGAAATACAGGGAAATTCTTGAGGGAAACCTGTTTCAGTCTTCCAGAAATTTGAAACTGGGACGGAGGTTCACTGGAGGACAATGACCCTAAGCAAACTGTTAAAGCAACACTTGAGTGGTTTAAGGGGAAACATTTAAATGTCTTGGAATGGTCTAGTCAAAGCCCAGACCTCAATCCAATTGAGAATATGTGATATGACTTAAAGATTGCTGTACACCAGCAGAATCCATCCAACTTGAAGGGGCTGGAGCAGTTTTGACTTGAAGAATGGGCTAAAATCCCAGTGTCTAGATGTGCCAAGCTTATAGAGACATACCCCAAGAGACTTGCAGCTTTTTTTGTCTTATTTCTTGTTTGTTTCACAATAAAAAAAAGTTGCATCTTCAAAGTGGTAGGCATGTTGTGTAAATCAAATGATACAAACCCCCCAAAAATCTATTTTAATTCCAGGTTGTAAGGCAACAAAATAGGAAAAATGCCAAGGGGGGTGAATACTTTCGCAAGCCACTGTATCTAACCATAACAAACATAACATATAATACCAAATCGTAGTGTCCCAGTCCCCGGATTTACATTTACTATGTTACGTCTAGTCTATGAGACCAGGCTGGCTAGCGGGTCACAGATCAGCCCAAATGACAGATCAGCCTCTCTCTTTCACTCTTAGGTGTGGTGCTGGCTCTGGATGCATGTGCCTACGTGCTACTGGGCCTTGTCATCCTGCTGATCAAGAGGAAGCTCCAGAGAGACCAGGAGTCAGCTGAGGGTGTGGAGCTTGAAAAACACCCAGCCATGGGGCTCTATAAGCAGGGTAAAACAGACTTGATGAGTTTGGTTGGAGCTGCACACAGGAACCACAGCGAGAGGTTCCATCTAAGAGAACCCTGCTGGAGAGTTCCATGGTCGTCTCTATAGTGATTGGATCGCTGTGGTTCCTGTGGTGCGTTAATTCCAGGTTGTAAGGCAACAAAATAGGAAAAATGCCAAGAGGGGTGAATACTTTCGCAAGCCACTGTACGCGTTCATACAACACAGATGTAAGAATCGAGGCTACAGGGCTGCTGAAAGCGGTAACAGACCCCGGCTTTAAGTTTACAGCCACCATGGTGCACAGAAACCTGTCTTCTCGATCCCCCAAACAAATTATTCCAGTCAAAAGCAACTAACAAATATCATACGCCCCAAAAATGCTAACCTCCCCTATTATTGGTGAGAGGTTAGCATGTCTTGGGAGTATGATATTTGTGCGTCTGTAACTTTCTCATTCATCAATATTCACGATTCATTCAGGACTATCCGTAATCATGGTAGCACCACATTAATGTAGAAGTGTTTAGCAACATATTCAATTCTTATTTACAATAAAGGTTACTCCACAATGACACAATACATTATTTACCATTAATTTCTATTGGGAACAAAATAATCTGAAACACAAACAAAACAAACAGCAAATGCATCCAATACATTTGTAGAGTCACACGCTTGATGTAATCATTGAGTGCTAGGAATATGGGACCAAATACTAAACTTTTGACTACTTCAATACATATATAAGTGAATTTGTCCCAATACTTTTGGTCCCCTAAAATGGGGAGACTATGTAGCCTACAAAAAGTGTTGTAATTTCTAAACGGTTCACCCGATATGGATGAAAATGCTCTCACATTAAAGCTGACAGTCTGCACTTTGAACTCATAGTCATTGTACAATTTCAAATCCAAAGTGCTGGAGCAAAGAGCCAAAGCAAAAATAATGTGTCACTGTATTGTGCCATATCACAACGTGTTGCTGTACTCATGAGTAGCATGATTTCTTTGTTTACTGTGTTTGTTTACTGTTAATGTAACTAGCCTAAATATAGATTGTGTCATGTTTTTATCGATCTGATATTTTGTTTACTAAGCCTACTTGGTACCGCTGTTTTGTTCTGTTCGCATTCATTCATTCGCATTTGCAGTTATGTCAGTATTCTAAGCCAAAATTCAGTATTTTTGTTTGCATGCATGAATAATTAGGCTACTACTTTCAGCATTTAGTTTGCATTATTATGGTAAAACAGTAGGGCGCTGTCCATTGTTCTGATACAGCGCAGCAGAGATAGGCTACAGATTTCTCGCCAACCTGTCACTTAAAAGCATTCAATCAATGATCTCGGAGTCTCGGCATTTGAACTTTATGTTTATTGTGGTATAGCTTACAAAGTTATGCAAGTTTTTTACACTAATTGAAATCAGAATACAGTAGCATACTGTCATTTTATAGAAATAACACTTTCATGTTGTTGTATATACTTTAGGCAAATATATTCTTGGCAATACACTAAGTGGCCAGTTTATTAGGTACATCCATCTAGTATCGGGTCGGACCCCCCTTTGCCTCCAGAACAGCCTGAATTCTTCGGTGCATGGAAACGTTGCTTAATTGGTATCAAGGGACCTAACGTGTAGCAGGAAAACATTCCCCACACCATTACACCAATGCCACCAGCCTGTACCGTTGACACCAGGCAGGATGGGGCTCATGCTGCTTATGCCAAATCCTTACTCTGCCACTCCTCAATTGTCCAGTGATTGCGTGTCCACTGGATACGTTTTTTCTTGTTTTTAGCTGATAGGAGTGTGGTTGTCTGCTGCAATAGCCCATCCATGACAAGAACCGACTAGTTGTACTGCGCTGTTATTTGCCTGTTTGTGGCCCACCTGTTAGCTTGCACGATTCTTGCCATTCTCCCATGACCTTTCATCAACGAGCTGTTTTCGCCCACAGGACTGCCACTGACTGGATGTTTTTTGTTTGTCGCACCATTCTCGGTAAACCCTAGACAATGTCTTGCGTGAAATGCCCTGAGATACTAGAACCGGCGCACCTGGCACTGACGATCATACCACGCTCAAAGTCACTTAGGTCACTTGTTTTACCCATTCTAAAGTTCAATCGAACACTAACTGAATGCCTCGATGCCTGTCTGCCTGCTTTATATAGCAAGCCACTGCCACGTGACTTACTGTCTGTAGAAGCAAACCATTTTCGTGAATGGGGTGGTGTACCTAATAAACTGTATATTTATAGCCAATCTCCATTATGTCCACAGACTTGGTGATGCAGCAGGAACTTCAGGTAGCTAGCAACCAAAAGGTTGTGAGTTCAAATCCCAAGTGAGGTTGAGGCCCAAGTAATCAGCATACAACAGCATACTGTTCTTTAACATTAACACCTTAATTTAACTGTAAGAAATACAGTAACTTGTTGTAGATCTACTGTATTTTCACTGCAACCAGTGCTTGACTTGGGCAGGAGCTCAACTGAGCTGAGTACCGGCTCCTCAAATGTTCTACTGCTTGAGCTCCTGCACCTCTTATAGAATATTAGCTCAAAAATATTATGGAACTCCTGCACCTAAATGTAAACAGTATCGGCACCCAAAATGAGTACCGGCACCTATTTCAGTCCAAGTAAAGCACTGACCGCAACTAGACAAAAACCTCCAGGGGACCATGACACAGTGTTCTAAGAACGTTCTAAACATTTTCTTGGGGACGTCCCTGTAACAAACCGGGAAGAAGACAAAACCTGCAGGGGACCATGACTGTTTAAATAAAATGTATGTCAATTATGCCTTTTAAAATAAAATATTCTCATTGACATTTGACACCTGGGTTTTCACATGTGCTAAAATGTTGTCACATGTGTAGGTTCGTGGTATCACATGTTAAAACATGAGATCATGTTTCCAAATATGCTCACCCACACCCTGATCCCCAAATAAAGGATAGCCCCCTACAAAGGTCATTGTGGCCCAAGAGTTTAGGTTGAGAAGGAATTCAATCGGAGGGGCTGAAATTGAAACTGTCAGGGTGGTGGTAATGTTGGTTTGTATGCATGACAGATTGCCCAGCCACTCTCCCTATATTGATGGGGGGAAACTAGGGCATTCCTTATCACTGTTTCTGCAATGTTTTCTTTTTCCAAAGTAGTTTTTCTCATTCTGAAGGTTTTTATTTCTGTCTGGATGCCTCCACTCTCTATTTATATAACTAGTGATGCATGCTGGTGGCATCACTGTTTTGCTAGAGGAGAGACAGCCATTGATTGAACTGTCCCAATTTTGAAAATAATAAACATATAGTTTGAATATTCTGAAAATATTCTGGAGTAAAACATGCATGCTTTGCTAGTAGAGAGTTTTTTTCAATTTGCAAAGGAGTAAATCCTTATTCCCTGTCCTTTACGATCCAGTATTTACAGGTTTCTCTCTGCATAATGAAATGTACTTTTGACCTAGCAGCTTGCCATAGTTTGGTTACAAACAAGGAAGTGCATTACGTTGAAAATTCAGAGCAACAAACTAGTGAATGAAATGCATTTAAACACTGTATTGCTAGATTATTTTACATAAAACAATTTGGCTGTATACAGTGCAGTCCAGTAGAAACTGATACAATGAAATTGGGTATTATGGGTTAAGGACATTGCGCGAGAACTCCAACTTCTGTCAATGCAGGCATGCTAACTTGCTAGCTTAGCTGAACAGTGATGGCAGCAAATACAGAAAATAATAATATAATATGCCATTTAGCAGACGCTTTTATCCAAAGCGACTTACAGTCATGTGTGCATACATTTTTACGTATGGGTGGTCCCGGGGATCGAACCCACTACCCTGGCGTTACAAGCGCCATGCTCTACCAATTGCGCTACAGAGGACCACAAAAGAAAAGACATTCAAGTTTGTGGTCGTCGGTGGTGGCATTGCAGGTGTAACGTGTGCTGAGCAGGTGAGACCACTGTGCACTTTGTCAAACTGCCTGTAACATTGTCAACTTGACATGTTAAACTGTTGTGTGATTGTCTTTAACAGCTGGCCTCCCAGTTCCCATCAGCTGATGTTGCTCTCCTGACAGCAGCACCCCTGATTAAAGCAGTCTGCAACTTCAAACAGGTGATCATACACAGAAAGACTAGCTATCATGATTATTGAATTGTGTCAAAGATAAAAGTTATATTCTACTAGACTATATTCTATTATAGACTACTAATCTGTTCAAAATAACATTTGTTTATGAGTTAATACTATAGCTATGTCTACAATAGATCTGTCCATAGTTCATCCAGTAATTCCTTATGCCCTAACGGTAACCCATACACTCCCCTCCCTGGCCAGGTATCTAAAACGCTGGAGGAGTTTGATGTGGAGGAGAGGCCCTCCAGTGTTCTAGAGGAAAAGTACCCCAACCTGAGAGTCATCCAGTCTGCAGTGAAGGCCCTTCATGCACAACAACACGTGAGTTTAAATAGTAAACACACACAGGCTGAAATGCATTAGATTAGGCTAATATATGGTATATTTATAATAATGTATACAGTTATATTATAGATATCTATATTAATATAACCTTTAAAACGTATTAATGTACACTACATGACCAAAAGTATGTGGACACCTGCTCGTCGAACATCTCATTCCAAAATCATGGGCATTAATGTGAAGTTGGTCCCCCCTTTGCTGCTATAACAGCCTCCACTCTTCTGGGAAGGCTTTCCACTAGATGTTGGAACATTTAGCCACGAGCATTAGTGAGGTCGGGCGATTAGGCCTGGCTCACAGTCGGCGTTCCAATTCATCCCAAAGGTGTTCGATGGGGTTGAGGTCAGGGCTCTGTGCAGGCCAGTCAAGTTCTTCCACACTGTTCTCGACAAACCATTTCTGTATAGACCTCGCTTTGAGCATGGGGGCATTGTCATGCTGAAACAGGAAAAGGCCTTCCCCAAACTGTTGCCACAAAGTTGGAAGCACAGAATCGTCTAGAATGTCACTGTATGCTGTAGCGTTAAGATTTCCCTTCACTGGAACTAAGGGGCCTAGCCTGAACCATGAAACACAGCCCCAGACCATTATTCCTCCTCCACCAAACTTTACAGTTGGCACTATGCATTCAGGCAGGTAGCATTCTCCTGGGGTCCGCCAAACCCAGATTTGTCCATCGGACTGCCAGATGGTGAAGCGTGATTCATCACTCCAGAGAGCGCGTTTCCACTGCTCCAGAGTCCAATGGCGGCGAGCTTTACACCACTCCAGCCGATGCTTGGCATTGCACATGGTGATCTTAGGCTTGTGTGCGGCTGCTCGGCCATGGAAACCCATTCCATGAAGCTCCCGACAAACAGTTCTTGTGCTGACGTTGCTTCCAGAGGCAGTTTGGAACTGAGTGTTGCAACCGAGGACAGACGATTTTTAGGCGCTTCAGCACTCGGCGGTCACGTTCTGTGAGCTTGTGTGGCCTACCACTTCGCGGCTGAGCCGTTGTTGCTCCTAGACGTTTCCACTTCACAATTCCAGCACTTACAATTGACCGGGGCAGCTCTAGCAGGGCAGAAATTTGACGAACTGACTTGTTGGATAGGTGGCCACGTTGAAAGTCACTGAGCTCTTCAGTAAAGCCATTCTACTGCCAATGTTTGTCTATGGAGATTGCATGGCTGTGTGCTCGATTTTATACACCTGTCAGCAACGGGTGTGGCTGAAATAGCCGAATCCACTAATTTGAACTGGTGTCCACATACTTTTGTAATGCAGTGTACCGTTAGGTCCCAAGCATAAATCCCTATCCAACACTACCACCTTGTGGATGTCTTTTCGTGAATTACTATGTCACCCATTTCATACAGAGCATGCATACAGTACAGTATGTGCTATGAAAATGCAAGCATAACGTGATCTTCCTTCCTGCTTCTCTCAGACTTTGCTGACTGTGGATGGTCTGGAGATCCACTATGAGAAGCTGTGTATCTGTAGCGGGGGCAGACCCAAACTCCTTACCCAATGTGCTGGGGATACGAGACACAGACAGTGCCCAGGTACTTTACAATGGCTTCCCAGTACAGATTTGTTTCTTTAGCACCCATTCACTTCAGTTAATCTAGTACTCATGATGTCTTTTGTGCTGGCAGGAGTTTCAGAAGCGGTTATCCAAAGCCAAGCAAATTGTAGTCGTTGGAAACGGAGGGATTGCCTTGGAACTAGTGTGAGTATATCGACATTCTGCCATTCGTTTGTCTGAATTGGTCTTGTTCTAAAATCTCATATATTATAGTTAAATGTACTGTATATTGTGTTCAGGTATGAGGTGGAAGGTTGTGAGGTGATCTGGGCAGTGAAAGACAAGGCCATAAGAAACACCTTCTTCGACGCGGGAGCTGCCCAGTTCCTCATCCCCTCCCTGGACACAGACAAACCAGAGAGAGCTGCTACCTGTAAGAGGGCTCGCTACACAATAGAGGGGCCTGCAGCTACGCAGGGCCTTGCTGTAGGTGGAGGTAGCGACAGACAAGGCCAGAGTAGAGGGTTGGAGGAGCCAGGCAGTGCCCTGGGACCAGACTGGCATGAAGGCATCAGTCTGAGAGGAGCAGAGGAGGTCAGTGTGCCTCTGTGTGTTCACAATTATAGAACACAACTTTAATATTATATTGTTTTAGTAAAACAATTGTATTAGTTTATAGATGGTTTATGAATCTGTTATAAACAGATATAACACGTTGGTTGAAATGTGTCCATCCAGAGATGGGAATTTGTCTGGAACGGGGAAAGAAAGGTCAGCCTGGAGTTCATAGTAATAGTAATTCAAAGTAGCCCAAGTTGTTTTAACTCTTGCTGTGGCCAGGTGTCTCACAGGGTGTCAGTGGAGTACCAGTCTGAGGTGAAACAGATCTACACTCACCAGGACTTCCTGCTGTCACCACTTGCCTTACAGACAGCAGACACTGGTGGGAGGAACCTATGACTCTATGACAATGGAACATATACCAGTGTGAAAGAGATGGAAATAAGTGACTGAATATGATGTGCTGAAAATGTGTTCATTTCCATTAATCAAATAATGAATTATACTGAACAAAAATATAAACGCAACAATTTCAACGATTTTACTGATTTTCATATAAGAAAATCAGTCAATTGAAATAAATAAATTAGGCCCTAATCTATTGATTTCACATATGATTACAGATATGCATATGTTGGTCACAGATACCTTTTTTAAAAAAGGTAGGGGTGTGGATCAGAAAACCACCATTTGACTCATGCATCGTGACACATGTCCTTCACATAGAGTTGATCAGGCTATTGATTGTGGCCTGTGGAATGTTGTGTCCCACTCCTCTTCAATGGCTGTGCGCAGTTGTTGGATATTGGCGGAAACACGCTGTCGTACACGTCGATCCAGAGAATCCCAAAAATGCTGAATGGGTGACATGTCTGGTGAGTATGCAGGCCATGGAAGAACAGGGACATTTTCAACTTCCAGGAATTGTGTACAGATCCTTGCGACATGGGGACGTGCATTATCATGCTGAAACATGAGGTGATGGCGGCAGATGAATGGCTTGACAATGGGCTTCAGGATCCCGTCACAGTATCTCTGTGCATTCAAATTGCCATCGATAAAATGCAATTTTGTTCGTTGTCCATAGCTTGGGGCACTCTGTTCACAACGTTGACATCAGCAAACCGCTCGCCCACACGATGCCATACACGTGGTCTGCGGTTGTGAGGCCGGTTGGACGTACTGACAAATTCTCTAAAATGACGTTGGAGGCGGCTTATGTTAGAGAAATTAACATTCAATTCTCTGGCAACAGCTCTGGTGGACATGTTTGCAGTCAGCATGCCAATTGCACACTTCTTCAAAACTTGAGACATCTGTGGCATTGTGTTGTGTGACAAAATTGCACATTTTAGAGTGGCGTTTTGGCCCCAGCACAAGATGCACCTGTGTAATGATCATGCTGTTTAATCAGCTTCTTGATATGCCACACCTGTTAGGTGGATGGATTATCTTGGCAAAGGAGAAATGCTCACTAACAGGGATGTAAACAAATTTCTGCACAAAATTTGAGAAAAATACGCTTTTTGTGCATATGGAATATTTCCGGGATCTTTTATTTCAGCTCAAGAAAACATTACATTTGACATTTTAGTAGACACTCTTATCCAGAGCGACTCACAGTTAGTGAGTGCATAAATTTTTCATACTGGCCCCCCGTGGGAAACGAACCCACAACCCTGGTGTTGCAAGCGCATTGCTCTACCAACTGAGCTACAGGGGACTTTACATGTCGCGTTTATATTTTTGTTCAGTGTAGTTCATTTATCTTTTCATCACTGTACTGTTTCCCCCTACTATAGGCTCTTGGCCAGTGTACGCTCAGCTGACCAATGGGAAGACGTTTGGCTGTGACTTCATCGTCAGTGCCACAGGAGTCGTGCCAAACACTGAACCTTTTCTCCATGGAAACCACGTAAGGAAAATAAGTAAAACAGATGCTAGATGTTTCATGTCATCCATTGTTTCATGACAACTCAGGCCACTTCTACTCAGAAGCAATATTTACCAATATTTGTCCATACATATTCTGTTCAGTTTGCGTTGGCTGAGGACTGGGTAGAGAGTGGACGACCACATGATGACATCAGAACCAGACATTTACGCTGCTGAAGACGTATGTACAGCAGGCTGGGAGCCAAGCCACCTCTGCCAGCAGGTAAACAGACCACACTGAATCTCTTTTAATCACGTTATGCTGCGCCTGACTATTCCTTTGGGTATGAGGCCTTTGGATTTTGTGGTGAACTATCCTGTCATCAATTCAGTTGCGATATATGACATGATATCCTGTATACATCTCTCTGTAGATGCGTTTGTGGACGCAGGCTCGTCAGATGGGCTGGTACGCAGGGCGATGTATGGCTGCTGATGTCCTGTCTGAAACCATAGAGCTGGACTTCTGCTTTGAACTCTTCTCTCACATTACAAAGTTCTTCAACTACAAGGTGTGTGAAGGCAAAGTTGCAATGCCTTTCTACATCAGTTGTTTATGTGTTGAATCTGCTTTAATGGTGTGTTCCCTGCAACTAGATGAATTTCCTGTCACGTTGTAATAATAAATCATCACTTGACTTGAAATGCTAAATAATGTGTGACCACTTGCTGTGCTGTTTTTCCTCCAGGTGGTTCTGCTGGGGAAGTTTAACGGCCAGGGTCTGGGTCTGAACCAGGAGTTGTTGGTGCGCTGTACCAAGGGCCATGAGTACATCAAGGTGGTGCTGAGCGGAGGGAGGGTGTTGGGAGCAGTCCTTATTGGAGAGACTGATCTGGAGGAGACCTTTGAGAACCTCATCCTCAACCAGATGGACCTAACACCCTACGGAGAGAAGAGCTACTCAACCCCAACATAGACATAGAGGACTACTTTGACTGAGCGTGTGTGTAGCTAACACCGTACGGGGGTTACTACTCAACCCCAACATAGAGGACTACTTTGACTGAGGGGCCAAGAACTTCCTCGTAAATCAATACTAAACTGGATGTCGTGTTTTAGCCCCGTTTATATCTGGTGCTAACGTGTCCTGATCTTGCCCACATTTTTAGACAGGTGTAGACGATTAAAAGAACTGATTGTGATCAGATCTTCCTGGCCACCTCTGGAGGTAGTCAGGGACACATTGTATCTGGAGAGTGTAAACAGATCTGGAATATCAAACCATTGAAATTGTCCCTCTAAAATCATTGACAGGTGGCACTATTGACTCAATGTGTCAATATTTGTTTTAACGTAAAACATTATTATTTTGAAACAATAGCTCTCAAATAATTTGCATACAGGGAGGGTCCAGGTCATCTGATAACAATGCAGACACAGCGGATAGATAGTCTTGTTCACACTGCAGCCCTTAATGCTCAAATCAGTTTATTTTTCAAATCCATTTTGGAATACTGACTGTCCAAACAGCAAAGTTACAAGTGACCAAATCGGATGTGTGTGTTCAGACAGCAGTAATTTGCTAACATGGCTATGCTAGTTGTCATAGTACCAACAGGTGTATGCACAGTGGTGTAGGCTGATTGGTGGTCTTGCTTGTGCTTCCTATCACTCAGAAGTGATGTACTGTAGCAAACTAAAGTGACAACAATGCCTGCCATGGACGTTTCCCAGTTGCTTTGAGTGTTCAAAATCATAGTATAAGAACAGAAGCTAGCTAGCTAGGTAGCCGTTTAGCTTTCTAGCACATTCACTAATTTGTTTGTAAACAATTAACAAGCTAGTTCACTACCACATGTTCTTGTCAAACTGTCAACAGAGTAGCTAGCAAGCAATACGATATGCCAAATAAGTCTAAAAACCACTTGAAGGCAAATAAATCAGATTTGACCGTTCAGACACAAGTCGCATATGGCAAGGAATCAGATTTGTATCTTAATTCAAATCACCTACGAAGGTGGTTTGAAATATCAGATTCCATGTGCTTTTTGGCAGTTCAGACTGCAAGAAAAATAACAGATTAAAATCAGATATGCATAATAATATTTTTGTCACTTCAAACTGCCAATGTGATCTTAAGAGACTAATTTTAATACCATGTGTAGATGCTGCAAATGTGTAGACTAGTGATGCGTAGGTCAGCTGTTTGTTCACCAGCACCCACCAGCAATTGCTAATAACCCATCCGCAACCGCCCGACAATATGTGATAGTGAAAATCTGAGGCCCACAGCCGACTCTAACCTGCAAATATAGAAAATGCGCTGTACAGTTCCCTTTTTTGTCCTTTTTGCCTCAGTGGATCGAAGTTAACTTTTTCTGGCCAAGTTCCCAAAAGCATTTGGTGCGCGTACAGTTAGGCCCTAAAGCTTAGGCCTACACATTAATGCCAGATTTTAAAAAATGAAAGAAAAATCTAAATGTAGCCTATAGAAAATAATTGCACAATAATTATCCATTTATGGATTTGTTTTATGCATTGGTTTCTCTTTATTCAACCTGCACGCAACCAACTCCCCCATCATCCACACGGGTTATGAGTCAACCCGCGCGTGTGATCCATGTGTAGACGCTAATAATGATTGGATCATCTTGATTTTAGCACGAAAACCACATTTTAATGCAAGGTGTAACCAGGGCTATAAATATACCTTTGTTGAGAAAGGGAATTGGCAAGTTTAGAACCTGTGACGTTCTGGTCCCTATCCCAGTGCCTAGTCTACTGCGCAAGCAATTGGGAGGGCACAACTTATTTTTTCACATATATAAAGCTGTTCAGTCAGGTAGAATTGTGATTAGTAAGGTTGGAACAAAAGCTGCATTGGCATTCGAACTGGCAACCTTGTGTGTCGCAACCCATGTTTAACACCCTCGAACTTACCTCCCTAAAGAAGGCTTTTCTTTATTTGACTCTCAGCTGTACACTCCACCCTTTGACCTGTCCATCGAGCTTTCATCCAACCAATCAATTCGTCCCTGAGTACCTCTGGAGACAGTCCGGAATATCTGATCACAATCAGTTATTTGAATTGTCTAAACCTGTCTAAAAATGTGGACAAGATCAGGACACGTGTTAGCACCAGGTATAAACGGGGCTCTTGACTGAGTCCTGCAAGGCCAAGAACAGATTTGCATATCAATATCAAACCTCAAATTAACATTGTTTACAAGCCAAGGGTTATTATGATTAATCTGCTGTGCACTGTAAGAAAAAAAAATCTGGGGTGAATTGAACCAACATATACTTTTAAAAAATGTATCCAAGTCATTTTACCAAACAAGTTAAGAATAAATCAAAATCAATATGTTGCATAAAAGAAGTATATATGGATAAATTATTGCAACAAAGTTTTTAGAGGATTGTGGGTAATTCAACATTTGTAGACTTTCTTTTACACAATGTTGTATACATGTTTGAAGAAAGAAAAGTATATTTATATATTAGGATTAAGCAGCTTGTTGTGTAATGGATCATGATGAACGGATATTAAAACAGTCATTCAATGGCGAGACCACCCATTTCCACCATCAGCACCCTAAATGACAGAGGCAAATGCAGCACATTGTAATGCTTGCAGTTCTACCTCCAGTTACTGCAGGTGGATTGAGCACTTAACAATACATTTACATTACATTTACGTCATTTAGCAGACACTCTTATCCAGAGTGACTTACAAATTGGTGCATTCACCTTATGATAGCCAGTGGGACAACCACTTTACAATTATTTTTTATTTATTATTATTTTGTTATATATTTTATGGGGGGGGGGGGGGGGGGGGGGGTAGAAGGATTACTTTTATACTATCCCAGGTATTCCTTAAAGAGGTAGGGTTTCAAGTGTCTCCGGAAGGTGGTCAGGTGACTCCGCTGTCCTGGTGTCGTGAGGGAGCTTGTTCCACCATTGGGGTGCCAGAGCAGCGAACAGTTTTGACTGGGCTGAGTACTGAATAAGTAGTACTGAATACCTGCCAAAGCTGGTAAATGGCAAATGAACAAATACATTAAACAATGTTAAACATTAAGACACCATCACTGAAAGTAACTAATCAGAAATGAAGTAAATCTCATTCATATTACGGCTATTCTTATTTCCCTGGACTTTAATTGTGTACATTTGAATAACTTATTGAAGTGTTTTTATTCAAATACATAGGTAATTACATAGGTAATTACTCAATAATATTGTGTAAATTGTTGCCTTCATTTGTTTAAGCAGATTCATCATTTTTTACAGCGTATGTAGATTCAATATTATTGTTTTAATGTAATTATTTTTCTGATACGAGCTCTTACTGTGTTTTGGGGGGGTTAGTGGAACACAAAGGAATTCTTAGAAAATATACCAGAAGCGGGTGCAAAAAACATCAAATATTACAATCAAAATATATAAATGTTTCATGTGACCATTTCCATTTTAAATCAAATTTTTATTAATGACAGCTAAAGATATATACTGTGTTCTTATCCCAAAGCTGCAGTGCAGTATTATAAAACGTATTAGTGAATTAAATTCACTAGCGTGCACATTGTGGCTGTTAGATTAGGGAATACTCAAATATTTAAGTGACAGATAATACATAGTGAAAACATTTTTCAGTTCAACAAACCTTTCAGCTCATGTGTGGTAGTTTATCCAAAGTAAAATATTGAAATGTCAACAAAAACAGCTCTTCATTCTTTATCTTAGGCTAACAGTTGTATTGATCCAACCGTAAAATATTACAAACAAACTTGGATGGGGATATTCTCTCAGTCAAAGCCATTTCAGAAAAATAGAACATCAAGTGTTACAAAACAAAGTACACGCGTCTGCCCCAGGGCTCTAGGTCTGGCAATGTGGGACCTGAAAAATAGAGGTACAGTAGTGTCCACATCTGAATGTCAACTGTCCCAGGGAAGGTCAAGGGTCATCTTTGGATGAGTTTCCTTCTGGAGCTGACTCTGGTCCACAGGTTGCGTGCCGTCCGGGCAATTGTTGAGCCACGGGGGAGGCGCAGGCTCTTTAGTGGCTCTCTGATACAGGCCAGCACCCCTGGGTCTGAGCACCCCTGATTCTGCAAGTACTCATGGGAAATGTAGTTTATCCGCCTCAGCTGTTTGCTGTAATAGTTCCTAAGGTCACAGAGCTCCTCCACTGCAGCCTCGGAGATGATGGAGACCTGGGAGGGAGAGTTGACCAATGCTGGCCTCTGGTGGCCAGAGTCTGTAACTGCACCTGAGGGTGCTTGGACCACAGCAAGAGCAGCAGGACAGGGTTTCCTCCGCTTCTTTTGAGGGGTTGTTGATTTAGGTTTTGAATGGAGTTTTAATGGCGGTAGTGGGGATTCACTATCATTAACTTTCTCTATAATATTGATCTCTACGTCTACTTCAATGGCAGTGGGCTGGGCAGCAGCAGGGTCATTCTGGTCCTCCCCTGTCTGGCTTTCTGTCTGGTCATGGTCCTTGTCTTGTTTCCTGGCCAGATTCTGCTGCTCTTTATCCATCTTGATCAGTTTGTTGTGTCTGGGAGGGGGAGTGCTGCTGTCGTTGGGGGCAACGGGAGGAGGGGACTGGGAGGTCACCACCACCTCTTTAGCTCCAGCAGCTAATTGGTCCTCCTGTGGGAGACAACAGGAAGTGTCAGTGACCTCTGACTTTACTGAAGAACCAATCCTAAATCGAAGAAGATGGTTAATTTGGGATTGGGCATGCTGTTATACAGAACCATGTTAGTGAACCCCAATGTTAGTGTGGCATAGCGCGAGTTAGTGAAAGCATGCTCCATAATGAATCTACAGCAATGTGTGTAGACATTGATAGGACATACACACAGGACTGAGTTAGGACACAAACTATGAAAGCTGTAACAATGGTTATAAGTGTTTACAGAAATATGACATCATGCATATTTCATTATTTTATGAATAATGATGCATTCTGTAAGGAAATCGTTCAGGACCCAACGTTACATATTTGTCTTTAACCTGATTGACATACACATGGTTGCCCAGACAGTGCCATAGATGCAGTGGGTTGAATAGAGAATCAGGGAACTGTACTTTTTCTTTGGTCTCTTCAGGGGGGCACTAGAGGTCTTTCTTGACTTTCTTGGTGACAGGGGAGTTTGCAGCATTGTCACCAGATCTCTTTCCTTCTTTGGTCTTTACCTGGGACACATTTACCTGTAGGTCATCAACAACAGCTTTAACCTGTCTGTCTCTCTCTCTCTCACTCTCTCACACACACACTCACCTAAGCTATGTGTGGGTAATAACGTAAGCAGAGAAGGGTTTAAGGATTGACATGGGAGAACCAGAAACATGAATCATTCCCATATCAATGTGTTAGGATGATTATGATCAACCACTACCGGCACCTTGGTCACCTTTAGCAAATATCAACATGGATTAGATAAGTAGGCCTAGATCTCAGCAACACCCAAAACTACAGCTGTTGTACTGCACTTGGGGCCCTGTTGTCGGCGCATGTCTGGTATTACGCAACACTACATTGTTTAGAAAACACTACAGCACTAGAACTACAGTGATTAGGGAAATCTGGTTTGTTTACAGTAAGCGTTCTAACAACAATCAAGCGTGATGGTGGTAAGAATGATTCTACTCAAAATCTTTAAAATAACAATTAACATAGACAAAAGGGAAAAGGGAAAACGCTCTGATTTTGTTGGTGATTGAATAAATAATACAATCAATCAAAATGCTGAAAAAGAATCTAGATCCTTCATCCGATGGCCTGAAAGGAAAAGAAACTGACAACATAGTTCACTTACCTGCAGGTAAGTAGACAAGTAAGCAATAGAGGTAGATACAGAGAAGACAAAATAAACAGATTGAAAAGGCAGAGAGAAGACGGGGCAAAGAGATACAAGGAGATGAGGATTGAGACTGTGAGAAACAGGTTGAGTAAAGTACTACTTTAAAACAGGGAAATAATTACATTACACTGAAATATTTCAGTCAGAAGTGCAGAAGGAGAAATAGACAAATAAAATGTGATAAGCAGAAAAGACATCCCTGGATGAGGTATTTCAGACAAAAGTAGCTTCCTATCCTTAGTCTGCATGGACTAGAAAAATTTCCAAAAAAAAAGCTATTACCGAGTAGTAATATAATTTATCATATCGATTCTGTGCAGATGAAGGAGGCCACTTTAGTCTATTGAGATGCACCCAAAGGCTTTCCTGTTTTAATGATTCCTGTACCGATTGCTGTGTAGTACTGACCGTGTTGGCGTCCAGGCCTGTCCTCCTCATCTTCATGGTGATGGAGTGACTCTGGTTCTTCAGCAGTGGGGCCTTACGACCCAGCTTCAGGTAGAAGTAGGTGGTGTACGGAGTGAAACTGAAGTCTTCACTGCGGAGAAGAGAAAAAAAGGGGGTAAACAAAGATCAACATTCTAAAAGCAACCAGCTGTGCAGTAGTACAAGTCCATTGTGACCTCCTCACAATTCTCTCCAGACTCTTTTGACAACCCTATTTGTCCTTAGTCAGTACCTGATGTAAGACAAGGATGTGTTCTTTAGGGAGGTACTGCCTGAAATGGAGACATTTTTTGTTGCAAAAGTTTTTCCTATGGTGTGCCCAACTGAACATGCCCTAGGTCATAGGCCTACCTGAGGTAGCCCTGCAGCAGTAAGCGTATTGAACTAGTAAAGGGTTTAACGTTAAGTCAGTCAGTACCTAAGGTATCCCTGCAGCAGTAGGTTTGTGATGATGGCCTCCACCTCCAGGCGAGACAGGGTGGTGGTCTGGATCATCTTCCTGCGTTTGGCCGGACCCTTCCCCATCCAGGCCTCGGTCACCTTCAAGGGGGTCAGCTTCTCGTCCAGAGAGCCCGCCAGCTCCACAATCTGGACCACATCTTTAGCATGCTGCGTGATGTCCACCGTGATGTAGTCTGGATGGAAACACAGGTAGACTAGGTATGAAGACTCAACATAAATGATGCCAGATCTTTCTATTAGATGGGAGAGTAACTCATATGCCCAATTCCAAATCTACCCCTATGCCCCTAGCACGCCATGTACGTTGGATTTGAAAAGTGGTATGTTCACCATATTGTACACATACCATTGCCATGGCGACAGACATCACACATCTCGTTGCATCCTTCATCATCCCAAACCTCATCAAAGTGAACAGCGATCACTGAGCGCCGACACCTTAAAACAATAGAGATACACACCTACTGTACCCTTGAGATCCTCACACAGCTATCTACACAACTGAAATTGTCACATAAGTAATCTAGTGATGTCAACGAGAGCGTTGTGATTGGTCCAGCTCAGTACCTGTCTACGTTCTGACAGTAGTCGACCATGGTCAGCAGCTTCTGTTGTCCTACGTTCTCCATGACAACCATGGTGCTGATCCTGAAGATGTCGTTGAAGCCAAAGTACACAATGCAGTCAGCCGGCTTATCGTCTCTGCCTGGAGGAACGGAGAGAGGACCATGGAAAAGATAAGGTAGGAGAAAAAGAAGTTAAGAGTTTTAAGAGGAAAAGTGTTTAAAAACAAAATGGCTACTCCCATGGCTACGGTCGAAGATAAAGTGCAATTGGAAAATCAGAGGGGAAAAAATACTTTTAAATGTAGAAATAGTATTCCTCCATTTCTGAGGTCAAGGGATCAGGTGTTGTTCCTAAATTATACAATCTCTGAGTAGGGAGAAAATAGTTGTCTACCTGCTCGGCCACTCTCCTGATAGTAGTTCTCTATGGACTTGCTGATGGTGTGATGGATGACAAATCTGACGTCAGGCTTGTCAATCCCCATCCCAAATGCCACAGTAGCTACCACCACCTGGATCTTGTTGGTGGCCCATTTGCGGTGAACCCGTGACTTGTCCTCTGGATTCATGTTAGCGTGGTATGGATTTGCATTGATGCCTTTCTTCTGTAGGTCTGCTGACACTGTCTCTGCATCCTTCTGGGAAAACACGTACACTATCCCTGCCAAAAGCAGAAGCATAATACCTCAAGTCTGGATAACAAGCTGGTGATGATTTTGAAAATAGGACAAACTGAATTTTGACCTATCCTTAGTTTTTCCTTTCAAAGTACCTGACTGGTCCTTATATCTCTCCTTGATCAGTGCTGAGATGTCACTGATTGAATCATCACTGTTCGAGTCTTTAAGGCGTACCTGAGAGACACAAAAACAGTACAGATCCTCAATACTTCAGTGCAGAGATACAGCGGGAATCTAACAAGCATTCCCTTTAGTAACACAAGCGTGTGTATATTTAAAGGTCAAAAGAACATCAACAGGTGTTTGCCAAGCAGGTGGAGACCAGGTGTGTATGGTTGCCATGACGCCCACCTCGTAGTAGAGGTTGGTGCGGTTGAAGGAGGCGGTGAGTGTGATTGGCTCAGGGACACACAGGATCTTCTGACAGTCCTTTAGAACACTGCTGGTTGCCGTGGCTGTCAGCCCTAGCAACGGAACCTTTGGAAATTGCCTCTTCAGGATCCCCAGGAGCTTGTAGTCTGGCGGGAGAGGAGGGGGTAGTTGGCTAACAGCCCCACACAAAACTCACAGCATACTACTTAGAATGAAGCGATCTACTGGGCATGCATTCTAAGTGGTATGCATAGAGATACATTGAAGTGTTCTGTTTAATTATATGGTGATATCCTTGTTTGGGTATTGTAATTTAAAACATAGCGTTATTAGAATTCTACTTTGAGTGATTTGTTGGAGTAGCCCTTTACCTTCCAAAACAAAGTAAGGAGACTAATAAAAAGTAAGTAGCCCATATACAGTACAGATGTACGGTCTCTCACCAGGTCTGAAGTCGTGTCCCCACTGGCTGCAGCAGTGCACCTCGTCCACAGCAATACGGCTAAGCCTGCCTACATTGTAGGCCTTCTCCAGCCTCGACATCAACAGCTTGCTCTTCGCTATCTTCTCTGGAGTCACATACAGCAGCTTGAAAGGCGCTTTGGTGTCGGTCATCCCAGCTAGGACCATTTTAGCATGTTCCTGAGGTACATATCAGAAGTCTAATCAAACACAAATCCTACAGCTATAATCCTAATCAATACCAGCCAAGTATCAATAATATGTAGAAAGTGTTTGTGTTGGTTATTACCTTACTGCTGGATGCGTTGAGAGAGACGGCTTCAACGTCGATGGACTTTAAGTACATGAGCTGATCCTCCATCAGAGAAACTAGAGGAGTTACGACCAGAGTGAAACCTGGCAGCACACAAACACACGTTAGAAGAACACTGCAGCGAGTAATGGCTGCAACCATCTGCAGTCAGGGAGATGGCTTGCTTCTAGACCAACCAGGTCAAAAGATCTGACCCATATTACCAGGGCAACATTTTAATCTTCCTATAGCAGATCACCGGGACCGCATTTTACATTCATAAACTATGTCATGGGCCGTTCTAAAGCTATTTGAATTTGTTAACCATTTGTTTACACTTTGTTCAGTCATGTTACCTCATTGGCTAGCTAGCTAACACCCTGGTAACTTCACCAGGATATCCAAACATAGAAACAAAGGAAAAGGGATAACTTTTTCAGGAGAGCAATGAATGAATGAATGACAGATTTCCTGCATGTCAACACAAACCTGACGTTCTTAAAGATAGTGTATCATTTTTAATGTAATGCATCTCAATTGGAAAATAGTGCTTTTACATCATGTAGAAACCTAATATTCCCCAAATTATTTTGTAATTTCAATGATAGGTATTCGTATCAACATTTTAGCTTTTATAATAAACAAATGCATTTACAGTGTTACATATTAGTTTCTAGGGCACAACATGTGCTTCAAAAGTAAGAGAAATCCATATAGGCCCAATATAGGCTGTATCTCAATCAATTTAAAAAATCATATTTTCTGGTGCTCCTCAATTTCATGTGGTGCTCCTAACTTTTTTAAGTTGGGTGCACCAGTGCTACCAATGAAATGTTTTAATTTATAGCCCTGTCTACAGTACGTGTTTGCACAGCACACACAATTATTCAATGAACTGTAACTTTAGTGTTTTCAGTATATGCACGTCACCTGGTGTGTATGTGTCTGTATGCATGTATGTATTTTGTGTGCGTGTGTTTGTGCGTTCTCCCCTTACCCTCAGAGCAGACTGCAGGTAGCTGATAGCAGAGGCTTTTCCCTCGTCCAGTGGGCATCACTAGGAAGAGGTCTTTATTAGACATACTAAGGTTGATGGCCTTCAGCTGGAGAGGACGAAACTTAGAGAGCTGGAACGCATCCTTCAGATTCTGCTCCAGCTCTGTAGACCACGGAAAATCTAGGTTTGGAAAGAAAACATTCAAGCATGTCAAAATACAATACTGCAATATATTCAGCCTTCAAGATTGTAGCCTACCTAATAAAATAGCACTTTGGACACAATCTACATGTTTATTTTTGCTTTAATTTAACTGTTTGCTCAATTCAGCTTCTGGAAAGATAGCCTATCTTCTTGGATGTGAACATATCAGACTTGAGTTAAAATACATGTGTATTCGATTATTTGTTATTTAAATACTTATTTTCTATGTATTTGAGTATTTTCTAATCATGTGGCCCGAATCAACTACTTCTATTGGAAGTATGTTCATTTCCTATAAATAGCCTTTTATTTGAAAGTATTTTCAAATACTTTTTTCAAAATACCTGGGTTAAATGCATGGGAGTGTATTTGAGTCAGCGTATGAGTACTGTCAAATACATACCAATATTCAACTACTTGTCTTTTCAAATAAAAATTATCTGAATACTTACTTAGAAATGTATGTGAAAGTAATTGAGATATTTGAAATAGTATTTGAACCCAGGTCTGGAACATATTATGCACACAGCAGTTTGGTTGTGATTCTCAATTCATTTAACAAACTAATAAATATAAATATATATATATATATATATATACAGTACAGGTCAAAAGTTTAGACACACCTACTCATTCAAGGGTTTTTCTTAATTTTTACGATTTTCTACATTGTAGAATAATAGTGAAGACATCAAAACTATGAAATAACACATATGGAATCATGTTGTAACCAAAAAAGTTTGAAATTGTTCAAATAGCCACCCTGCCTTCATGACAGCTTTGCACACTCTTGGCATTCTCTCAACCAGCTTCATCTGGAATACTTTTCCAACAGTCTTGAAGGAGTTCCCACATATGCTTAGCACTTGTTGCCTGCTTTTCCTTCACTCTGCCCTCCGACTCATCCCAAACCATCTCAATTGGGTTGAGGTCAGGGGATTGTGGAGGCCAGGTCATCTGATGCAGCACACCATCACTCTCATTCTTGGTAAAATTGCTACTACATGGTTACTACATGATTCCATATGTGTTATTTCATAGTTTCGATTCTACAACGTAGAAAATAGTACAAATAAAGAAAAACCCTTGAATGAGTAGGTGTGTCCAAACTTTTGACTGGTACTGTATATATATATATATATATATATGCACACACACATACATGCATACATACACACAGCAATATACACTGAGTGTACAAAACATTAGGAACACCTGCTCTTTCCATGACATAGACTAGGGATGTTAAGATTAAGTGTTAATCGGTTAGCCGAAAATACAATGCTTCTCGGTCTATAGGTTAACTTGCATAATTTTGTGGAATTAATTTGGCGCATGTGTATTTTCCTTAGTCGTCATGCATTCTATTTATCACACGCGCATAGCATACAGAGCCTAGTTTGAGGAGCGGAGTAGCCTACCACCTGTCAGACAGAGTTGCTCCTCAAAAAGCCTGTAGGCTACTGGAGTGAAACCTGCTTTTGTCATTGCGCAACAAATAACAATTCTAAATGCAATCGCGTGTTAATTTTGGTGGCCACGATTAAAAAATAGCTATTTTTATTTCTCAATCTGAACTCGTAAAGCGTGCCTCCCATTCGCCATTCGGATACATAGGCTTTAGCCTGCCAACCGTTGACTATCAGCGCGTCACCCACCACTTTGCAATGTGAGCTTGTGGCAGATCATTGTTTGAAACCTGAACGTTTTACTTTACTTCAAATAATGAGGCATGTCTTACCATACTTCAAAGTAGCCTTGCGAAAATCCATCCATAGAAACGTGGAGGCAATTATTTTATAAAGACTTCATCATGCCTTTAACCAGGATTTCTCTCCTGTTCTATTGGTTTTCATTTAACTTTCTTTTGTTGTCCAGAAGCCAAAGGCACAATCCTAGTCATATTAGCAACACATCATAGTAGTTGCTATTAGATTCCCCCTCTTTCTACGTTTCTAACTGAGATTTTCATCTCTGTCACATATGGAATTAGGTGCGCACTTTAGAACTGTGTTTTTCCGCGAATTGCATTTGGGCAAATATTTGAAAATGAGGTTTTATTAGCTGCTTCATTACAGGAGTTGCATGTTAAATAATAGGTTATCAACTTTTGACAGTAAGACGATAGGCTTGCTATTGTTGCATGTTTCCATTAACCTCTTAATGAAACATTTCCGGTCCTTGTATGCATGCATAGTATCAGAGAGGAAGAGGCGACGAAGCGAGACGTTTCACTCTCGCCAAAATCTGTCCAACGCGTTTCTATGGGCTTATTTTGGGCCTAAACTTGTCGCCTGCCTTCCCGCCTTGGGACGACTCCCATTGTTAGAGCGGAAACATAAGCATCTCGTCATTATATACAGATCTCTGATAGTATTTTCTGTTGGTCACGTTTATTTGACAGTTTTGATATTTATTTACCGTTTGTTGACCAATTAATGAGGGCCAGTTAGTCGACAACAAAATTGACTGAAATTTGCATCCCTAACATAGACTGACCAGGTGAATACAGGTGAACGCTATCATCCATTATTGATGTCACTTGTTAAATCCACTTCAATCAGTGTAGATCAGTGTAGATGAAGGGGAGGAGACAAGGTTAAAGAAGGATTTTTAAGCCTTGAGACAATTGAGACATGGATTGTGTATGTGTGCCATTCAGAGGGTGAATGGGCAAGATAAACGATTTAAGTGCCTTTGAACGGAGTATGTTAGTAGGTGCCAGGCGCACCGGTTTGAGTGTGTCAAGAACTGCAACGCTGCTGGGTTTTTCACACAACAGTTTCCCGTGTGTATCAAGAATGGTCCACCACCCAAAGGACAACCAGAAAACTTGACAACTGTGGGAAACATTGGAGTCTACATTCGCCAGCATCCCTGTGGAACGCTTGCAGAGTCCATGCCCTGACGATTTGAGGCTGTTCTGAGGGCAAAAGGGCGTGCAACTCAATATTAGGAACGTGTTCTTAATGTTTTGTACACTCAGCGTATATTGTACATATGTGCCACATCCTATACATTGTAGCCTCTACTGTACCATCATTCTCATAGCGCAGCAGCTCCTGCTTGGTCATTACAGGTCCAGGTCCAGAGCCTGAGGAGGATCCAGAGGGCTGGGCGGAGTCACATGCCTCCTCCAGCTTGCGGAGCAGTCGTTTCCTCCTGGAGGTCAGGCTAGCCTGCTTCTCCAGCAGCTCAGCTATCTGCAGCTCCACCACCTCCAGCTCTGCCTCCACAGAGTCCAGCTCTGCCTGCACGTCTGGGGAGGAGAATATTAACAACAAATAAAACCATCCTTATTTAACAAAGGTTTTTTTATATGCTGTAGTCAATGTGCTCTATGGTATCTACTACTTACGATTGAGCATTCATGTAACACACATGACCCTCTGGTAGAGAGGAGAACAATAGGCTAATCACCATTTGATCTTTTAATGACTTTTTCATTCACTGCCATCAAAGTTCTCTACGGTATCTAGGCCCTACATAGAAATAATATAGAATATGAATTGAACACACATGCGCAAAGACAAGAGTGGTACCATGAATCAGAAATGGAAAACAGCAAGCTCACTTCTCTTTTAAATGCTGTGCTAAATCCTTGTAGATAAACACTGTAAATATATGTTGGCCAGGGCCTAATATCAATTATGATATCCATTTCAAAGTTTGGCACAATCTGCCCTGATTAGCTTTCCTCTGGGACCAATCCCATGTGATGCTATACGAGGAGACTGTCAGGTCTGACACCACCAAGTCACTAACGACCTGTGTTTCACAGGTAGGGCACTAATGATGTCAGACACACATCAGTCTCTCTCACAGTCACCATTATACCCCCTGGGGGAGGATAGAGTAGCACCTGTCCCTCTGGACTCACCTGCTCAGCTCAGTTCGCAAAAACAATAACATATCCAATACCTTGGATGATGAGATCTGATTCTCTATGGGTTTTGTTCCATACTTTTGAGAAAGGGGGAGAGAAATGTGAGATCACAGTCACTTACCATTGGCACTGTCACTGTCCATTTCCAAGGCAAATCTACAAAGCAATCAACCACCTTGCAGAATTGTATCACTCTGTTGAATGAGGGGGTTAAATGTCAGTGTTATGCAATGTAGCTAGCAAGATACAGTGCCTTCAGAAAGAATTCCCACCCCTTAGTTTGTTCCTGATTTTGTTGTGTTACAGGCAGCCTGAATTTAAAATGGATTCAACTGAGATTGTGTGTCACTGGCCTACACACAATGCCCCATAATGTCAAAGTTGAATTATGTTTTTATACATTTGTACAAATTAAAAGCTGAAATGTCTTGTCAATAAGTATTCAAACCCTTTGCAATAATATAATAATATGCCATTTAGCAGACGCTTTTATCCAAAGCGACTTACAGTCATGCGTGCATACATTTTTGTGTATGGGTGGTCCCGGGGATCGAACCCACTACCTTGGCATTACAAGCGCCGTGCTCTACCAGCTGAGCTACAGAGGACCACAATGGCAAGCCTAAATAAGTTGCAATGGCAAGCCTAAATAAATTCAGAAGTAAAAATGTGCTTAACTAGTCACATAATAAGTTGCAAGGACTCACTGTGTGCAATAATAGTGTTTAACATGATTTTTTGAATGACTACCTCATCTCTGTACCCCACACATACAATTATCTGTAAGGTCCCTCAGTCAAGGAGTGAATTTCAAACACAGACTCAACCACAAAGACCATGGAGGTTTTCCAATGCCTCTCAAAGAAGGGCACCTATTGGTAGATGTGCTTTATGCACCTTCCCATTTACACAACAGATCTGTATATAATGACGAGATGCACGTCTCCGCCCTAACAATGGGAGTCGTTGTCCCAAAGGCGGGAAGGCAGGGAAGCTTAGATCCTAAATAAGCCCATAGAAACACATTGGCCTTATTTTTGGACAGATTTTAGCAAAAGTGAAACCTCTCGCTTTGTCTCTTCCTCTATGGTTTACACACACACACCAAGCCCCTCCCCCTGCATCTCACGCCAACAAAGTTGAGAGATCACAGCTTCCTCTCTGACAAGCGGTTTCAACTCACTATTTGCATTTGAGGTTTGGTCCAGCAGAATCGGTCATATGGACACCAAAACACATTGAGACATTATTTTACTGTAATAGAGGAGAAGTTAAAAAGTTTATCGTTAGAAAAGTTGTCTCAACTACTCAAATTGCACACAGAGCAGACTACTAAAACGAGAGTATCAATGAACATTGGGGTACCGGGTACCGCTAGTAGCATTTTAGACAAAGGCTGTTATTATACTAGCTGTCTAGTCTGTGATGAATAAATGTGCAATAAGCATAAAACACAATTATAAAAGGAATTGGCAACTCGTTCTCATTCTGAGAAATAAGGTAGGCCACTTGATTTCAACATCTGAACAAAGTGGACATGCAAACATGCTTTTCAAACAGTTGGAGACAGACAAAAGGGTGTGTTCATAACAATTCAACTGTTTAACCTTGTTAGCTAGCAAATAGATCCAAGAGGCAAATAGATCCAAGAGGCTTGATGTGACCTGTGTTCATTTTCTATAGCCTAATGCCTGCTACAAGATGTTAGTCATTATTAGTGAATGTGTTCTAGTTACATGTGTAACAAAAAAGGGCATTTTCATAGACAGACTTGAAAGCCAGATCAGTGATTATTGCAAAAAAAACACAGGTTAAACTATTTTTATAAAACAATAACATTATTAGTGGGTCTTATGGGTGTGGAAGGCTTATATTTAGTACTACTTATAGCCGAACTTCACAAGCCCTGAATTCATTAGATTATTGCTGACTGTTTGAAATGCAGTGTATTTGACCTTTAATAGTACAACAATGCATATTTAGAGAAAACATTATATTTTTTACGAGAAGCGCCCATAAGTTTGAAACAAAATCGAGATGTGATTTCTAGGCCATATATCCCAGTCCTACATGAGGCCAATGGTGACTTTAATTTAATTGGCCCAGCGTCGTCCGGGTTTGGCCAGTGTAGGCCGTCATTGTAAATAAGAATTTGTTCTTAACTGACTTGCCTAGTTAAATAAAGGTTAAATAAAATAAAAAAATAAACAGTTACAGAGTTGAATGCTTTGATAGGAGAAAACTGAGGATCGATCAACAACACTGTAGTTACTCCACAATACTAACCTAAATGCCAGAGTGAAAAGAAGTAAGCTTGTACAGAATAAATTATATTCCAAAACATGCATCCTGTTTGCAATAAGGCACTAAAATAAAAAACTGCATAAAATGTGGCAAAGAAAGTGTTATGTTTAGGGGAAATCCAACACAACAAACACATCACTGAGTAGCACTCCCCATATTTTCAAGCATGGTGGTGGCTGAATGTTATGGGTATGCTTGTCATCGGCAAGGACTAGGGAGGTTTTTAAGATAAAAATAAATGGAATAGAGCTAAGCACAGGCAAAATCCTAGACAAAAACCTGGTTCAGTCTGCTTTCCAACTGACACTGGGAGACAAATTCACCTTTCAGCAGGACAATAACCTAAAACACAAAGCCAAATATACACTGGAGTTGCTTACCAAGACGACATTGAATGTTCCCGAATGGCCTAGTTACAGTTTTGACAAATTGGCTTGAAAATCTATGGCAAGACTTGAAAATGGCTGTCTACCAATGATCAACAATCAACTTGAAAGAGCTTGAAGAATTTTTAAAATAATAATGTGCAAATATTGCACAATACAGGTATACAAAGCTCTAGAGACTTACCCAAAAAGACAGCTGTAATCGCTGAAAAAGGTGATTCTAACATGTATTGACTCAGGGGGTTGAATACTTATGTAATCAAGATTATTATTTTATTTTATTATTTTTTATTTTACAAATGTTATAATTTTTCTTCCACTTTGACATTACAGTATTTTGTGTAGATAGTTGACAAAAAATGACAATTAAAATCCATTTTAATCTCACCTTGTAACACAACAAAATGTGGAAAAAATAAAGGGGTGTTTATACTTATGCCCCCCGTGGGAATCGAACCCACAACCATCTACCAACTGAGCTACATCCCTGCCGGCCATTCCCTCCCCTACCCTGGACGACGCTGGGCCAATTGTGCGCCACCCCATGGGTCTCCCGGTCGCGGCCGGCTACAACAGAGCCTGGATTCGAACCAGTGCGCCACTCGGGAGACATAAATAACATGTAATACATTGCTTACAATCTTTCTCCCTCAACATTGGATATGTAAGGGATAATCAACGAGGGGCTATGGAAAATAATGAATGAGGTGGAAGGTGTATTCCACTACATGCTAGCAGAGTGGAACTGACCTTCCAAGAAGTTGCATTATTTTCTAGAGAACGCAGAGTCCCGGGTTGATTATCCCTTTTATACCATGGCTATAATTTAACACATTTGCCGCTAGAAATGTATTCATCATCCACTGAGGTAGCTAGCAAGCTTACTAGAGAGCTACAGTAGTTGCTATGGTAACCAAACAAACAGACCTGCTAGTTTAGCTAACCAAAGCATCAGTCCTAGCTTGCCATTATGAAAATCGAATTCAACAATGCCAATAATGTTTTCAATTCGACTATTGCTTTCAAAAGCAGCTCAAACATAAATTAGAACATGTAAGAATGGACTATTGCCATTGAATTCTACCGTGCAAATATACTGTGCGTTATTTAAGCAATAATGCCCGAGGAGGTGTGGTATATGGCCAATATACCATGGCTAAGGGCTGTTCTTATGCACGACGCAACACGTGGTGCCTAGACACAGCCCTTAGCCGTGGTATATTGGCCATATATCATAAACCCCTGAGGAGCCTTATTGCTATTATAAACTGGTTACCAATGTAATTAGAGCAGTAAAACTACATGTTTTGTCATACCCCTGGTATATGGTCTGATATACCATTGCCTTCAGCCAATCAGAATTCAGGGCTCAAACCACCCAGTTTATAAAGGGAAATAATGCACGCTCTAGAATGCCCTTCAATCCAATCAGAAACAAGTATTCAACAATACCATGGTATAATGTGCATTAACAAAATATATATTCTAAAATGTATGCATAAAATACACTTTGAATCTATCCATACATGGACAAGCTGTTTCCTTGAGCTTTTGGCAAGCAGGCCGGAATGTAAACATTTATTGTGTAAAGTAAACGGACATTTGTGTGAACCGGGAAAGCCCCCACCCTTCCTCTTCCTCCATGTGGCTTTACTCTTTTACTTAGATTTTTCTTCACCACATTAGATAGCTAGCCAATGATAGTTAGATAGCTAATTGATTGCCAATGATCAACCACCCTAGCAGTACGTTAACCAGCATCCATCCGGAATCAGCAACCTGCTCCAAACAGCTAATGTTAATGTTAGCCAACCTTGCTGACTAGCTAGCAAATTATACTTAAACTTTTTGACAGCTACATATTTGGCTAGCCAATAATGATCCTAACGTGTGGAACGAAATTATGGAAAAGGAAGGAAAAGGGAAAGAGGAATTGAAAGAACAAAGCAAAGCAACACTCACCGATGACCATTCACTCGTCCCACTACTTGAGTTTGCACTGTTTATTTGCACTCCCTTTTTTCTTGATGGTTGCTAGACAGCTCGCGCCGGTGAAAAAAAAGAATGTTGTGCAGACCAATCAGATTGCGGTTGCTTTCACCTTCTCCACCGTATGGGGTACATTCAACAAAACAACTGCAATCAACGCTGAACCAATGTTTTATTTTATTCAATTTTACAATATAATACAACCTAGAAAACATTTCCATCCAGAATATTCACATGTGTATGTAGGCAGGGCAGACATTTTCCAACAACTACCTAGTTATATTCAGCAGAGACGTGCTCTCCTTAACCTTTTCACGAGACAGCCCTTTAGAATGTTGAATGCACCCCTGATATTGTCCGGAAGAATAATATTTTTGACGTAACCAAGAAGGCGTGTTTCCGGAAGACGTGGCTAGTGCAACAGTGGCAGCTGTTGTAATAGCACTTGAACGTGTATTTTAGTAAAATACAATTAACAGTGTCAACCTTTATATTTTACAAGCTGTAGATTCATTGTCAAAATGATCTCTCTAACGGACTCACAGAGTAAGGCGATTTCTATTTTATCTAACGGTTGTTGCTTGCCAACTTGTTCCAGCTCTTTGGCTAACGTTCGTTAGCAAGCTAGCCTCAGCTACATTACTAACGCTAAGTTAAGCTAGGCTATTCTCTTAATGTGAGGAAACCAGCTAGAAATAGCTAACTAGCTGAATAGTATTTTTTTGCTAGATAGAGTGACAATTGACAGCTAACGTTAGCTAGCTAATTAATGATATTCATTCTGAGCCAGATGGCTAGCTAGGGAGCGAGGATGTCAATTGAAACCACAGGAGTTTGGTGGCACCTAATTGGGGAGGACGGGCTCGTGGAATATGTGGAATGGTATGTTGCATGCCATCCATTCGCTCCGTTACCGCCATTGTTATGAGCCGTCCTCCCCTCAGCAGCCTCCTGTGATTGAAACATATGAACGTTAGTGTGCTTGGATACTTGAAATAATATGATTCCTCTTTCTTGCAGAGATCGGAATGGGACTAACAGGCTTCGGTGTGTTTTTCCTCTTCTTTGGAATGATCCTGTTTTTTGACAAAGCCCTCCTTGCAATAGGAAATGTGAGTGATTTCACCATCCACAGTTCATATTCAGAATGTTTGCCTACCTTCTGCAGCTACATACACAAGGCTTACGTTTTGCACTATTTATTGGACGTTGGTGTGATCTGCAATTCCATTATCTCTGAGGGACACTGAGAAACACACAGCTGCAGAGTCAGAGCTCCTTGTCTGAGGGTTAATGGTTGTTCACTCTGTGTGTGCCTTTCTGTCTCTCTCTCTCTCTCTCAACTGAGAACAATCACCACCTTATAGAGTAGTGGAGAGTTGTAGGGTTTAATTGTGAAGTACTCTGTCATTGTCAACAAACATTGACATTGTCTGTTCCCTGTCCCTTCTATCTCTCTCTATAGATCCTGTTTGTGGCTGGCCTGTCGTTTGTTATCGGTCTGGAGAGGACCTTCCGCTTCTTCTTCCAGAAACACAAGATGAAGGCCACCAGCTTCTTCCTGGGTGGAGTGTTGATCGTTCTTATTGGCTGGCCCATTGTGGGCGTGGTCCTGGAGGTCTATGGTTTTTTCCTTTTATTCAGGTGGGTACAGTACAGTACAGGCCCCAGGCTCAGTTTGCTAAGCTTATCTTTAGAATAAGATCCAGTCTGGAGGGAAACAAGCCAAGGAAAGCTTTGTTTGTCCTGTCAACTGTGTCTTGCCCCCGCCCCCTGTTGAGCGCAGCCCCCATTTGATGCAAGGGCTTTGCTGCGTGTAAAGATCCGTAGTCCGTCATCATGTGCTTGCTGTTGTCAACTAACTCTCTCTCTTTCTCTCCCCCCCTCTCTTTCTCTTTCTCTTCTCCAGGGGTTTCTTCCCAGTGGCAGTAGGCTTCATCAGAAGGATACCCATCCTGGGCTCCCTGCTAAACCTCCCATTCATCAGTGGGGTGAGTACAGTGATGTAGTGGTAAAAAAAATCTGATCGCCGGTTACGGTGAAAAAAGTAACGCTCCTATAGTTTCAATGCATTTTTCCCGGTGGGTAAACTGTGTTTTACTTGTGTTTATCCTCCACTACACCACTGAGTGAGTAAAACGATGGGAACAGGAGCTACAATGCAGTGGTTGCTGTGTGGGCTGAGGTAGTTACACTAAAGACAACACATGGTCCACTTGGGCTCTGACAGTGGTTCTGGAAGGCTGTAGTGTCTCATACTGTGTCACTCAATCTTCTATCATATAAGAGTGTGTGTTTGTGTGTGTGTGTGTGTGTTTTGAGGTGTATGTTCGTGGAGTCACTTGTTTTGATGAGAATGTGTCTCTTTAAAGCCTTCGTAATTAACTCTGAGGACAATCCGCAGTCTTGGTCAGTCGCTGCAGATTTTCCCTTGCATGTGAGCATGATTCACATCTGTTTATAATGTATGTCATACTGTAATGTTTCCTTATGCCTGACCAGAGTAGGGAATCATTGGTATTGGAAATAATTTATACTAGGGCAACAGCATTTATCCTACACACCATTTTGTATAGTCTACTCAATCAGTCACGTCAAGCAAACATTTCATTGCCCATGTACAACTATGCACTAAATGTTTTAGTCAAGCTTTTCGATGTCATCTATTTTGCTCTACTTTGCAAAGGGGACGGTAGACTGTTGACTTATATTTGTATTTTCTCTCTGTCTTTCAGTTCGTGGACAAAGTGGGAGAGAGCAACACCATGGTATAACGGTGACTTTTTGTTTATTAAGAAAATAAAAATTATATTTATAATACAGAAGTCCTCATAAAGCCACTTTACCCCCATTGGTCAATCGCTTACCTCCAACAGTTAGCTAGGTCATTTTCATGATAATTTATATATTAAGACCTCTTCCCATTTTTTAAAGGGAAAACTGTCTGCTTTTCTGTATCTTGATTCTGCAATTTTAAGGTCCGTACCAGTCCTGGTTGCTACGGGCGACTGTTACTAATGAATCTGGAGTTGGTTACGATGGCTACCCCAGAATGTTTTACATGTCATTGTTGAATGCTGCTCTCCTCTGCTGGAGAACTCCCCATGAGAAGCAGAGTTCCTCTAACGGACTGAAGAGAGCCAGCGTCCATTTTCGCTCTCTTACTCTGCTATTGAATGTAGACAAACTCACCATGTCATCGCCTCTGAAGACAGCCTCTGGACATCCTCAGAAGAGGTGTGGAGGAGGAGCACTGGTCCTATTGTTACATTATAGATGGGGCCAGATCTTAGACCATGTTAGGGTTTCTTGACCATATGATCAGACCGGGGAAAACTCGAAGCCATAGTTATAGGTGGTTTCCTGGTCAGGTATTGGAAAGACTCCTGGTCCTACTTATGGTGCCTGTACTTTCTCACACTGGACTAAAACTTGAGAAAATAGCTTTACTTTCCTTTTCTCTCACGCCTGTTATGAGTACCAGATCTGGCAGTTGCATATTGTCCCCTTATTTTTCTGTCATTTCTGTGTATGACTGGATGAGAGAACTTCTGTAGATTCTTTTTTTTTTTTTTAAGCGGAGTGTACTGAATGGAATGGTTACATGTGAAATGACAATACTTTGACAATGTTTTGTCTGACACTTTTGTAATTACACTTTTTTTTTAAAACTTGCGTTGTGCCATTGTCATTCATTGTGTTTTGATTGTGTCAAATTGAAAATATACTGAACAAAAATATAAATGCAACATGTAAAGTGTTGGTCCCATGTTTCATGAGATGAAATAAAAGATCCCAGAAATGTTCCATACGAACAAAAATCTTATATACTTTTGTGCACACATTTGTTTACATTCCTGTTAGTGAAAATGTCTCCTTTGCCAAGATAATCCATCCACCTGACAGGTGTGGCATATCAAGAAGCTGATTAAACAGCATGATCATTACACAGGTGCACATTGTGTTGGGGACAATAAAAGGCCACTCTAAAATGTGCAGTTTTGTCACAACACAATGTCACAGATGTCTCAAGTTTTGAGGAAGCGTGCAATTGGTATGCTGACTGCAGGAACGTCCACCAGAGCTGTTGCCAGAGAAATGAATGTTTATTTCTCTACCATAAGCCACCTCCAATGTCGTTTTAATGAATTTGGCAGTACATCCAACCGGCCTCACAACCGCAGACCATGTGTAACCACGCCAACCCAGGACCTCCACGTCCGGCTTCTTCACCTGCGGGATCGTTTGAGACCAGCCACCCGAACAGCTGATGAAACTGAGGAGTATTTCTGTCTATAATAAAGCACTTTTGTGGGGAAACACTGATTCTGATTGGCTGGGGCTGGCTCCCCAGTGGGTGGGCGCCCCTGCCCAGTCATGTAAAATCCATAGATTAGGGCCTAATTAATTGATTTATTTCCTTATATGAACTGTAACTCAGTAAAATCGTTGAAATTGTTGCATGTTGCGTTTATATTGTTGTTCAGAAAGTTTTCAGACCCCTTGACTTTTTCCACATTTTGTTACGTTACAGCGTTATTCTAAAATTGATTAAATTGTTTTTTTTCCCTCATCAATCTACACACAATACCCCATAATGACAAAGAAAAAACAGGTTTTTGGAAATTTTAGCAAATCTATTAACAATAAAAAACTGGTTGGTGTGAGGTGTGACCCAGGTGCGGCGCAGGATATATAGAAGGCAGTAGGCAGAGATGGTGAAACAAGGATCTTTACTGGTGGTCCCAAAGCCAGAATACAAAATAACGGACTTATCACGATAAAAGAAAGGCGGAGCAAATAAGTCTCCAAAAACCGGCTGACAGCCAAAATACGAAATACTACCGAAGACTGAAACAAATACCGAAACAGGGAGAACACTTCTCAAGTACCTGTACATAGGTCTCCGATCAGACACTGAGTAGTACTGCTGGACATAGAGAAACTAGCAGAGAAAACTGAGCAAGGGAACACAAGGAAGTGAGAGCATAAATACACAGGTGAACAGGTAGACACAGGTGACACAAATAAGATAATGATTAGTCCAGACTGTGAGTGAGGAGTTGCCTAAGGTTGTCAGAGGATGACACCTAGTGGGTCACTCCGGAACTGCCACCCCCTCCTGTAACAACTTAAGTATTCAGACCCTTTACTCAGTACTTTGTTGAAGCCCTTTTGGCAGCTGTATTTGGGGAGTTTCTCCCATTCTTCTCTGCAGATCCTCTCAAGCTCTGTCAGGTTGGATGGGGAGAGTCGCTGCACAGCAATTTCCAGGTCTCTCCAGAGATGTTCGATCAGGTTCAAGTCCGGGCTCTGGCTGGGCCACTCAAGGATATTCAGAGACTTGTCCCGAAGCCACTCCTACGTTGTCTTTTCTGTGTGCTTAGGGTAGTTGTCCTGTTAGAAGGTGAACCTTTGCCCCAGTCTGAGGTCCTGAGCGCTCTGAAGCAGGTTTTCATCAAGGATCTCTCTGTACTTTGCTCCGTTCATCTTTCCCTCAATCCTGACTAGTGTCCCAATCCCTGCTGCTGAAAAACATCCCCACAGCATGATGCTGCCACCACCATGCTTCACCGGTAGGGATGGTGCCAGGTTTCCTCCAGACGTGACGCTTGACATTCATGCCAAAGAGTTCAATCTTGGTTTCATCAGACCGGAAAATTTTTTTTCTCATAGTATGAGTCCTTTAGGTGCCCTTTGGCAAACTCCATGCGGGCTGTCATGTGCCTTTTACTGAGGAGTGGCTTCTGTCTGGCCACTCTACCATAAATGCATGATTGGTGGAGTGCTGCAGAGATGGTTGTCCTTCTGGAAGGTTCTCCCATCTCCACAGAGGAACTCTGGAGCTCTGTCAGAGTGACCATCGGGTTCTTGGTTACCTCCCTGACCAAGGGCCTTCTCCCCCGATTGCTCAGTTTGGCCGGGCGGCCAGCTCTAGGAAGAGTCTTGGTGGTTCCAAACTTCTTCCATTTAAGAATGATTGAGGCCGCTGTGTTCTTGGGGACCTTCAATGTTGCAAACATTTTTTGGTACCCTTCCCCAGATCTGTGCCTCGACATAATCCTGTCTCGACCTCATGGCTTAGTTTTTGCTCTGACATGCACTGTCAACTGTGGGACCTTATATAGACAGGTGTGTGCCTTTCCAAATGATGTCCAATCAATTGAATGTACCACAGGTGGACTCCAATCAAGTTGTAGAAACATCTGAGGGATGATCAATGGAAACAGGATGCACCTGAGCTCAATTTCAAGTGTCATAGCAAAGGGTCTGAATACTTATGTAAATAAGGTATTTCTGTTTTTGTTTTTTTTATAAATTAGCTAGTATTTCTAAAAACCTGTTTTCGCTTTGTCATTATAGGGTATTGTGTGTAGATTGATGAGGATTATTATATTTGAATCCATTTTAGAATAAGGCTGTAACGTAACAAAATGTTGAAAAAGTCAAGGGGTCTGAATACATTCCAAATGCACTGTAGATGGCAGGATAACCTTGGGGCTGGACCAGGGGCATTTCAGCATGTCTATTTAGCCTATGCCAAACAAGGCACTTGCATACACTATGGTAATAGACTCACAGGTCACAGGGTCAATAACATGACATCACTACTCACATGAATGGACTTTATGAAAATGGAACACATTATAATGGCAGGCCTGTTTTTATCCCAACATTTATGCAAAGAGAATGTAAGATTGTTGTGCTTTATTTGTATTTTTTTTATTTACAAGCGCCGTGCTCAGCTGGTAGAGCACGGTGCTTGTAACGCCAGGGTAGTGGGTTCGAACCCCGGGACCACCCATACACAAAAATGTATGCATGCATGACTGTAAGTCGCTTTGGATAAAAGCGTCTGCTAAATGGCATATTATATATTATATTATATTATATTTAACTAAGCAAGTGCAGATGGCCCTACTATTATTTGGTTCATTTTTAATGTATGAATAACATTTGGAATAATGTATTATTAGTCTCCATACACATTACATTGTCGGCATATGCTAGGCCTACTTGTCTACTTCTCTGCAATTGTTTAGTTTTAGTTGTGGATTGTTTACCAGCATTAGGCTAGGTATAATAATTGATGGTAATGTCAATGAGAATCCCAGGGAACCCATCACCTCCAGCTTCCCTGAGTCTATCCCAATCAAACACTCCTACATTCATTGCGAGGCTGTCAGCTGTTCATTCATAAAAACGACCAGGCATCTATTCATGAACCGCTTCAGTGCACAAGAAGAAAACATATCAATATTTCCAAAGCAATTACTTTCATTTTTTACAACAGTAAGAATACTGATAGTGTCTCAGCATTTTGCATTAAATGGCTTCTTTCTTGACTTTTGATAAAATATGACCTTATACAGTGCCTTCACAAAGTATTCACATCCCTTGACTTTTTCAAAATGGTGTTGTTTTACAGCCTGAATTTCAAAGGGATTAAATTGAGATTTTTTTTTTGCCACTGGCCTACATAATATCAAATAATGTCCCATAATGTCAAAGTGGAATTATATTTTTTGAACATTTTCAAAGTATTCAACCCCTTTGTAATGGCAAGCCTAATTAAGTTCAGGAGTAAAAATGTGCTTAACAAGTCACATAATAAGTTGCATGGACTCAGTAATAGATTTTTAACATTCTTTTTGAATGAGGGCATAAATACGAGTCTCAAAGTCTCATCTCTGAGGGTACCTATTGGTAGATGGGATTTTCTTTCTCATAAAAGCAGACATTGAATATCCCTTTGAGCATGGTGAAGTTATTAATTACACTTTGGATGGTGTATCAATACACCCAGTCGCTACAAAGATTAAGGCGTCCTTCCTAACTCACTGAGTACCACTATTCATATTTTCAAGCACGGGGGTGGCTGCATCATGTTATGGGTATGCTTGTCATCGGCAAGGACTAGGGAGTTTTTTTTTGTTGATAAAAATATATGTAATAGAGCTAAGCACAGGCAGAATCCTAGAGGAAAACCTAGTTCCGTCAGCTTTCCAACAGACACTGGGAGACAAATTCACCTTTCAACAGGACAATAACCTAAAACACAAAGCCAAATATACACTGGAGTTGCTTACCAAGACAACATTGAATGTTCCTAGTTACAGTTTTGACTTAAATCATCTTGAAAATGGCTGTCTAGCAAAGAGCAACAACCAACTTGACAGAGCTTGAAGAATTTGAAAATAATAATATGCATTATTGTACAATCCAGGTGTGCAAAGCTCTTAGAGACCCAGAAAGACTCACAGCTGTAATCGCTGCCAAAGGTGAGTCTAACATGTATTGACTCAGGGGGTTGAATACTTACAGTATGTAATCAAGATATATTACTGTTTCATTTTTCATGCATTTTTTACAATTGTTTTTTTTTAAATCAGCTTTGACATTACAGAGTATTTTGTGTAGATCATTGACAAAAAATGACAATTAAATCCATTTTAATCCTACCTTGTAACACAACAAAATGTGTAAAAAGTCAAGGGGTGTGAATACTTTCTGAAGGCACTGTAGATCTATGATTGCCTTTGGCAGCTAATTGTATTCATAAAATGTGTATTGTGTACATTCAAATGTGAGTAATGATTTGATTGGTTCCTCTCTGCGCTTGGAGTCCACCTATCTTTCATCAAATTGACATGACCTATCGCTGTTGACATCCATAACCCCTTGCGCTGTGGGCTACGAGGTCTCCCCCACCCGTCCAATATAAATACAGGGATAACACTTGTCAAGGCACACAACTTCTGCCCTTTTTCACTTGAAACGGATCTCTACGGGCATAACAGGGATCTAATATCCTCCGTCGCAATGAAAGTAAGTTGCCTATTGAGGTACATTTTGATCTTTGCGCACACAAATGATTACCTTCTTGTCATTTATTTTGAACGCATATTTGTTTTACATTGTCCGCTTCTTCATACAGCATAACTCTAATTTTAACTGTTTCAGGGTGTGAGGACTATTGCAGCTTATGCACTTGTTCTTTTATTTCTGGCAACGCTCGTCTCCCATTCGTTGAGCGCACCGAAGGGCAGTTTCCAGAGGAGAAATTGGTCGCCTCAGGCAATGCTGTACCTCAAGGGCACCCGTATGTCTACTTTATTAGCCTAATCATACTTTGCATTCCTTTGACACACCTTTTAAATGTATTTCTGCATTTATGTCCCCCACAGAGAGTAATTGGAAATAATATGCATTTATTAGCTGTTTTTGTGGCACAACTATAATTATCATTAATGTAAAGAGATTGACATTATAATTTAAATCTGAAGTTGTCCAATGATTTCCTTATTATGTATGTTTATTCATGAATGCAACTAAAATATATTGTATTTCATAACTGTGTATGACTGTGGGTATGTTGTTATTACAGAGGGACGGCGGTTTATCAGCGAGGACAGAAAAGAGGGAGATGTATATGACACATTACATTTAGGTAAATACAATACACTTGTATTTGGCAGTATGTACACATTCTTCTTTTGTATGGCTCTTCTACTGTATGGCTCTGTAAAGTAGTGCACTGTATGGGGAATATGGTGATTTGAGATTTTACCATCATCTTTTACTTTTACCTATCATTACTCTGTATGACATCCTCTTTTCAGAGACTCGCAGTCAGAACACAGAGAAACTCACTGTGAACCAGGCAGCCACAGTCCTGCTCAACTTCCTGCAGCAAGCCAAGGAGGACGGTGAGTTGGGTCATATTGGAACCTACAGTACTGGTTAAGGATACAACCAAGCTAGCTTGGAAACCCACCTCAATAGGCACCAATTCAGGCATTGGGTTCCCCCAACTACATCCAAGCTATAGGTTTGAAATGGCCATAAAGTTAATTGCACTGTTATATTTTTTCATTTCAGGAGAAGAAAATCCTGAACAACTGTACTTTCAAGACTTGCCAGCATGGAAAAGAGAGTACTTCTGATGTATTTTATAATGTATTTGTTATTGTTGATAACATTCTAATCTGTTGCATCTGTTGATCTCTTGTTGTTGGATGTACAATATTTAATGTGATGTAAGAAAAACACTGGACTGAAAATGTTTGAATGTATTGTTTAATAAAATGTTTAATAAAATTATTTTGAATTCATAGCAACACTTGTCTAAGGGTACATCTGATCATATAAGTAATGTGTTCAGGACTAGGGTTGGCCATCCCAGGCTATAGAGAGAGAGACCTCTCAATGCAATTCCTCATACAGTGGGGAAAAAAAGTATTTAGTCAGCCACCAATTGTGCAAGTTCTCCCACTTAAAAAGACGAGAGAGGCCTGTAATTTTTATCATAGGTACACGTCAACTATGACAGACAAATTGAGAGAAAAAATTCCAGAAAATCACATTGTAGGATTTTTAATGAATTTATTTGCAAATTATGGTGGAAAATAAGTATTTGGTCACCTACAAACAAGCAAGATTTCTGGCTCTCACAGACCTGTAACTTCTTCTTTAAGAGGCTCCTCTGTCCTCCACTCGTTACCTGTATTAATGGCACCTGTTTGAACTTGTTATCAGAATAAAAGACACCTGTCCACAACCTCAAACAGTCACACTCCAAACTCCACTATGGCCAAGACCAAAGAGCTGTCAAAGGACACCAGAAACAAAATTGTAGACCTGCACCAGGCTGGGAAGACTGAATCTGCAATAGGTAAGCAGCTTGGTTTGAAGAAATCAACTGTGGGAGCAATTATTAGGAAATGGAAGACATACAAGATCACTGATAATCTCCCTCGATCTGGGGCTCCACGCAAGATCTCACCCCGTGGGGTCAAAATTATCACAAGAACGGTGAGCAAAAATCCCAGAACCACACGGGGGGACCTAGTGAATGACCTGCAGAGAGCTGGGACCAAAGTAACAAAGCCTACCATCAGTAACACACTACGCCGCCAGGGACTCAAATCCTGCAGTGCAAGACGTGTCCCCCTGCTTAAGCCAGTACATGTCCAGGCCCGTCTGAAGATTGCTAGAGTGCATTTGGATGATCCAGAAGAGGATTGGGAGAAGGTCATATGGTCAGATGAAACCAAAATATAACTTTTTGGTAAAAACTCAACTCGTCGTGTTTGGAGGACAAAGAATGCTGAGTTGCATCCAAAGAACACCATACCTACTGTGAAGTATGGGGGTGGAAACATCATGCTTTGGGGCTGTTTTTCTGCAAAGGGACCAGGACGACTGATCCGTGTAAAGGAAAGAATGAATGGGGCCATGTATCGTGAGATTTTGAGTGAAAACCTCCTTCCATCAGCAAGGGCATTGAAGATGAAACATGGCTGGGTCTTTCAGCATGACAATGATCCCAAACACGCCGCCCGGGCAACGAAGGAGTGGCTTCGTAAGAAGCATTTCAAGGTCCTGGAGTGGCCTAGCCAGTCTCCAGATCTCAACCCCATAGAAAATCTTTGGAGGGAGTTGAAAGTCTGTGTTGCCCAGCGACAGCCCCAAAACATCACTGCTCTAGAGGAGATCTGCATGGAGGAATGGGCCAAAATACCAGCAACAGTGTGTGAAAACCTTGTGAAGACTTGCAGAAAACGTTTGACCTGTGTCATTGCCAACAAAGGGTATATAACAAAGTATTGAGAAACTTTTGTTATTGACCAAATACTTATTTTCCACCATAATTTGCAAATCAATTCATAAAAAATCCTACAATGTGATTTTCTGGAAAAAAAATTCTCATTTTGTCTGTCATAGTTGACGTGTACCTATGATGAAAATTACAGGCCTCTCTCATATTTTTAAGTGGGAGAACTTGCACAATTTGTGGCTGACTAAATACTTTTTTCCCCCACTGTATATAACTATTGATTAAACTATTAATGTCCCATTTCCTATGTGCGTGAGGGGACTTTTATCATCAAAGGAATAGGCATTTTCTCTTAGAAAATATACATAGGTAGTATGTGTAACAGCTGCTTGAGGCTCAGTGTCCCTACAACAAAGCTAATATGGAAAGTTCTGGGCTGGAACAAAAACACACTGCGCATACTGCAGCTCTCAAGGACCAGGGTTGGCCATCCCAGGCTAGTAGTGAGAAATCTCTCAGTTGGCAGACTCTCCTGGGTGTGTCTTCTTGCCCTCGGGCGTGGAACCCAGAGTGAAGGGGGCTTTGATGTTCTGCCTGTCCCTCTCCGCCTCCTCATCTTCATCATACGGCTCTTCATCATCCTCCTCCTCATCACTGTGGTGGGGGGTGGAGTGTACCGACGCCGAGGGGGAGGGGGCACAGAGCCGGGGCGGGGGTAACGGAATCCCTCTGTCTGAGGAGAGAGAGAGAGAGAGAGAGAGAGAGAGAGAGAGAGAGAGAGAGAGAGAGAGAGAGAGAGAGAGAGAGAGAGAGAGAGGAGAGCAAATTATTCACTTCTGTGGAAAAACCACAGTGCAACTGTACCTGTACAATACATACATCATACAAACCATGAACAAATGAGCAGAGAGAGAGAGAGAGAGAGACAGGGAGTGGGAGAGAGACAGGGAGATATTGTTTTACTCAAGAGGGCAGTGATTAGAGAACAGTAGTAACAGATTGGACAAATACAAAATTATGTCTTGTCATTTACTAAAATGTTAGGTTGTCAATTTAAGCTCAGGGAATGGATGAACTCTGAGTCTCTGACGCATCTATAGTGTTAATCAATAGAGTCAGAGGAAGACAGACTCTCCTCCGTATCTCACCCGTGGCGGGGCCAGCAGCTCCATCTTGAACTTGTCAGGGAAAGCCCTGCTGAGAGCCAGGCTCCAGGCGTGCATGTAGAATTCCAAACATAAATCAACTGAATCAAATAAATCACAACTAAAACACAACTGAACTAATCACAAATCAACTGAACTAGTCTGAACAAGGAACAATAAAATACTTCTCTAAGGAAAGAAGGGACATTGCTTATATTACATGTTACAAAAGGAAATCTTACAAATAACAAAGAATAACAATGAAGCCAGCACCAAAAGTACGCAATTCAGTGGAATTAGTTTCAGTATGTTTCAATGGTGGTCATAGTATTTTGTTTCCTAAACTAAACTTTGTTGCATTGTGCCTTTCAAACCATTAGGGAAACAGGGACATGGACCTATAGCGACTCACTCGTCCCAGGTACCTCCAGTCCAGCAGGTCCGACAGCCTCTCTGTGCGGTTCCTCTGGATGATGCGCTGTCGTCTGGACTGCTGGCAGAACCCGAACATGAACTGGGTCAGCTGGTTACATGAGTCATCTGCCGAGCGGAACCACCGGTCCACTATGTAGATCCCTGAGAGGAACGGGACAGGAACGGACCAGTGAGACGCAGGAATAAAGTATTCCATTCTATTATAAATAGAGTATTTCTTCTGTTCTAAACTGCTGACTGATAGGAAGTAAGGGCTAGAATTTCACTGATAAAAAGAGAGTCACTCTGTTCTTCTGGGTTTCGGGGAACTCCCAAAATATATCAGAGCTCTTCCATAAGAGGTCAATCACACTGTGCACTGATTTGGTGATGAAACTGGAGAGGTCTGTATGCACGTACATACCATATGCTGTGGGGTCTGACACATGTTCCTCCATGAAGCAGCCGAAGCCAGACAGGTTGGGGGTCACACTGGGTATCCCCATCACAGTACACTCACCTGGGGAGCAATAACAACTACAACCTAATAGTACACTCACACAACATACAACTCTCCACACACATGAAGGAATACACAAAAACAATGATAGAAACATTTGCCAGAGAAAACCCAAGTGATGGAGTTTATGTTCGCAGGCTTTGTAAGTGTGACAGGTCACGTGGTGTGTGTCCCCAGGGCTCGTAGTAAGAAGGGAAGACCCCCAGGTTACAGCCTCGTACAAACTCCTCATAGTCCATAGGAAGCAGGGGACTGGTGGAGGACAGGAACTCTGGGTGGAACACTATCTGAGTGTATCCGGGAACATGTCTGTTAGTACCATTTAGAATAAAATATAGAGATCAGTACTACACTGGCTATACTGTGTGCTCTAAGGGTCCTCTGTAGCTCAGTTGGTAGAGCATGGTGCTGGTAAGATAGGGGGACGTAAAATCTATGACCTCATGGCTGTAAATTGCTTAGGATAAAAGCGTCTGCTAGATGGCATATACAGTATACTCTAACACAGGGGTTCCCAAACGTTCTTGCTTTGTGACCCACCAATCGAGGTGTCTTTTGAGCTGCGACCCACCATAAGTGTTATGTGGTGAAAAAACATACACAGACCAAAGAATAAGTCAAATATATTATCGTGGCAGCGGAGAGAAAATGTTGCAGTTCCAAAGCGAATCTCCTGCAATTCCACACATCCTGCCATGGAGCTGAAAGAAAATGTTGCAATTTTAAAGCTAATTTCCTACAATTCTACGCATTTTGGCATGGCTACTGCTGTGTTCTTATCCTCAAACATTATAACAAAATCAATGTGGTCCTGATTGTCTAGCTTTTATTGTGTTGATTTTAAATTCTCAAAAATTATAAGCTATTATAGAGAAATGTATAGGTCCATTATCTTTTCTACATCCTTTCTATTTGGTTTTAGTCATTTAAGTTTACAATGAAAGCGTTTTTCTATACCGAATATGTATTTCTAAAAATAAAATAAAACAAATGGGGGGGGGGGGGGGGCAATGTCCTCCCGTGATCCACCTGGACCACTGCAGCGACCCACAGTTTGGGAACCACTGCTGTAACGGAATAAAGAACACTTTGATAGTACTTCACATAAACGCAACAGGTATTACTTATCATAAGCACGTATGAGCCTTTATGGTGTTTTTATATAGTCAATGTCTCGGCTGCCAGGCTTTTTCCAGACAATTCTTCAACTGGTTTAACACAATAAACGAGGCAAAACACTATCAAACATGGACATCAAACAAACATCCTGCATACCTTGACTCTGTCAGTGCGAGCGTTGAAGAGACCGATGCGTCTCACATTGGCCAGGATAGGGTCAGAGGTGTCATCCAGCATGTTGTGAGTGGTCACTGGAGGAAGGGTGTGTCTCTGCAGAGAGAGAGACAGACAGAGTACAGTGTGTGTGTGTGTCTGTGTGCGTGCGTGCATGTGCACGTGTTGTGACTGCGTCATCATTGTGCACGTGCCTTGAGCAGTAAACATGGCGCGTATCAACATCTATAAGTCACTGATCCATGACTAATAACCTTTACGGGTAGACATCAGGAATATGGATCTGAAGAAGAGTATCTAACCATTGGCCTAATGATATTTAATGATTCTCTTCTCTTGGGATTACCCTCAAAAGAAACACAAGCCTTTATCTCAGAAGATATTAACGTGCATGTAAAAGAGTTGCTGAATAGACAGTAATGCTAAAAACATGTCACAAGTGAACAGGCGGCTACATCTCACATCAACTTTGAGGCGTAAGAACTTAGCAGACATGCAAAGCCATTTGTCACTCTAACCACTGTGTGAATGCAGCAAAAGTGCAGACAGACAAGTATTTCTGTACTGGTACATCTAACACAAATGGGACTCAGGGTCAATAAAAATGGCAGTGAGAGTAACAACGGCCACAATCTGTCCACCAATCAAACACCTGTCGTAATTTTTACGCCTACACACGTGACATGAATAAATCTAAGTGACAACGCCATTTCTATTGGCTCTTTGCTATTAAATACTGCAACACCATCCAATCTATTGACCCATGGCCTGGTGTTATGACGGTTCAATGATTCACGCTGGGCTGTATAACTGCAGGGACCATTCATTCATAGTTTTAGCACCAGGAATCCCCCAGTCCCATTCTGAATTGATCACCTTACAAGGGCATACCTCACATTGACCCACCACGTCAATGTTAAGTTACTCCTTTCATAAAACAGCAGGGTACAATGTATTGGGATTCTCTGGACGATACATCTCTACATTACCTTGTTGTCCAGTTTTCTCTGTCTTTCTACCACTCTGGTTGTCTCTGTTTTATTTGATGTTCACCATACAAATGTCTATACGCCAGTCTTTTAATCATAATGTAGACCTCACCGAATCTACAATATGGAGACTGTTAGCATTCTTGATAACCTAACTCCTTATGGCTTTACTACTGTGTATAATGCACCTCTTACAACTATGATATACTATAACCTTTACCTGAGTATATTTCATACATTATCTGTCTCTTCAACTCCTACCTGTGTGGCATAGATGGCTCTCTTCATGGTGGTGAAGTCGTCTCTGTCCAGGATGGTGTTCATATCAGGGATGTCTCCTCTGAAGACATCATGAGGTCATCAGCAGGTTAGTAAGGCAACACTCAAGTAATCACATTATAACCCGCATGGACAAGCCCTTCATTAACACGGAAGTTCGTTCCACACGTTGGTAATGTGGAAGACCCAAAGGTCACGCACCATCCGCATGAATGAACTAAGTGAAGCCTTAGTTCATTCATAACAAGAGCCTGCTAAGGATTGCCTGGCTAAATGGCAGGGTTGTCAAATAGAGGGGTGTTACACTGATATGACATACAGTACAGGTTCTCTGTATTTTTTACTTACATTTAAATTGACTTACTTTAACAAAGCCTCGGAAAGCCTCTTGCCAAACTTATCTTTCACAGTGTGAGTAGTGTCCCTGTCAGAGAGATATACGTAGATAATCAACAAATTGTTTAAGATGTAACATATTAATGCGAACCATGTTGGCAACACAAGTTCCAAGGCAATTTTCTAAGAATGCAAATTAGAATGTTATTTCCATAAAATGTTGGGTGCTAACATTGCAGACATTTTGCAGAACTCCATGAGGTGTACATTTTTGGGGTTGCAGAGATGTAGCAGAGCTGTTTGCGTACCGCCTGTCCCTTCAGTGACTCCACGTTAAAGTTGCTGGTCTTGGCTGGCATGATGAAGAACGCCACCACTGTGACGTCATTCTTATGCACCTGGGAGAGAAGGGAAAAAATGAGATGAAGAATTTAGGATGAAACTGTCATTTTGTTATGAGAGAGACCAGTACATGTGCAGTATTGATTAGATGCCCATACCCTCAGCAGGTAGGTAAGTCTGGACAGTGACTCCAGGAAGATGTCAGCTCTCTTGTTGGAGAACTCATATTGTCCAGCAATGAAGAAGAAGAGGGTTTTCTCCAGATTGAAGTCTAGATGACTGACAAGAAACAAGGGATAATAGTTTTAAAACAGCCAATAGTTATATAGTTAGCAGTATATTGGATAACAAACTTGAAAACGTAATAAGGACTTAAGTATTACCCATAGAAGTGTCCCCTGATGAATTCCTGATTCCGACCCTTGTTAGTGGAGTGAAGGTTCTGGAACTCGTGCGTGGATGAGATCTTCTTGATGTTCAATCCGTTTTGGAGTCACCACATCTGTACAGTAGATAGAGAGAAACACAGCTTACTTCAATATCAAATATCCCTGCTCTGTCACTTTTTGTTCAATAGGAGAAAACATTTTGAAACGTGAAAAGAGCATTCTTATTGGACATAAGTTGACAATTTCAGGTATTACCTCCTCCATTTCGAAAGGTTTTGGTACAGTGGACCGTAATGTACAGGACCCTGGCCACCTCACCTGGTTTCCTGTGCAGCCTGTGGTTAGCCTCTACAGCAGTGATCTGGGATACAGTTGTAAAGACATGGGCACAATGGACAGCAACTCTCTCCAGACAGTAGCGATGGTAGATCTGCCTCTCACCAGCCTCCTGGTCTATGTTGAACTGACAGGGGCACATCAGAAATCAACACAAGAGTCATTAATAGGTCATTATTAAGAGATAACTATTGTGTAATGACCTATTGTCATGCACATTCTAAGTAAATATCAGGTGAATAGTGAATGAAACCTGTGAATAAAACCTCATATGTTGAGATCTACAATAACTAGTATTGGGGCTATGGGCTTCATTTTGAGTTCGTTGGGCATCTGTCAATCAAACAGTTTGACAAATGTTTGAAGTAGGATCTCTCTTGAGTCTCCTGTCTGCCAGTGATGAGGAGGCTTCCTCTTCCTCTCCATAATGAGAAGATGCTGTCAATTACCCAGCCTACCCAGTGAATGACCTTTAGGTCCACAATGACCTTTTTACACTTAGCCTGAGGGCCAATTACAGTACCATACACCAGCATAAACACAACACAACACAGACCCATAGCTCCCTGACACACAGGGAAGATACTATGAGAAACACTAAATCTAACAAAAACACCTGCCTCTGTGAAGAGGATAACGTTTTGTGAGGCATTTGAATAACAAAGACAGAGAATAAGTCCTGCCACTCATGGAAATGGACGAGGACATTGGGCGAGTCTCCAAGCTGGTCGGTTAACTAGAAATTAAAGCAATTCATTACTAATAATTAGCTCTGAAATCTCATATTACCCAAGAGGGTGAATATGATTTAAGTAAAAAGAAGTAGGCTACTGTATCATTTATTTTTAAAGATATCTGACATTAAGGTATTCACATCAAGCAGATATTCTTGACTTTAAACAAATCTTTAAACCTCTTTCAGAGTATTTTTCACAGCATCCTTAACAAGCTGACAAATGACCTCTTTAAAGAACCAGGCAACCAGGGATCCAAATATGAGTGAGCCGTTGGCCTCTCTGTCATGGGCGGGCAGGCCGATACCACAGGTGTCCCACAGATCCCCCTGCCATCAGTCCAGGTTCCAGGCTGCTGACCCCATGTCAAATAGGATCACATAGGGACTGCCCTCGATCAGCCAGCACCCAAAGTACACCTAAAACATACAGTAGAACCCCAACACAAGGGAAAGATATGTGTGGTTCTACAAGACAGTACCAATCAACACATGAGACCCACAATCACAGTATCAAACACATGGGGCAAAGCTGAAATACTACTAAATAATAGATTATGAAGCTGGTGATATATTTGTTTGTTTCTGATTCTGGAGATGGTGTTTGTCTGCCATCTTGTGGTTTCATAATCTCTATCTAACTCTATTGGCGTCAACAGCGTAGGCCTACTTCTGTAGAAGTGCATGTCTGCCCTCTTCTGGACAGAAAGTACTACTACAGGATTGTGTATTCTCCACTTGCATGTCATACCCATAGAATAGAATAGAAAATAATATAATAAAATAAGTCTGTAGTAGAGTACCAGACAGCCGTTGTCAATGAGAGCGCACATGGCTTTCTTGATGGCTGGGTTGGGGGGCTCACACTGCTCCACCTGGGTCTTGAAGTTGTGTTCGTAGTACGGCCCCATCATGAATAAGTTCTACCCCCATTCATCCACTGTTATCTTGGCCTTGGTCTGGATCACTGTGTAGATCCCACCCACTAGAGGAAATATATATAATATACATGAGATTCAAACTTTCTAACTTGTGACTTGTTATGACACCCATAAGGGGGGGGGGGTGAGTGTGTCCACATATTAAGATATAATTCTACATGATATTGTGTATTTTGCATGATTAATAGTCTAAGATACACTGGAATTAACAAAAACAAAGACCATGATATAAATAACAAAAAAAACTTGAAAATGCTGCAAATGATCATAGAAAAGATAAGCTACAGTTGTGAAGTATTTGTGAAGAGGACCATCAACAATCACAAACCACTGTATTACGTCTGCACACCATCATAGGTGCATAAGAATTTTCCCTTGTGCCAAATACATTTACTCAGCATACCTGATAAGCAGTGTTGGGGAAGCTACTCCTAAAATATACACTGCTCAAAAAAATAAAGGGAACACTTAAAAAACACATCCTAGATCTGAATGAATGAAATAATCTTATTAAATACTTTTTTCTTTACATAGTTGAATGTGCTGACAACAAAATCACACAAAAATTATCATTGGAAATCAAATGTATCAACCCATGGAGGTCTGGATTTGGAGTCACCCTCAAAATTAAAGTGGAAAACCACACTACAGGCTGATCCAACTTTGATGTAATGTCCTTAAAACAAGTCAAAATGAGGCTCAGTAGTGTGTGTGGCCTCCACGTGCCTGTATGACCTCCCTACAACGCCTGGGCATGCTCCTGATGAGGTGGCGGATGGTCTCCTGAGGGATCTCCTCCCAGACCTGGACTAAAGCATCCGCCAACTCCTGGACAGTCTGTGGTGCAACGTGGCGTTGGTGGATGGAGCGAGACATGATGTCCCAGATGTGCTCAATTGGATTCAGGTCTGGGGAACGGGCGGGCCAGTCCATAGCATCAATGCCTTCCTCTTGCAGGAACTGCTGACACTCCAGCCACATGAGGTCTAGCATTGTCTTGCATTAGGAGGAACCCAGGGCCAACCGCACCAGCATATGGTCTCACAAGGGGTCTGAGGATCTCATCTCGGTACCTAATGGCAGTCAGGCTACCTCTGGCGAGCACATGGAGGGCTGTGCGGCCCCCCAAAGAAATGCCACCCCACACCATGACTGACCCACCGCCAAACCGGTCATGCTGGAGGATGTTGCAGGCAGCAGAACGTTCTCCACGGCGTCTCCAGACTCTGTCACGTCTGTCACATGTGCTCAGTGTGAACCTGCTTTCATCTGTGAAGAGCACAGGGCGCCAGTGGCGAAATTGCCAATCTTGGTGTTCTCTGGCAAATGCCAAACGTCCTGCACGGTGTTGGGCTGTAAGCACAACCCCCACCTGTGGACGTCGGGCCCTCATACCACCCTCATGGAGTCTGTTTCTGACCGTTTGAGCAGACACATGCACATTTGTGGCCTGCTGGAGGTCATTTTGCAGGGCTCTGGCAGTGCTCCTCCTGCTCCTCCTTGCACAAAGGCGGAGGTAGCAGTCCTGCTGCTGGGTTGTTGCCCTCCTACGGCCTCCTCCACGTCTCCTGATGTACTGGCCTGTCTCCTGGTAGCGCCTCCATGCTCTGGACACTACGCTGACAGACACAGCAAACCTTCTTGCCACAGCTCGCATTGATGTGCCATCCTGGATGAGCTGCACTACCTGAGCCACTTGTGTGGGTTGTAGACTCCGTCTCATGCTACCACTAGAGTGAAAGCACCGCCAGCATTCAAAAGTGACCAAAACATCAGCCAGGAAGCATAGGAACTGAGAAGTGGTCTGTGGTCACCACCTGCGAAACCAGTCCTTTATTGGAGGTGTCTTGCTAATCGCCTATAATTTCCACCTGTTGTCTATTCCATTTGCACAACAGCATGTGAAATGTATTGTCAATCAGTGTTGCTTCCTAAGTGGACAGTTTGATTTCACAGAAGTGTGATTGACTTGGAGTTACATTGTGTTGTTTAAGTGTTCCCTTTATTTTTTTGAGCAGTGTAGTTTACCAAGCTACCAATTACTTCACACTGGAAGAAGTTAAGCTACACTAATGACCCCAAAGTGATCTGTTATTGCAATTTGTAGTCTATGACATTTCAGATTTAGATATGATAATGTTTCACAAAGTAGTAACTGTAGTTAAGTAAACTATATTGTTCTTAAGGGTAGCTTATGTTAACAGAATGTGTAATTTAGTCTATTAAATACAAAAACAATGTTTCAAGTAAGAATTAGGCAGGTCTGATACCGAAAAAGAAAGGAAATTCTTGCTTACTTCACCCATATTTTATTTTATGTTTGCATAAAAAGTAGTGTGTAGTTCCAGTAGTTAGCTACACCACTACGTAAAAAAAAGAAGTAATTAACTACTGAAAACACTACCAAGTTTTGCATTTAGTTCATCTACCACTAAGCTACTGCAAAATGTAGTTAAATTACTAGTTGAACTACATATACAGTAGTTCACTACTCCCCAACACCGCATAAATGATAACCTCTGAATTCTTCACAACAACAGGATAGACTCAGACAACCGATCCGTATACAGTACACAGAACTGAAGAGCCCTATACTACAAAAAGTACATCATGTTTCTTTGATCATTGGGACTCTCATGTCTAGTTCAGTCTATTTTCCAGGAACACGTTTATTTTGCCAGTATGGTTAAGGTTCATATACAGTTGAAGTCGGAAGTTTACATACACTTAGGTTGGAGTCATTAAACTCGTTTTTCAACCACTCTACAAATTTCTTGTTAACAAACTATAGTTTTGGCAAGTCCGTTAGGACATCTACCTTGTGCATGACACAAGTAATTTTTCCAACAATTGTTTACAGACAGATTATTTCACTTATAATTCACTGTATCACAATTCCAGTGGGTCAGAAGTTTACATACACTAAGTTGACTGTGCCTTTAAACAGCTTGGAAAATTCCAGAAAATTATGTCATGGCTTTAGAAGCTTCTGATAGGCTAATTGACATCATTTGAGTCAATTGGAGGTGTACCTGTGGATGTATTTCAAGGTCTACCTTCAAACTCAGTGCCTCTTTGCTTGACATCATGGGAAAATCAAAATAATTCAGCCAAGACCTCAGAAAAAAAATGGTAGACCTCCACAAGGTCTACCATTTTCAAACGCCTGAATGTACCACATTTCCAAACGCCTGAATGTACCACATTCATCTGTACAAACAATAATACGCAAGTATAAACACCATGGGACCACGCAGCCGTCATACCGCTCAGGAAGGAGACGCGTTCTGTCTCCTAGAGATGAACGTACTTTGGTGTGAAAAGTGCAAATAAATCCTAGAACAACAGCAAATTAATTGTGAAGATGCTGGAGGAAACAGGTACAAAAGTATCTATATCCCAGTAAAACGAGTCCTATATCGACATAACCTGAAATGCCGCTCAGCAAGGAAGAAGCCACTGCTCCAAAACCGCCATAAAAAAGCCAGACTACGGTTTGCAACTGCACATGGGGACAAAGATCGTACTTTTTGGAGAAATGTCCTCTGGTCTGATGAAACAAAAATAGAACTGTTTGTCCATAATGACCATCGTTATGTTTGGAGGAAAAAGGGGGCGGCTTGCAAGCCGGAAAACACCATCCCAACTGTGAAGCACGGGGGTGGCAGCATCATGCTGTGGGGGTGTTTTGCTGCAGGAGGGACTGGTACACTTCACAAAATAGATGCCATCATGAGGAAGGAAAATTATGTGGATATAATGAAGCAACATCTCAAGACATCAGTCAGGAAGTTAAAGCTTGGTCGCAAATGGGTCTTCCAAATGGACAATGACCCCAAGCATACTTCCAAAGTTGTGGCAAAATGGCTTAAGAGTTGCTCCATATTTGTACACTTCACTGCAACCCATCATTACACAAAAGTAGTAATACTGCCTAAAATAAAGGATGTACTATTAAAATTGCAAGATCATGCAATGAATGAATGGACAAGTAACATCAATGACATCTATAGACAATGCATGCAACATTGCATCCACTGACACTATTACATTTACTGAGGAGGAACACAAAACAGTTATACTCTACAGACACATACCATTGGAAGAGACTTTACAGTGAATTGTCTGTCTCCTTGCAGATAATTATTGGTCTGGTAATACTAACCTTTATTAGTGACCTCCCAGGCCACCTCAAACAGCAGCAGGTCGTCTACAGGTAGATCTTCCTCCTCCCACAGCCGCAGACCGCTCAGTGACGTCATGGATAAGGAACGGGTCAGGGGCATGTTGCTATCAACACGTTTTTAAGTAAAGAAAAGATAAGTGCCACTGATGCTCTCTCAGTTTGTTGGTCCTCTCCTCTGTAGGTTCAACTGTAAACTGTCTATCTTCTCACATCCGAATATTCCACTGGAGTTCACTTGGACTCAGAAGAGGATGCAACATACATCCCATGGTCCCAGTGCCTCACTCTTAGCAGTCCACTGTCCAGCCCGCCTACTTTTTGTAATTGAATCCGACCCTCGTCTGTGAACAGAAAGTCAACATTCCCTGGCTGCATGTACAGGACTGAAGTCCACACACAGACATCAAAATACATCAAAGGTGAGCAAAAGTGGAGAATATACAGATGTAGGATCTTAATTTGAAGCAGTTTGCTACAGCAGGAAAATAATCCTGCAGCAACAGGAAATATGAATTATTATGTGGATTTTAATTAATGGAAATTTTTATAGGAGTTGATCACTTTTTCGTTACTGTAAATTGCAAACTTTAGAAGCCTTTTTAAAACTCAAATACATTACACGTTTGAATTTCGTGCTGTGCAGGATAATTCTCAGCATCAAACGAGTGATCAAATGAAGATCCTACATAAATTAAAAATCAAAGTTCACATGTATTATTCTATGGTTTCCCTAGCCTTAAACAGTATGCCAAATTCATGATATTAAGAATACTCATTCACATTTCGATATTGTATTATTTATATCATGAATTTGGCCCTACTATTTATAGGGCTATGGTTTCCCTTTTTAGGCGATGTAAACTATACTAGGCCTACTGGAGTCTTATTATCATGCATATCATGTCTGCAATTGAGGGACCTCGACATTAATTACAGTAGCCTAAATAATTTCACAAATTACACTTTTGTTTTAAAACAATAGTCTGTGTTAGGAAAAAAAACAGTAATTGCGACAAAAATAAAACCTAGGTAGCCTACAGTTCATTTCCGCTGATGATGACGCAGAAAGTGTACGTGGCGCAATGTTCGCTTGAACTTTCATTCATTTGTTTAACTGGACAATACCCAGTGACAGCCAATAGTTAGGGCTGTGTAGTGTGTCTCCACACATTGAAACCTGACCTCGCTCTTAATCCATGTTCAGTCCACGTAGCCTTTTCAAGTGCATAGTCCTATTTCTCAATGTTGACTAGCCTATAGGTGGTTTAGCCTATAGGTAGGCCTATTGGTGGTTTATGGCATAATTTCTCATCAAGAAATCTCGTTTCATTCCCAGAAATAGGCCCTATATGTTGTGTTGGCTATGCAAACACTTGGCACCCCCATGCGTCCTGAATGAGTTGTGAGTTTTATACATGTGGTTGAATGTTGGTCAAACAGAATGCATGCAATTCTGATGGACCAACATTACAAGAATCAATCATGGGTGAAGTAAGTTATATAGATGTATATTATTTACACATAATTTATATTTGGCTAGTGTCTAAACTGCTGCCCAAAATCTTCCCATATCCCTCAATCCTCTCATGCACTGTAGCAAACTGCATCAATTCAACAACAACCACATCTGATCGTCATGTTTTCAGAGAAAAGTCATCCCTTGTTGCGGATTGTCAACATTTCCTAGAAGGTGATGAATTATTCATTTCAGCACCACTAAGAGCAGTGGACAGCGACTCATCCGCTGTCATCTAGCTCCTAACAATCCGGGGCATACAGACGGAAATATAAAAAGGCAGAGAATACACGTCATGCATCAAAGAAAGACAGCCAAGTGTAGATGACCACATATAGTTTCTTGCTGCATTGGTTGGATGCGAAGTGTGATCACTGGATTTTGACAGAATGAGAATGCTGGCATTTTTCCTGGTTTGTGCGATAATTCGCCAGTATGGAACATTGGGGACTCCAATGCATGGATTTGGGAGGACGGATATCCCAGGTAATTGGTTAATTTAATATATTGACATCTTATAGGTCATTTTCTTCTCATAATGTCCTGAGGCAAACTTTTCAATATCGTAAAGTAATAAGCTAAGAAAATTCTATTTTATAATTTGATGCTCTCTCTTTTCTCAGGACATACACCTGCTAAGGTACAAGAGGGGCACTCTGTGGTGATGAGAAGCAAGGCTGTCAGTCCGAATTTACCTGAAGATGCTAACATTTGTTACCTTTTGAAAGAGGGTGATGAAGACCAGCGACAAATGATCTGCAAACATCGTTTAACTCGGACCAGCAAATTCAACTTCAACCCATTTGGGCTCCGATTTGGAAAGCGCGACAAATTTAACCCATCCAAGGCCAACCTCATAAGATCCAGGACAAGCAAACTGTTGCCTATTCTACTCTACCTCCGAGAACTAGAAGTTCCTGCCTAAATGGACAAGCAGTTTCTCTTCCAAAGAAGGAACAAATGGATATGGTCAATTTCTTACTGTTATAGCAGCATCGTTATAACAAGTCACTCATAAGGTAAAGAGTTTGTGTGTCTACTTATAAAAGGTGGGTTTGGGAAATGCATAAGTCTGCTGAATAAAAGTTTTGTTCTTGTCTTGTGTAATGTAATTCTTACACCTTGTAATGATGATAAGGAAAAATAATTGCCTTGAATCAGCTAGATGCATTTCAGCACCACTACACAGTGGACAGCGCAGCAATTTGTTGGTTGGGAAGGAAAGCAATGTAAAAGCCAATATGGTTCTGTGATTGAACATGCAAAAGTGTTGCCTAATTGACAGAATGTTTCTTTACTGAACATATTGTCAATATTAATTTGATGGTTTATGTGAATAAAAGCATGACAAGGGATCTTTAAATGTCAGATAATTTAGTTGCGATATCTAACCAGAGGGAGGCGTTCTGTAGCCCAGTTTACTGAGGGACATTTCAGTCATTGGACACAATTCTTCATAAAGGTTCAAATATTTATTAAAGTTACTCATTGTTTGTTGTCATTCATTACACAATCAACATGGCAGTTACAGTATGATATAATAACTCAAGTAGGATGTTTTGATTGATTCCACCTCTGCCCTCTTTCTCCCTTTGCCATTGATTGCCAGAAAGAAACATACTGAACATCTCGCCTCACCTAGCACAATAACCAACACCACTGCTCCCTGACAGGATGTGACTGAGTAATAGGGTCTTTGTTTCTGAAATCCCTAAAGGGAGTGAACAGAACAGTGCAAATGAAAGAGGATAAAGCCAACACTTTTCTTTTGATCATAGTACAATAGCTTCAACACATGAATCCAATGAGGGTACGTACAGTCATACTGGTTCACACAGTACCTAGCATGGAAACACCACACCAACCTCATCCTACAAAGGGAAAGGTCGGGGGTGAAAGGAAGAGTTTATACCAGCAGATTAAGATGAAAGGGGGATGGATACAGTAGATCAGAAGGGGGCTGGAACTAGGTCTGGGAGTCACTGCATCGGAGACGGAGGGAGGGTAGAGGTGTGAAGTCCGTCCGCCTGTGGGTTGTTGGTTTGGTGTGTGTTGTGTCTAGATGTCCTTGAGGTCCTTCTGGATGCCCCAGAGTGTGTCTGCACTTTTCTTCAGCTGGCCCACCTCCGCGTCGGTCAGGGTCATGTTGATCACGCTGCCCACTCCGTTGCTGTTCAGCACGCATGGCAGGGACAGGAACACCTCCTCACCAATACCATACATGTCCTGGGGAAACAAAAACACAGCCGTCAGTCATTATCGCATAGAAATGTGTGCGTTTGATTCGCTCTGTGTGGGTTTACATGCGCATAATGTGTGTGTAACTGTGTGTGTGTCTGCACACATGTGTCTGTGGGTGTAATCCCCTCACCTTGACCATGGTGGAGACAGGGTGGATCCTGCTCATGTTCTTGATGATGCTCTCAGTGAGGTCAGCCACACTCAGGCCGATGGCCCAGTTGGTATACCCCTTCAGCTTGATCACCTCATAGGCACTGGAGGAGCACCCAAAACAAAACAATCACCGTCAGTCAACATCTACGTCCGACTTGAACAGGTCTCTCTCAATGAGAGGAAGCTGCATGAACATTAACTCAAATAAAAGGTTAATTCAAAATCCAAAATGGAAGGGAGTGCGAGCTTTGATATTTATTCTAGTATACAATGTCAGTAGAACTAGATATATTAATGATACCAAAAATTAGACCAGCCTGATATCATCCTTATTTTAGCCCTTACACCTTGACAACTCCAGTAGATATGAATGAATCAGACGGTGGTGCGCAATATGGTGTAAACTCCAGCTTTACTACCAGGGTGAGGTTGAGTCAGAGGCGCATATTTAGACTGTGGACGGAGCTAGGGATAGGTTTAGGGTATTTACCTGTCGACCACTTCCTTGTGGGTGGCCTTCCAGTCCTCCTTGTCTCCGTCAAGGCCAAACTCTGGGTTCAGCTTCTGCAGGTTGACTCCAGCCACATTGACACCGCTCCACACAGGGACTAACACACAGATATTTATTTATTCATTCATTTACCTAGAAAATATATTTGAATTTCCCATTTAAACACAAGCAGACTCAACTCATTCATAACTAATTATTTCTGCCAGATAACTGGATGTGCAGAGTGACGTAAAAATGCCAAAACAAGTACTTTTGTTTTAAAAAGCCGTTAAAAGCTGCCAACAACCTTGTGGCTTACTGGGTGTGACAAGACGTTCACACATGCACTCAGATTCCCACTAAAGTACGCACTCAACTGACATCACCATTCTTATCACCATCATCCCCACTGCTGGTGTCTCTGTGCTCTACCAGGACCAATCACCACTCATCACCACTACTCACCGCTGGTATCGCCGTGTTCTCCCAGCACCCATCCATTGAAGCTGGTGGCATGGATGCCCAGGCGCTCAGCCATCAGGAAACGGAAGCGGGCGGAGTCCAAGTTGGTGCCGCTGCCGATGACACGGTGTTTAGGCAGGCCGCTCAACTTCCATGTCACATAGGTCAGCACGTCCACTAGGGGTAGGGAGAGATGGGGATAGAGTTAGGGATAGGGGTCACAAACACACACGGATTAATACACACTTATCCTTGACGTTAACAAATGACTGCCCATCCCTGCCACCCACTCATCACAGTGCCCTCTCTCTCTCTCTTTCATCTTGTAATGTGGAGTGGTGTGATACTGTAGTAGTTGATAAGGGTGGAATGTTGGGACTGAGTTGGAAAACACAATCTAGGGGATAATGATGGAAACAACTTAGCTTGTGTCCAAGATTTAAATTGTCTGTGTGTGTGTGTGTTTGTGTACCTGGGTTGGACACCACGATAAGGGTGCAGTTGGGGGAGTGTTTGACGATCTGGGGGATGATGTGTTTGAAGATGTTGACGTTCCTCTGGACCAGGTTGAGCCTGCTCTCTCCCTCCTGCTGACGCACGCCAGCGGTCACAACCACGATGCGGGAGTTAGCCGTCACGGCATAGTCTGGACAGAGATGGGGAAAGAGGAATTGAATTAAGAATACATTTTGAAATTTCACATTTAGCAGGAAAAAAAATGTCAAAATGGCAATCAATGAATGGCAATCAACCTTAAACTGGCAAGGACTTGTTTAAAAAAAAGGCTGCATTAGACTTTCAATGGCAAAATACATACATATTCTGCCATTTTGACTCTGAGCCACTCCAGTGGCATACACAAAAAGGGGATTCTCTTACCTTTGTCGGCGACTATCTTAGATGTCTTGAGGAAGAGGCTGCCGTGCTGCAGGTCCATCATCTCTCCCTTCAGCTTATCCTCCATCACATCAACCAGAGCTAGCTCATCAGCCAAGTCCTACAGGAAGGAGGAGGGGGAGGGAGAAGGTAGGGGTGGAGAGGAGGAGAAGGGCCAGAAGGAGAGGAAGGATAGTTTGGTCATGAATACCTGGTATTTACTTAGAAATGACATGGTAAAATCCACAATTACAACTAGTCTACATAATAACTGAGTAGTAACTATTTGTTGGTATCACAATAGTAGTAGTAATTCAGAGGTAAACTCATAGTAAACTCGTACTAATGTACTTGTAAAGTACTTATAACGCAATAGTAAGAGTAGTAATGCAGTTGTAAAGTAGCAGTGATAGTCAGACTTACCCTGAGGAGGACACTGACGGCACAGGCCATGCCCACCATGCCCACCCCCACCACGGTCACCTTGTTCCTAGGGGGCTCAGCGGGGCCGCTGGCCATGGGGGTGATCAACTTCTGCATCACAGACGACATGATCCACGACGCTGGAGGGAGGGAGGGAAGGAAGGAGATAGCGTTTAACCTTTAGTCTAGTTATCAATCAAGGTTCGTCAACTGAAAACTGCTGTGAAAAGCAAGCAAATTGACATTCACCATTGAGCACACTCTTTAGTCCAGGCATAGGCTTAATCTGTGTCTGGGAATCCAACCCAAGGAATCTATTTCTTAAGCCAATCAAACAAACACTACTGTATTTAATTGATTTACTCCAGACTGACTCAAAACCAATATCCTAGTCAGACTTGAGTTCAAATAAATGTAAGTATTTTTAAAGAATGTGGCCAAATCAGCTACTTTTGAAATATCTTAAAGTATTTTTAAATAACTTCCTATAAAAACAGCCTAAACTACTAATTTCCAAATACATTATTTAAAATACCCCAAGGACCAAACAGACCTGGGTTCAAATGCATGGAGTATTTAAATATTTGAAAATGTATTCCAATATTCAACTTCTTGTAGCCTATTTTCAAAGAAAACATATCCAAATACACATTTTGTAGTAATTGAAATAGCCTACACTAAATAGTATTTGAACCTAGGTCTGATCCTAGTGTCTGAGGCCAAGGGTCAGGAAAAACCCTATCCAGGTCTTGTTCTGACACACATTTCCTAACCTTTTGGAAACCATTTTGCATAGTATATAGTGGGTTACATGTCACTTTTCTAAAATGTCCTGCTATTTTCTTGAGCTACTCTAGTGCAGTTAGTGTATATAGCTTGATATACTGTAGCCCAATTTAAGACTAGCAAACTGGCATTCCTTCAAACCATTATTGGTCAACGTGCAGTGCCTTCAGAAAGTATTCAGACCCCTTGACTTTTTCCACATTTTGTTACAGCCTTATTCTAAAATGGATTACCTTTAAAACAAAACTCAATCTACACACAATACCCCATAATGACAAAGCAAAAACTGGTTTAGAAATTTGTGCAAATCTTTAAAAAAAATAAGAAACAGAAATAAATTTACATAAGTATTCAGACCGTTTGCTATGACACTCAAAATTGAGCTCAGGTGCATCCTGTTTCCATTGATCACCCTTGAGATGTTTCTACAACTTGATTGGAGTCCACCTGTGGTAAATTCAATTGATTGGACATGATTTGGAAAGGCACACACACCTGTCTATATAAGGTCTCACGGTTGACGGTGCATGTCAGAGCAAAAACCAAGCCATGAGGTTGAATAAATTGTCCGTAGAGCTCCGAGACAGGATTGTGTCGAGGCACAGATCTGGGGAAGGGTACCAAAACATTTCTGTGGTATTGAAGGTCCCGAAGAACACAGTGGCCTCATTCATTCTTAAAATGGAAGGAGTTTGGAACCACCCACTCTTCCTAGAGCTGGCCGCCATGCCAAAGTGAGCAATCGGGGGAGAAGAGCCTTGGTCAGGGAGTTCGCCAAAAGGCACCTAAAGGACTCAGACCATGAGAAACAAGATTCTCTGGACTGATGAAACAAGATTGAACTCTTTGGCCTGAATGCCAAGCGTCACGTTTGGAAGAAACCTGGCACCATCCCTACGGTGAAGCATGGTGGTTGCAGCATCATGCTGTGGGGATGATTTTCAGCAGCAGGGACTGGGAGACTAGTCAGGATCGAGGGAAAGATGAACGGAGCAAAGTAAAGAGATCCTTGATGAAAACCTGCTCCAGAGAGCTCAGGACCTTAGACTGGGGCGAAGGTTCACCTTCCAACAGGACAACAACCCTAAGCACACAGCCAAGACAACACAGGAGTGGCTTTGGGACAAGTCTCTGAATGTCCTTGAGTGGCCCAGCCAGAGCCCGGACTTGAACCCGATCTAACATCTCTGGAGAGACCTGAAAATAGCTGTGCAGCAACGCTCCCCATCCAACCTGACAGAGCTTGAGAGGATCTTCAGAGAAGAATGGGAGAAACTCCCCAAATACAGGTGTGCCAAGCTTGTAGCATCATACCCAAGAAGACTCAAGGCTGTAATCACTGCCAAAGGTATTTCAACAAAGTACTGAGTAAAGGGTCTGAATACTTATGTAAATGTCATATCAGTTAATTTTTTTATAAAATTAGCAACATTTCTAAAAACCTGTTTTTGCTTTGTCATTATGGGGTACTGTGTGTAGATTGAGTGAAAAAAAAACATTTAATCCATTTTAGAACAAGGCTGTCACGTAACAAAATGTGGAAAAAGTCAAGGGGTCTGAATACTTTCCGTAATGCTTACAAATTGGATCATAACTCTAAAAGTAGCAGAGATCCCACTCTGGAACTTTATATAGCGTGGGAAAAGCCAATCCGGACACACTGTGGACACATTTAAATGTAGGCGTAGACGCATAATGCGTTCGGAATTCCATAATCAGTACTCTATGATCAGAATACTAAAGCTGCATGAACTGTCAAGTCTAGACACGGCGAGAGGGAAACAGAGGTTTGCCCCTGAGGACTGCTTGCCTGGCACAATGTGTTCACCTCGTCAGTCAATCACAGAACAATCCTATAGAAATTGGCTAACAAAATACTAGACAAATGGGTGGATAATGGCCCTATGGCTGGGGTCAGAGAGGATGCCTATTCACTGTGGACTGAAGGGGCAATCCCAAGACACATCATTGTTATGTATACTGAACAAAAATATAAACGCAACATGCAAAAAATTAACGATTTTACTGAGATACAGTTCATATGAGGAAATCAGTCAATTGAAATAAATTAATAGGCACTAATCTATGGATTTCACATTACTGGGAAAAACAGATATGCATCGGTTGGTCACAGATACATTAAATAAATATAAATACATTTTAAAAAGGACCTCACAATGGGCCTCAGGAGCTTGTCACAGTATTTCTGTGAATTCAAATTGCCATCGATAAAACGCAATTGTGTTGGTTGTCCGTAGCTTATGCCTGCCCATACCATAACCCCACCATGATTGCACTCTGTTCACAACAGCAAACCGCTCGTCGCCATACTGCAGCTGTGAGGCTGGTTGGATGTACTGCCAAATTCTCTCAAACGACGTTGGAGGCGGCTTATGGTAGAGAAATTAACATTCAATTCTCTGGCAACAGCTCTGGCAGACATTCCTGCAGTCAGCATGCCAATTGCACGCTCCCTCAAAACATCTGTCACATTGTGTTGTGTGACAAAACTGCACATTTTAGAGTGGACATTTGTCCCCAGCACAAGATTCTCCTGTGTAATGATCATGCTGTTTAATCAGCTTCTTGATATGCCACATTTGTCAGGTGGATGGATTATCTTGGCAAAGGAGAAATGCTCACTAACAGGGATGTAAACATTTGTGCACAACATTTTAGAGAAATAAGCTTTTGTGCCTATGGAACATTTCTGGGATCTTTTATTTCAGCTCATGAAAGACGGGACCAACACTTCACGTTGCGTTTATATTTTTGTTCAGCGTAGCTATAACATAGCATTTCAAATGTGATGTTCTAGTAGCTTATATTAGACCTCTATAGGGCGATTCTACACCAGGAAGGCCCGAAGAAAAATTGGTATCAGATTGTTCTGGCAATTCTCACATAGAAAATTCATTGGGAGGAAGGATGTTTGATATGCTTTCAACATTTATCACAAGCCATTTTTTTGAAAATCATAATGAGAGTTGCCATTTTAGGCCCATACATGCCTCTTGTAAGACCCTATGATCCATGAACCGCACATACAGACATTATACTCCATAGTGTGCTCTTAAATATGGATTTTTCTAGATTCAGACATAAAAAAAAAAAAACGTTTTGATTTTGCTTAGAAATTTTTTGGAACAATGAGCATTTCCATCAAAAAGGACCCATGAGCACCAACATGTGAAGTTCATAGGAGCATATCAAATTGGGTGTCAAATGAAAGATAGGAGTCTATATTTTGGGGAAATGAAAACAGATACATTTTCAACCATTTTCCATCTTAAAAATTAGGCATAAGTAAAGGCTTTGATTTCTGGATAAACAAATGGAAAGGGGTGATAAAACACATCTACCAGAAGAAGTCTGAAGGTATCAGAAATACAGCAACACACAATAATGTACAGTGCTGTGATAAAGTATTTGCCCCCTTTCTAATTTCCACTACTTTTGCATATTTTTGATACTGAATGTTATCAGATCTTCAACCAAAACCTAATATTAGATAAAGGGAACCCGAATTAACAAATAACAATGACATACTTATTTCATAAGCAACACCCAATGCCCCTGTGTGAAAAAGTAATTTCCCCCTTACACTCAATAACTGGTTGTGCCAACTTTAGCTGCAATGACTCCACCCAAACGCTGTAGTTGTTGATCAGTCTCTCACGTCGCTGTGGAGGAATTTTGTCCCACTCTTCCATGCAGAACTGCTTTAACTCAGCCACATTTGGGGGGTTTCAAGCATGAACTGCTAGTTTCAAGTCCTGCCACAACATCTCAATTAGGATTAGGTCTGGACTTTGACTAGGCTATTCCAAAACTTCAATTTTGTTGCTTTTTAGCCATTTTCATGTAGACTTGATTGTGTGTTTTGGATCATTGTCTTGCTGCATGACCCAGCTGCGCTTCAGCTCACAGATGGATGGCCTGACATTCTCTTGTAGAATTCTCTGATACGGAGTAGAATTCATGGGACCCAGCAAGACAATGGGACCCATGTTGTCCAAAAAGTTATACTTTCGACTCATCTGTTCATAGAACATTCTTCCAAGAGTCTTGATGATCATCCAGGTGCTTTTTGGCAAACTTGAGTCAACCTTTTGGAAGAGATGGGTCCCATCATGACTGGCGAAAACCAAAACCAAACACTGCATTCCACAGTAAGAACCTTATACCAACGGTCAAGCATGGTGGTGGTAGTGTGATGGTTTGGGGATTCACACACACACACACACACACACACACACACACATATATATATATATGAAATCATGCAGACAATTACATTGCTAGAAGCCACAATCTGCAAGCTGATCTTCCCCTAAAAAATAAGTCTATAAACATGCCATTTTACAACAAAAAGAGAGATTTGGTTTAAATAAAGTAAACTTCCCCTTTAACCAATCCCAGCCCTCCTTCAGGATTGCACATTCAGCAAACCGCCAACAGAGGGAGTTCCCTTTAAATCAATTTTCCCATTCCCTGTGTTGGTGGTGCTCATGACATTTATCATAATTTAAAAGGTTACAGGGCATGCACTCTGGAAATGTGATGTACTTGTAGAGTATATTGTTTAAAACAATATGTGTTAATATGAACAAAATCAAAAAGGGTACTTGAGATACACAATTTATTCAACATTAAAAATATTAATGTGAAAAATGTATTTCAGAATCTAGACATCCATATTTAGAACACACTAAGGACTCTTTATAATGGGTCCAGTGTGCCTCAGTTGGTAGAGCATGGCGCGCGCTTGGAACGCCAGGGTTGTGGGTTTGATTCCCACGGGGGACCTCTAGCTACGAAAAATGTATGCAGTCACTACTTACTGCAAGTCGCTCTGGATAAGAGAGTTTTCTAAATGACTAAAATGGATAACACCAAGATGTTGTCTGTATCGTGTACGGTTCATAGAAGGCATGTAGTCTAAAAAGGGCTTAAAATTGCCACTTTCATCATGATCTTCTCAAAAATGGTTTAGGATACAAATGTGAAAAGGATATCAAACATACTTCGTCCCAATTAAGTGTCTGTGTGATGATTGCCAGAACAATCTGAGATACCAAAAATATATTCGGGCCTTGCTGGCCTGGAGTCACCCTATAGAGGCCTATTAATACTAATAGGCTTGATCATATAAAAAAATATTGAAGCCTCAAGATGTCGGCCATGCGATAACTGACTTCACAATAGGTAAATTATAATTCCGTATAAAAACGTAGCTATGTCCTTACAGGCCAATGTTTAATACACTTTAGTAATCATATTGACGCAATTGTCCTTCCATCGTCCTTGACCGCCGGATGCTTGTTTGTACTAGTCCGCTGCAAGATGGCAGAAAATCTATAACCTCCACCTCGTTTGTCACATTCCATTAACACTGCACAGTTCAAGCTAATATTAAAGTAGTCAATCATTAACCACGTATACAAATGACACATTCCGTAACACGAGAACTTTGTCATGTTCAAAACCGAGTCGCTCACGAAGCTCAACGAGGAAAAGATGTCCGTTTCCTGTAAAGTGAGCGACATCCACCCCTTTCACTTTTGCGAGAACCGATCGACTAGGTTGTTCTAGGGAGCTAGGCTACCTCGCAAAAACACAGCATGCCATTAGGCTTTGTGTAGCATAGGACTAGACAGCCTACAAACGCGGCAATAGACATTTCTGTATAAAAAAAATGTATGCACTCACTAACTGTAAGTCGCTCTGGATAAGAGCGTCTGCTAAATTAAATGTATTATTTATTTATTCAGCCGTAAAGTCGATCTAAAAAGGTTTTGCAATAGCCCACATCGACTATTCCAAATGTCAATAAATCCCAAACCATGTATGCACATCAATAACATTATTTAGGCTGTTGCAAGCTACAGAATGTATCCAAAAAGTGTGTAGGCCTACGTGCATTTCATAGCATACAGCAAAGTGATGAGTAAGTGCGTCACATGACAGAAGAGAAAATGTATGAAAATTCAAAGCAAACACCGGCCGTAGCTAGATACATACCTTTAGCAGATTTTAAAGAGCGGTTATATCCTTTTTGTTCCAAAGAGGAAGGCGAGTGAAGCAGCGTCGGAAGGCAGGTAGTAAGAGGGCGTGATGACTTCACTTGTGGAGTGCGGGGTTTAAAGTTTTTTTATCAAGAGAAGGAGGAGGATGCATCATAGGGCTTGACCACTGGCTGAGTTTGACACGGGGAGAATCTCAATTGCATACTCCTCGCATCCTCTCGTTTCCTCCTTCTCAAAACCCATTGGAGGAGAAGGTCAGAGGGGATGAACCTCTGGCTTTCTCATCCAATGGGTTTTGAGAAAGCGAGGACTATGAGAGAGGACGCGAGAAGTATGCAATTGAGATTGTGAAATAGACGGTTGGACCAGGTTTTGTCTCGATGAGATAAAGCGTTTGTCAGATTTGACTTGTTTAAAACTAGGAAAGGGTTAGGATTAGCTAAAACAATTTTTAAAAAAATTCTCTTTGACGTTAATTTGACAAAAACCGTATCCCTTCCAGTCGTGACCGTTGGACCACGTTCAACATTTGCACACACACATAAAAGGAAATTAAGGGCTGCTCTTCTGTTATAGCGACGACTACATATAAATACATTAATTCAATTTATCTCCCAAGGACTTAATCTCTGGTTGTTACAAAACGTCATGTGCATGTACTGTATCATCAAGTCTATGCTTTATTATTGTACTGTGTAGGTATATGATAGGCCTATTAAATCAAATCAAAATCAAACGTTATTTGTCACATGCGCCGAATACAACAGGTGTAGACCTTACAGCGAAATGCTTCCTTACAAGCCCTTAACCAACAATGCAGTTTTAAGAAAGAATACCACAAAAAAAACAATATAAAATAATACGAAATAAAAGTAACAAATAATTAAAGCGCAGCAGTAAAAATAACAATAGCGAGGCTATATACAGGGGGTACCGGTACCGAGTCAATGTGTGGGGGCACCGGTTAGTTGAGGTAATTGAGGTAATATGTACATGTAGGTAGAGTTATTAAAGTGACTATGCATAGATAATAAACAGAGAGTAGCAGCAATGCAAATAGTCTGGGTAGCCATTTGATTAGATGTTCAGGAGTCTTATAGCTTGGGGGTAGAAGCTGTTTAGAAGCCTCTTAGACCTAGACCGCTTGTCATGGGGTAGCAGAGAGAACAGTCTATGACTAGGGTGGCTGGAGTCTTTGACCATTTTTAGGGCCTTCCTCTGACACCGCCTGGTATAGAGGTCCTGGATGGCAGGAAGCTTGGCCCCAGTGATGTACTGGGCCGTACGCACTACCCTCTGTAGTGCCTTGCGGTCGGAGGCCAAGCAGTTGCCATACCAGGCAGTGATGCAACCAGTCAGGATGCTCTCGATGGTGCAGCTGTAGAACGTTTGAGGATCTGAGGACCCATGCCAAATCTTTTCAATCTCCTTAGGGGGAATAGGTTTTGTCGTTGCCTCTTCACGACTGTCTTGGTGTACTTGGACCGTTTGTTGGTGATGTGGACACCAACAACTAGGTGTGTCCAAGGGACTTTAATATGAAAAGGAAAACTGTAGGCATATCCAAGGTGTTCAGCACCTACAGAGAGGGAGGGAGGGAAAGAGAGAGAAAGAGAGATGTCATGTTCAAGTTTGCAAGTTTAAAAGCCTATGCTGATTGACAACACGTGATTCTAATATAGGTAGACCTTATTGATAGTAGACTCATAAGCTGCAATGGTCTTAGCTACAGATTGTAACACCAGATAATGTGATTTAACACAAAACAAATGTGGCATCCATTATACTGTGAGTTACAGGTTTGATATTGATTGGTGTAGCACAGAACATTTTCGACCAACCATAGCTTGGCGATACTGTCTTCATCCTCAATTCGTGGAAACAGGAATCTCATCAATGTCTGTGTCCAGTTGCAGGGGGTGCGTTTGATTTTAGAAAATAAAAATAAAAAAATTTGCAAAGCTGTCATCAAGGCAAAGGGTGGCTATTTGAAGAATCTCAAATATAAAATATATTTTGATTTGTTTAACACTTTTTTGGTTACTACATGATTCCATATGTGTTATTTCATAGTTTTGATGTCTTCACTATTATTCTACAATGTAGAAAATAGTCCAAATAAAGAAAAACCGTTGAATGAGTAGGTGTCCAAACTTTTGACTGGTAGTATACATACAGTGCATTCGGAAAGTATTCATACCCCTTGACGTTTTCCACATTTTGTTACTTTACAGCCTTATTCAAAAATTGATAAAATTGTTTTATTTCCTCATCAATCTACACACAATACTCCATAATGACAAAGCAAAAACAGGTTTTAAATGTTTTTTTGCGAATGTATAAAAAAATAAAAAACTGAAATATCACATTTACATAAGTATTCAGACCCTTTACTCAGTACTTTGTTGAAGCACTTTTGGCAGCGACTACAGCCTTGAGTCTTCTTGGGTATGACAATACAAGCTTGGCACACCTATATTTGGGGAGTTTCTCACATTCTTCTGTGCAGATCCTCTCAAGCTCTGTCAGGTTGGATGGGGAGCGTCGCTGCACAGCTATTTTGGATGGAGGCCACTGTGTTCTTGGGGACCTTCAATGCTGCAGAAATGTTTTGGTACCCTTCCCCAAATCTGTGCCTCAACACAATCCTGTCTCGGAGCTCTATGGACAATTCCTTCGACCTCATGGCTTGGTTTTTGCACTGACATGCACTGTCAACTGTGGGTTATTATATAGACAGGTGTGTGCCTATCCAAATCATGTCCAATCAATTGAATTTACCACAGGTGGACTTTAAACAAGTTGTAGAAACATCTCAAGGAAGATAAATGGAAACAGGATGCACCTGAGCTCAATTTCGAGTCTCATAGCAAAGGGCCTGAATACTTATGTAAATAAGCTATTTATGTTTTCATTTGTTTATACATTTGCAAAAATTTCTAAAAACCTGTTTTCACATTGTCATTATGGGGTGTTGTGTGAGGAAAAAAATCAATTTCATCCATTTTAGAATAAGGCTAATCTCAAAAGGATTATCAAAGGTTACAAACTTCGGTAAGATAAAACAACAAAAAGTTATGTTTTTCTGACTATCAAATACTTCCTCTCCACTTCGTGATTTGTCAAAACAACTTGAGTAGCTTTGTTAGGACAACTACAAAAATCAGTTGATTTGACTAAAAGTATAAAGTTCACTCAACAAGTTATTAAATCCAAATTGTCCATTCCAGTTAATTTACTAGGTTGAAGTAACTTTAGATTGAGTTAACTCAACACGAAATCCAGATTGTACTTAAAATTTTTAAGGCAGCCAGGTTACAAACTTTTTAAATTTGACTTAACTTTTTTTTATTTTTCAGTGACATACAGTCAACTGTTGTCATTCCCTCGCAGTGTGATGGGTAAAGGGCATAGTAAGATTATATAATATTACAAGGGTCTCCTATTGTAACTATTGCAACAGGTCCAACGGTCACTTGGTCAACTGGTGAGAGAGGGGTGATGATGTCATGAACCCAGACAGTGCAAAGACAATAGACACTGGTTGTCTCCTATATAGACCACGCCTTGCCGCTAGGATGTTTACTTTGGCTCAGTGCTACATTGTTTGTCCTCCCCTTTGTCATGTTTTAGTGTTCCCAGGTTTTGGGGGATTATGTAGGTGGAGGAAAACATGTCTTTAAATCATGTCATGCATTTTAATGATGACATTTATTAACATAGGCCTATGGTAAATCTACTACATTTCTACTGTACTCTGTACTAGCCTAATGTTTTGGCGTTCCATTTCACTGTGCTCCATTCCACTTTGCTATAATCTATTCCACTGTCCTCCAATAGATTCATTTAACTGATGAGGTAAACTCATGTATCACATACTGTATTAGATGGCTATTCTCCCTCCCTCCTCTCCTGATGTTGCTGCAATACTATGAATCTCACACATGAAGCCGCAGCACCCAATGGGGTTTAAGTCACTCCTACTTTCTCAGCCAATGAGGTGAGAGGACACTGATCCTGTTAAAGACATCCAGTCAGCTGCAGCAAGGGCATTGTTTGGTGAACATGCAAGCAGGTAGTGTGTAGTGTGGTGCACCAAGCTCTCTCCCTTTGTCTCTCTCTATTCCTCTCTCTCTGTCTGTCTTTTTCTGTCTCTCTCCCACCTCTCTCTTTCTCTATCCCTACTTCTCCCTCTCTCCCACCTCTTCTCGCTCACTCCCTCTCTCCCTGTCAGATATCCTTATCATCACACACAAGGTGGGTACATGTGATTACAGGGCACAATGACACACAGAACAGTCCAGTCCCACCATTAACAAGGTCATGAGCGGTAGCAATGCTTGTTGTAATGTGAAGCACTTGAGATTCGGCTTCAATTTATCCCACCAAATATTTGTATAGAAATTTGATGGGAACGGGCAATATGACAGAAAAGTTCAACCTCTGTATGGCAACCTCTGTATGGTAAAAATGCTTTATCTGCCTTCCCAATGAAAACTAGTTTGAAAATTCAAACATATTTTACAGAAAAGAGATGTATGTTTCTGGAAGATGCATCATGCTGCCTTGTTGACAACATGACCGAGCGGCGCAGATTACTCTTCGATTTGAGAAGGGCGTTCCTCCCTCACCACTTTTGCCCGTTCACGTAACGGCCATAGATCGATGCCCCGGGACTCAGCATAATCCAATCCGCCCAATGATAGCCATTGTTCCTCCTCACAATCCCTGAATGTGTATCACACAACTATATCATTACTTGCCATGATCAATTAATCAATCAATGATCAATGAAAAACACTAGTCACATGATACACCTCAAGTTTCCCACACAGTAACTCATTAAATTGCTAGCTACTGCTTTATACTACACATGACAGAGGCCCATGAGGCTCTGGCCTGAGGTTGTTCATTACATAGGAAATAGGGTGCCATTTTGGCTCAGGCTCAGCCCACCCCCTAACTCGGCCCAGCTCTTGTGACACAGGAACACTGGCTACTGTTTCAGAGTGGCCTCCACAAAACCAACACAAGGGCAGAAACACAATGGAGTCGACACACACACACACCTCTGCATGACCGCATACACATTCACACATGCGCACACACAGAGGAAGGATATTAATATGAACTGTTTCCTGTGCTGTCGTCAGCTGTGGTGCAGTCACATCATGAAGAGACGGCAACAAGTTCCAATATCACCAGGGCAGGCTTAGACTATTTCCAATATCCTGTGTTTCAAATGTTTTTCCATAGTACTACATTTGAAGCTTTTCAGGACTTCAGTTTTATCTTCAGTTGCAGTATTAAAACAACATGGAAGATAGAAGTGGGAAAACATTGGCAGGCCTGTCTCTCTGGGGATTGGGAGAACTGCCACTGATGGGCTGCAGCTGTCGCCACCTCAGTAGTCCACAGTGATATATATTAGGGACCAGGGTAAAAATAGCAAACCGAGCTTGTCCCCTCAGCAGCTATCCTTTTAGAGTTTACACCACAGGACGATGTTAACTTGAGGACATGTTATATGTTTATTCTATTTTATTGAGCCATTACTTTATGTTCTTATTCTTATATTGTATTATTTATTATTGTGTATCCTGTACATACGACTAATACAACTTGAAAGGATAGCTAGTTATCTATAGCAGTACTGAGCATCTCTGGAATGTTACGTTGCTTGAGGTGGTAGTTAGTACTTGTTATGTACTTCCCAGGACTAATGGATGAAAGACAAAGTGTAGACATATGATACATTAGGCTACATAACACCACAAGTAATAGAGTTAAGAAATGAATCCGTTACTGACTGATTGAATGAATCGTACCATGATATCAATATCTGTACAGTCATTTCTGAATTTCACACATTTTGGGAGTATATTCCATGCTCATCAACATCCCCCCACTTTAAATAAACCATGTTTTTTTCAAACAGCAGTAGCAGCAGAGTACATCTGAGTCATTACTATTTGAAAGCACACAATGGTTACCGCGTTAGACAGAGGTCACCAAGGGGTCACAGAGAAATGGGAATCCATATCCCATGACCCCACCCCCAACCTCCACAGTCAGCAGTACGCAAACACAACACACATCTAATTTCCTGGAAACATCGCTTCCATTGTGTGTCTGCTGCTTTCAGGGAAGGGAAATGTGAAAACCACATTATTAAGAGCAACCAAATAGATTATAAAGACATGGTTACTGAGTCACAATGCGGTCTGATTAACATTGGGAGGCCGTCGATGTGATGCCTCTTGGGTCCATTAGATTCCCCAGAGCCTCAGGCAGTTCTGCTCACCTCCTAGCCCTGCACCCAAATCACATACTATCAATGCTCATTGCTCAGGCCTCCATTTTACAAAGCAGAATGACGCAGGCAACTTTGTTCTGACAGGATGCATTTTTCATAAATGGGGTGATTCTCTATCCAGAGACAGTCATCAGATAAGAGCATCACTAGGGACAATTATTTTTTTGTATATCACAAAGGAATACAAATGTGATATTCAGGTCATTGTAACCCAACTAAATTCCATTCTGACAAACGCTGTACATAGTATATAGCTCCCTCTAGTGTTTATGTAGAGAACAGAAACAGATCCTGCACTTGTTTCTATTTCTGAGGGTATAGAGGTGCACAGATAATACCCACAAAACCTAGCGGTCAAACAAGGAAATGGTTCCAATTGTTTTTCCACCATTCATTTTCCCCATAGGGAATTTTAGAAACTCTTAAAATAAGGGCTGTGTTTCGTGTAGGCTTACCCTGGCGTGACGTTTTGATAACCATGTACAGTAAATCTCTCCCGGACAAGGTGACTTTTATCAATATAATAATAATATGCCATTTAGCAGACGCTTTTATCCAAAGCGACTTACAGTCATGCGTGCATACATTTTTGTGTATGGGTGGTCCCGGGGATCGAACCCACTACCTTGGCGTTACAAGCGCCGTGCTCTACCAGCTGAGCTACAGAGGACCACAAAAAATATATATATATATTCAGCTCTATTTACTCTCAGATCCCAAAATGCTAATGATATAGAAATTAAATATATACAGGTTAAAAAGTAATTACTAAATGTTCCACCCTTAAATAGAATTGTGAAATGTTCTTATTTTAATTATTAATTAACCAATATTGCATAATGTGATTTAAAAAAATGTGTTGTCATTTTTAGCAGATGCTCTTATCCAGAGCGACTTACATTATTTAAAAAAAAATGTTTTATACCCTTTGGGAATCGAACACACAACCCTGGCGTTGCAAACGCCATGCTCTACCAACTGAGCTACATCCCTGCCGGCCATTCCCTTTCCCTACCCTGGACCAATTGTGCCCGCCCCATAGGTCTCCTGGACGCGGCCGGCATCGACAGAGCCTGGATTCGAACCAGGATCTCTAGTGGCACAGCTAGCACTGCGATGCAGTGCCTTAGACCACTGCGCCACTCAACATTTTCTTCAATATAGGCTTAGACTGTTGTCTCCAGATAGTGGGTAAACAGGTTAGGTACCATTGCTAAGAGCGTCTGCTAAATGACGTAAATGTAAATGTAATGTAAATTGCTAAAGAGTAAAGGTTGCGATTTCGATCATGGGGTTAGAACATAACTGTTTTGGGGAATGAGGAAGTCTAGTCTGAGAAATCAGAATAGCTTATGAAAGAGGATGGAGAGCGAAATTGTTGTTGTTATGTTGTAATATTGTGAAACTAAGTCAGGGAGTGTCTCTCGGGACAAAGAATGTGTGTGTGTATATAATGGTGTTCCTCGTTGTGAGGCCCCAGAATTCTCAATGAATAAATCTCTGACTATGCAGACTGGGACTCTGTCCGTTTCTTAAATCCAAAAGACTTACAACCTTTTGGGAGACGCACAGAGACACTGAAATAGTTTGTTAAATAATTCTCATAACAGCTAATTAGCATCAAAGTAGACATCATGCAAGACTACAAATCCCTGCAAGCTCCTGCACTTCATCTCTAGCTGACGCCTTTAACAGGTATTGTGTCAATTTAAAACTTGCACAAGACATTTAAAGAAATGTATCCAATTTATTTATTACTACATTTAGCTAACATCAGATAGTAAATCCAGCAACTCTTACCTTTGCCTCAATTCGGCAGACTCGTCCAGATCATGGCATTTGTAGTTCTTTATGACAGCCACATTAGCATTTAAAAAAAAAAAAGGGGGGGGGGGTATATACTGGCGAATATATTGACAAGTCACCTTGTTCTAGAGGTTAACACGGTTATCAAAACGTCACGTTTCTAAAATCCCCTATGGAAAAATGATTGGAACCATTTCTTTGTTTGACCGCTAGGTTTTATGGGTACCATGACTCATACTGTGGTACTCTATTCAGTGGTCCATGCGCAGTCTAGGGGAGGTGCAGGTATACTTTTTTTTTGTTTTTAACAAACTCAGTTTGGCTTTAAACTTACTCTTGACAGTTTTAGTAGAATGCACAAGGTACAATTTCAAAATTGGGTAGTGCATCATCAGTTCCTGTTGTCATGTTAGTCATTGCATACCTTAGAGAGCTATTTATAACTTGTCAGAAATGTCCAGATCAACTAGCCCATGTCAGCTAACGTTTTTTTTAGTTTTTTTTGCCCATATTGTAAAAATAAATGTCACTCAAATATCCCTTGAATACACTTTAGACATGGCAAAATGTATAGAATTGCAAGAAATAAACCTGCAACATTCTCTCCACCAACAAGAGGGGTGTGAACAGTTTGTGTCATGAACAGTGCTTGTGCCCATAGAAATAGATGTGGCACACTTAGGGGGGGCGCAAGATGTTCCCAAATGCTGGAAGTGGTCGCCCCCGAGTGAAAACGTTTGGGAACCCCTGCTCTATATCATGTGTCACTCAGTATTGCATGACAGTAATTTCAAGTAATGTAAGTAATTCAAAGCTATTGCCAACTCAAATTTGACTATGACGCCACCCTGAAACAGTCAGGCAGCTTAAAATGTATAGTATACCAATATACCAGTGTTTACCCCAATACCTAAATTATTATTTTAATTGCAGTGGAAAACTTCAAGAAATTAAAACAACCGGACATGTTTTAGAGGGAATCATTTATTTTAATAATTATATAACTAATGACACGATTCGATAAAACCAGACCATGTTTCTACAGTACGTGTATTCTCCCGTACCTCAGTGCAGAGGGGGAACGAACTTGGATCTCTCCCTTCCAGTCTCTTTCTCTTAAATATACATGGGAGGAACAGCCCTGGGCCTGGAGAAGAGGAGCTGCTTTAGGAACATAAATATAGAAAACAGAGCTGTGTGCTGCAGCCAGGGTGGTGAGGTGAGAGTCGAGAGGGGGCCCCGGAGATGAAGTTAGGGGGTTGGAGTGTAGTTGGGTTGTTTGTTTTTTTACTCAGTGAGCCCTAGCTTCTTCTTGAGGGACTCTGGCATCTCAGGGGGAGGGGGACGGGGCAGGCGGAAGTAGACCTTTACGGAATCGTAGATGAACCACTGCAGGGCGGTCAGGGTACCGATCATGATGATACGGGCAACCAGGCCCTTCCACACACCTTAAAAGGGGGAGAGAATGGGAGATGGGATGTTTAGGTGAGGTGTTGGAAGTGTATCAATAAATTACATCTGCTTTTATGTTTCTTTGAGCGGGCCAAACACCCAATGTTGGGCAGTCATACAATGCAAGATTTAAAAGACCATATTCAGTAGACCGACTGTTACAGGACTGTTCCAAAGGGACAAAAACAAGTGTTATCCACCCCCCAGCCTGGCTGCAATGGTGGAACTGAGGGTTGCAGTGCAGCAGTGGCGCTGGGGGGCAGGTAGACTGCTCTCACACACCAATGACTCCAGCACCTCCAACTGTACAGCCAGTAAGACAAGCCCTATGGTTGTCCGCTCACCTTTAGGTCCGAGCTTCTTGAGCACTTGGACGGCGGTGCTGCCACTCTCCTTGTTCAGTACAGACACCACTGAGTCCGCTGGGTGGGACACGATGGCACAGAACACACCAGCTGCAGGGGACAGACAAATCATCAGCACACACTCTTATATAGGTCCATTATATCCAATCAAACAGAAGCCTGGGTCATCTTTGTTCGTCACCAAATGGAAGAAAACTGATTGAAACGGAGGGACAACTACCTGTACATGTCCAATAAGAAACGCTTATTTTCATTTTCCGTTGCAAAACATTTTGCTATGGCGCGCACTAATGAATACGACCTAGGTTTCTCTGGGTAGAAGTTGCCATTAGGCACAGATCTAGGATCATATTACGCTTCCCCCAATCCTAACCTTATTTACAAGGACAACACAATCCTGACTCTAGGTGGGCCACCTTCATCCTATTTCCTGTGGTACTACTGCTCACCGATGTAGCCGGCCGTGAAGGTGACGATCAGCTGCTCTCCCTTGGTGCACTCAGCGCGGGGTTTGGGCACCACGTGTTTGTAGAGCAGCTCCACAGTCCTCTCAAAGCAGGCAAACTTCATCATGGTATAGGGGATCTGCCTCATCCACAGGGGAACCACACCCTTGTAGAACCTGAGAGAAAGGATGGGGTGGGGAGAGAGAAGGAAGAGTGTCAGTTCCATTCAGATTTCTGTTCTCGTCTCTCTGATCAGAAACCATAGGTGAAAGCAATACGGTGGTTACTAACAAGGCACTGACTTTCCCCAGTCCATTTTTCCCCACACAAGAGTGTAAACAATATGAGAACAAACTATGTTAGACTATCAAGGCGCAAACCTGGGAAATACCATTAGGGCCTAGGTGATTGTCTATCCCCCAGCAAAGCTGTACTGGTAGGGTCCCGCCAGTGGAACTGAGGGTTGCCAGTGCAGCTGGGTTGCTGGGAGGCAGGTAGACTGCTCTCACACGCCAATGACTCAAGCACCTCCAACTGTACAGCCAAAAAGCTGCTGAGGGCCTCCAAGCTGGAGCTGCAGCACGCAGAGACAACAGCACCAGCACAGGAGTGCCCTCCAGAGGTGGATCTAAGGAACGTGTTTGTTTGGTAACCTAACAAATCAGCTATGGGGAGCAATAATTAATTACTTTTGCAGGCTTATGTTCCATACCAGCCAAGAAACACCCAAATAATCTAATCAAGTTGAAGCAAATTTGTTCACCTAGTGTAGGAACAAAAGCATACACACCTCGTAGCTGTCCATGAGAAGGGTTGAATACTTTTACAGGTTATACAGCCTCCAAAACAAATATAACACCTCAAACACAAATACAATATCTACTCACGCCCATACTCCCTCCTCTGCGAACATCTTGGGAGCACACTGTCTGAGGTTGTTGGCGTAGCCAGGGCAGGTCTGGATACGCACTTTGCACGCCTCCATGGGGGCCAGGGCAATGTCAGCGAAGAACTCTGCACTGGCAGACGCAGCCAGGTACAGGGATGTCCTCCACAGGTAGGTGTTCTCCTGTTAGATGAGAGGGGGCGAGGTGAGCTGTGGTCCAGTGTGGGCTAGCAACACCAATGTCATGGGTTCAAAGTCACGTACAGTACTTGGATAAAAGCGTCTGCTAATTAGCATGTAATTTACCATTTTTGGTGGGTGAAGTGTCCCTTTAAAACAGTGTAAACCAGGGAATAACACCGTGTTGGTTTCTACCCACATTGGTTCCTACCCCTGACTGACCTCTCCAAGCATGTCGCTGTAGAAGATCTTGAACATCTCATAGAAGCCAAACTTGCAGAGACCCTGCATGGAGTAGCCGATGAAGGTAGGGGCCCAGCCCTTAGCCAGCCCTCGGGCTCCATCCTCCTTCAATGTGAGGGAGAAGCCTTTGCCAATGCTCTTGTACTTGTCAGGGTCCACCTAAGGAAGAAAAACCAATCGATTAGTCGAGGGTCAAGGGAACAATAGGGGTAGACTAGTCTAGAGCCTTATGGGCTGAAATCTAGGTAATTTTATCTAAGGGTTCTAGGCCATGTTTATATCCAAAAAAATAATACTAGCTAGGTTTCAGGTTGTGAACTAGGGGGTTATCCAGGTGAACATTACTACTGATAGCTAGTGATTTACCTGATGGCTGCTAATCTACAGGAAACGTCTGCCCAATCCCAAATCGAGTTTTCCACCCAATTTCTTCCTCATCTATTCAAGTGCATAGGAATTAAGGGTAAATTTGGACTGCAAGGTCTTGAATTGTAATGCCACAATTGTGGAACAATCCCTCTGGGACAATAAAGTTTAAACTAACTTCTTAGGGGTAGATTTGGGATTGGGCACCTTTTCTTACAGGAGCTATGGAGGCCTTCACACAGCAGACAGCTACAGGGGGTACCACAAACCTGGATGCGGCATTTGACAAGGTCGAGGGGTACAACAGCTGTGTGTGTGAGGCCGCAGCTCAGGATACCCCCAAAGCCACACAGGGCATAGTACTTTGTTGAGCCAAACTCACAGCTCACATCTGCAGAGTCTGCAGCAAAATACACAACAATACGTGCACACCATGCAGTCACGACACATGCAACACAGGATAATAATCACCAACAAACATGCCACCATTACATTAGAACACACCAGGGAATGAGTCAGTTCAAATTTCAAACACTTGTGAATCAGGGTTTAGGTCAATTCCTTTTCAATTCAGGAAGTAAACTGACATTCCAATTTACCTCAATGGTTTTCTATGATAATTGCTTACAATTTGAATCAGTTTACAATGCACTTCCTGAATTGAAAAGGAACTGAGCCCAACCCTGCTTGTGATTTTAAATTGACTAACTGATTGTGATTATATACCCATGATTTCTTTCACTCATTGATCAACTAATCATAAGTTAGGGATAAACATCATTGGTTAAAAAAAAAAGAAACGTTGAGAATTCTAACTTGACTCAAATGTCTAACAGCTTTTACTTAAAAAAACGATTTTGTTGAAGCATCAGCTGTATAGTTAGTTGAAATAATACATATAGCCTGCATAAATCGTTTATACTCTATTCACTTTAAAGCTGGAAATAATTCAATTGAGGTGTAAATTACTTGGGCCTTTGGACCTACTTACAGTATAAAGCTATAGGCTACATTCTAGCAATGCATAGCTGCACTTTGATCATGTTATAAATAGCAGGGTGAACATTCTGAACACATTTTTCCATTGTCACTCCTGACCTTCCAGTGACCTACAAGTCCTTTAACTGTGGATTGAGAAGGGGAATGGTAGCAGGCAGGGAGGTTCATTAAACAATAAAACTGGTGATTGTGAATCACACACTTAACATGCGATGTGGGTCATTCTAAAACAATAAAATCAGGTGATCAAGTGGGATAAAACAGGAGGAACAATGACAAACACTCCACCACGACTGCACAAAACAGGGCTGCTTGATACATCCATTCTCCCATGCAAATGAATGCATAAAAATAAGAAAAACAGTGTGTTGGGTTTTAAGTGGCACCAGGCCACAGGGATAGACAGACCTGCATTCTGCATTTGACCAGATCGAGGGGCACTAGGGCTGCGTGTGTGGTGCCACAGCTGATGATGCCACCAAACCCACACAGGAGTAAATACTTCCGTGAGCCGAACTCACAGCTGTCTCCCTCTGAAGAAAGAGTCAGGCAATACTTTCAAAACGGGGACTTGGTGTTGATCATTAGAAAAGTGGTAGTAAGAGCAAGCTGCATCTTCACTAGGCTAAAGGGCAAATGCAAGTGGAGCTTAATTGTGTGTGTCCTGTCCTATGTAGTCTGCATAGGCCTATTTCACAGGTGCAAAGAGCCATGCACAAATAGAACATTTACTCCTTGTGAGGGCAGACTGTTGTGCAACAGGCACTGTACCAGCAGAGCAGACTAGCTGTATAACTAATCAACCAACCAGCACACAGTGTTTATGCTATTTTAAAAAAGGGCACTGGCCAGCAAGCTCTAAAACGAACCAAAAGCCTTACCCAAATATCGTGGTTAAAAAATAGCTAATGTCACCTTCAGAACTAGGCTGGCTAATCCGTGAAAACAAAAAATATTCCATAGAAAAATGTAAAGCAACAATGAAATGTTGTCAGAATATGACTGAGGGGTTGTTGAAGGCCATGCTTTAGGCTACAAAAGGGATAGTATTTCAAGTGATCCTAAATCTTGACAAAACTTGTCAAACGTATCTGAAATGAGAACCAATGAACGTCTAGGGGTCACACGCATATCTTTAGCTGGTTGGTGTGCTAGAAAGCAATACACAGACATTCGCCTAACTTCTACTTTGCCCTTTTAAGTCAGGGGCCTCTCACCTTAGTTTTAAACAGCGATTGGGGGACGAAATTAATTCAGTTCAAACACCTGCAGCATATTTCAAAGTTTACATTTGCCCTTCCATGTCCTCCATAGACAAGGCCTAGCCTGTCTTTGACATTACACATTTCATGACAGTGGCTAGGTACCGTTAAACGTTTGACCAACAAACTGTCATATCCATTAAATAACACATGGTGAATAAAATCGGTATCTCGTCTCATCATTGTCATTGATTCAGCTGGCTGCGTACTTGCTCGCTTGCTAGCTAGCTACTTGCTAACTGCACTTGTTAGCATGCAGAACCTTGATTTACCAGCGATTGTTGCGGCAGCGAGGTTGCGGCTCTGTCCATTTGCGGGAAGGCTCTGTTTGGGCTCCTCGATTTCTTGGAGGGAGAAGAGCGGGGCGTTGAATGGATTAGCCCGGGACAACTGCGTTAGTGTGGTCGGATACATGGTGTCCAAAACCGGGCTGTAGAATGAAAGCGAATGTTAGCAAGCTAGCTCACTACCTTGCTATAGAAACACGATCAGACAGCAGTCAGACAGCTGACACTGACAGGCTCGGAAAGGGGTTGGAATGTCACGTGGGATGTAGCTATAGTTTTACAACCAGACAACGTTGAATGGAAAGGCAAACCGTATTCCATCATGTTATTGTTGGTGCTGGCAGCTATTACTCTCTGGCTAGTTAGCTACATTACGTTAACTAACTAACTTAGCTAGCTCACACTAGTACTAGCTAGTTAGCAGCTGATTAACGTTAGCTAGCTTTCCCAAGGTGGAACGGTTGCGCAACACAAGCCAAGCTACCAAAATAAAACATTCTAAACACAGCATTACAGTAAAGACAAGCTTTCATATTCCATTCTACTCTAACAATGTAAAATCGAATTGTTATGTTAAATATTTCATAGAACTCCACTCACTCGCTCGGTGTCTTAAAATGGCGCCTCCGCTCTATTAACTGACCGCTCACAGGGGCCGAACGACCTCGGGGTAAATCCATTTGTCCTTCCCTGACGTCACGGGGAAAAGTGGGCGAGTCCTTCTGCATACTGTCCTATCAGGGACGATATACGGAATGACAGTGCAGTCAATCAAAATGCGGGGTCTAATCACGAAATAGGATTTTCATAGGCGGACTTTCCTAGGCGGTCAGTGCTATCATAGAAGTACAATGCTAGAATGCTCTTTAAATCGAGTTTTAGGAGAAGTGACAGTGCCACCAACCACATGGAAGACTAAACACATTTGCTGTGCTTGTTGCTTTCTTGTGTTCAAAAACTGCTCAAATGATTTTTGCTGTATCACATTTGTATTCCAGACACTTTAGTTGATACATGATGGAGTGCAGTGTGTGCATGTGTGTGGGAGATAGAGAGGGATTGAGTGGGAGAGAGAGAGGCAATGTAACCATATGTTTCCCATGCCAATAAATTCCTTTGAATTTAATTGAATTGAGGGGGGGGGGGGGGGGGGAGGCAGAGAGAGAGCATGTGGGAGAGAGAGAGAGGTCTGAGGTCTGAGTAAGTAGATTACTATGCCCTGGCAGTCTATTCTTGTCCATGGTAGTAATCTAGGCCTGTGGAGCAGGGCAGTCTTCCATCCCTACAGGTCATCAGTGTCAGGGCAGTCTTGACTTTTGCCACGTTCACATGCTAGTCGGAACTAGGAAACGCTTATATTTCCAACTTGCTATGGTTATAGTTATACACATGCCACGTTCAAGCAGTTAGCAAGTCAGAAATGTCAGAGTTCCGAGTAGCATGTGAACTCGGCATTACACCTTGCGGTACCTAATGTATCCATTGCAGTTTAGCTCAATATTCCTATGAGCTCTTATCAAGAGGACTTCTGAATGATTGGACCAGTTTAATAAATATCAAATAAGAGAGCAGAAACCACAGAGAATGCCTTCATGCCTATACTACAACCTATATTTAACATTCCTTTGGCAATGGTCAGTCAGTAGGTAGCTCAATCCTGCTTCTGACTGACTGTGTGTAGTTGTCTGGGTGAAGTTAAAATTAGCGTCAGGGTCCTATGAGTGCAATAGGTGAAACTATTCCTGGTTTCCACTCTGGGCTAATTAGAGGGTATTCAGTGGGGCCTGTATTTTATCATTGACAGGCTCAACTCCCCCTCTGCAGCTAGAAAGTACTGCAGTGCCTCAAGGCTCCGTTCTCAAACCTCTGCTTTTCATTATCTACATGGTTCCCCTGGGCCAGATCATCCGCCGCCATGGTCTCAACTTCCACTGCTATGCGGATGACACCCAGATTTACATCCACACTAAACCCACCTCTCATCTCTCTCCCCCGTCTCTGATCAACTGCCTCCAGGAAATCAAAACTGGATGACATCCAATCTACTCAAACTCAACAGTAATAAAACAGGTCATGCTGGTGGCTCCCAAGGCTCTCCTCAAGAAAGTGGGTCGACCTCGTAATGTCCATTGAGGGCTGTTCCATCTGCCCATCATCTGAGTTCAGAAACCTGGGTGTCATCCTGGATCCCACGCTCTCCTTTGAGCCCCACTTAAAATAAATCACCAAATATGCCTTCTTCCACCATCAATTGTTACATCACGTCTGGACTAGAGGTCTTCTCAGGTCCAAAACGTTGGACCCGACCGGACCCAATCATTTTTTTAAAGGGGGACCCGGACCTGAACAGACCTGAGAAAAATCTGATCCGAACCCGAATGGACCCGACGACAACCAGACCTAGACCCGACCTGACCTTTATATGTTGGCTAGGCCTTCTATAAGTCAATAAATTCACCTTATTAGCGTAAAATAAATATGCTACAAGCTATGCAGAGCTGTGGTTACATAGACCCGAGACCCGATGACAATCAAACAGGACCCGACCCGGACCCAAGGAAAAAGTTAGAATTTCAGGTTTGGGTGGACCCGTGAAGACCTCTAGTCTGGACTACTGCGGCTCCAGTACGTCCAGAACTCTGCTGCCAGGGTCCTCACACACACCAAACCCTGGGAACACATCACCCCCCACTCTGCACCACCTTCACTGGCTCCCAGTCAAATTCTGCATTACCTACAAGATCTTACTCCTCACCTACAAGGCCCTCCATAGCCTTGGCCCCTCATACCTCTCCGACCTCCTCCATATACACACGCCTTCCCGCTGTCTCCGCTCCTCTGACTCAGAACTACTCACCATCCCTAAAACAAGAATGGGGGACCGGGCATTCAGTACCGCTGAACCCAAATTCTGGAACTCTCTCCCCCCAAGCCACCTGCAACTCTGACTATCACCACCTTCAAAAGCTGACTAAAATTCCACCTATTCAGTCTGGCTTTCCCCTCAACTTAGCTCAGCCCTAGCTTAAGATAAGTAGCTTTTATTTGAATTTTAATAAAGGTTCACAGAGAAGCTGTGAAACCTATTGTTAATCTTATATATATAAACAAAAATCTTGACATGGTCAAATAAATCAAGCATAGATTGGAAACTTTTATATAATTTGGCACAGAAACTAGAGGCCATAAGTAACTCGATCAAAAAGAATGGCACAGATTGGCCTTTAGGTGGTGCTGTTATAAGCAGTCTCACCTAAACCCTCATATCCACCGCCCCGTTTGACCTAAAGACTTGAAACTTTGTATGTAGTTGTTTTTATTCATGCTGAACAAATTTACCTCAAGGACTCATAAGGTCCGTCAGGATAGATTTTCCTCCATCTTGAAAATTTGGGAAAAACTTTGAAAACTTTTAACCATATAACGCCAAATAACACAAAATTCCAGTCCAAATAACATCAAATTCGGTATGTAGGCCCATGGTAAATCTCTTAATCAATAACTCAGCCATCTCTTAACCAATCCCTTAAGTTAATTAGGAAATCAGACTTTGTGTCCATTTAAATCCTCTGTAAATCCACTCCACAACGGCCTATCAACTTCAAACTTTTTAGGGTCATCAAAGACATTACCATGATGAACCATGTTAAGTTTTGCATTGATATCTATGAAAAAAAGGAAACTGTTGACAATGAACTGTTTTCACTATGTAAAACAAATGCTTAAAATAATCATACAAAATCTTCTTCTCATGGACTAAAAGTCAGATTCACTCCAAATGTGTTCTTTGTACTCATCATAATAGTCCTTAAAGAGTTTGAGAAAATAATGTTGATGCATTCACACTATACCAGTATATATGCTAATATGCTAAACATTCTTGCTCCTATGCTTCTTTTCATGAACCATAGGACCAAATGACACCATATTTGGAATGTATGCCCATGGCTAGTCTTAACTTAGTTTGAGAAAAGCTGAGTTAAAAAGGTGGCTGAGTTATTGACAAATCACAGATTTTACGTGTCCATTTAAACCACTGTAAATTTCCTCCATCTGAAACTTGTCATCACTATCATGGACGTCCCTAAGATGAACCACACTGAATTTGGTATTGACATCTCAAAAAACAAGGAAACTATTAACTAATTCTCTGCATTTGTAACGCTAATGCTCAAAATCTGCAATCATCTTTTTCTCATGAACCATGCTTCAGATTCACTCCAGATTTTGTATTTAAACTCATTACATCAGTGTAATGGCTTTGATAATGATTAGTTGCTGCATTCATAGTCGGCCACGCTACAGCACTAGATGGAATCATATCACACCAGGGCTATAAGAACTGAACCGATGGACATGGGGCAATGAAATGTGGTATGTAAACCTTATGTCCCATAGAAGCTGTGTGAATATAAAGTCACTGCAAACTTAGATGGCTGCACCAGACCAATTGGTGACACTATAGATGTCATTGGCACACTGGCGCCATAGGATACTAGAGCAATAACTATTGATCAAGTGGACTTGGTCTAATGCAAATTAATGTTACATTTAAATTATGCAGACGCACAATGTGAAATATCTTTTAGTATATCTGTATAATCACATTTTGTTACCTATTATGTGGTCTGAACGTAGTGAAAAGTAGACCCATTTTGGAAAATTTGAAACCGGAAGTCCTGCCGCTTGCACAGTCAGCGTATTACAGCTGTGAGAGTGTATTGAAGTATTTTGGAACGTTAATGTGGAGTGTACCAACAGATTTAAATCATTTACACTAACAAATATTTACACTAACGCTGAAAATATTTAACTAATCTTAACATAAACCATTAGTCAAATTGACCCCAGAATTGGTATATAAACTCAATACATTAAGTAATGACTTTAAGAATGATTACCTGCTACACTCAAAGATAACCAACCTACAGCACTTGACTTAACTTCACTTGCGTCCTCCTTGTGGTATTGAGAGATAAACTTGGTAATGCTTTCACTGATTGTTTCTACGTGATAGTGCTTTCTTTGTTATCCAACTGATCTTGTTTCCTTTCTTTCATGCTGTGAACCCTGTTCATTGCTGCTCGCAGCTATAGTCGTATTATCCTTGTTTTGTTTTACTCTCTTTGCTGTACAGGGTCCTTGGGTTTTTTGAATGGCGCTTTAAATCCCATGTATTATTATTGTTTCAAGTTTAGTAACAACAAAAAAGTCTGATCCACAATAGACAAATTATCCTTACATATTACAATATCAACAGTTTTATTGAGAGGACATTCCATTATTTATTACAATGAATACATACATTATTAATTAGGCTACATAGACCATTTCAATCAAATAAAAGACAAAAACAAAAAAAACGGTGCGGGGGCATACAAGAGCTATATGTGTACATGAGTTTTAAGAATCCCTGTCACACACACATACCCGCTGTACAGATTGTTAGATCAAGAAAAAACGGATTAAAATTGGTTGAAATTCCTTCAGTCTTTTCCTGACTGTTTTTGCTAATAACTGCATTAGATTTCAATAACAGCATTACAAAAGCAAACTGTGTGAAACACATACCTGACACACACAGGCAATTCTCTCGCACAGACTAAAGGAAATGCAATCATACGACTACACCATGCAGAGAAATAAAACAATAGACCATATAAAGCAAGTTCACATAATTTGGAAGTCATTGTATCGGTGTATGTATGTTATCTGGAGATGAGTGGTGTGACCGGCTTTCTCTCAGCCTCACAGGCTCAGAGATGGGAAAAGGACAAACTGAAACAAACAGAAGACAGTATTGTCATTTCAGAATGAGAAGCGGTGGTCATCTTCAAGGTTCAATATATCATATTGGACATTGTCGTCTTCATGAGGTGTTGATACAGATTAGGCTACCTTACCAGACCATTTAACCAATTATAAGTGACAGAAACAAGGGAAGAAAAAAAAACAAGAATGCCAAGGAAGCGAGGGACAATGACGATGATGAAAATGGTGGCAGTAACATTATGCTGCCAGAGCACCGTCATCCAGCCTTACTTGCTAACCTAACTGTCACTGGTCTGCGTGGAATCGGAGGACCCTCCAAAGGGGGCCATAGCATTGGTCTCCATGGTCTGGTAGACGAAGAATATGAAGCCAGCTACAACGCTGAGGAGCAGCAGCTTCAGCCAGAAAGGCAGGCCACGGGGTGGTGCTACGGCCTTGCCAGCAGGGGGCGTCACTGACGTTACCAGCCTGGTGGAGGGGGGCAGGGTGGTGACTCTGTGGACGGTGGCGGTGCGGCTCTCTGAGTAGGAAGAGTTAGAGGTGGAACGCAGGAGAGTCTCATCTGTCCACAGGTCACCAGACTTTAGGGGCCTGCCGGCTGCACCTCGGATGGGCCGCCGACAGGTTGCGCTAGAGGGATGGGAGAGGAATAAAGTTGAGTTTCATTGTGACATTTCACACATTTGAGTTGCCATCAGGCAAGAATTACTATCAAGCTCTTAACAAATTAGTTACAGGACACTGCTTTATAGGAATGACAAGACTGTGGGTGGCAGTCTGCCAGATATAACAAGGATTTATAAAAGTTTTTGTATGTTGATAGAATAACGTGTGTGTGTCTTACTTGATTCCTGTTGGAGTGTTGGTCTCGTAGGGGAACATCTCCTTGAGGACATCCTTCTCATCCACCCTGCTGGGTGTCTGCTCACCAGCTGCTATCTTCTCCACCTGCAACACACATATTTTAGTACACATTCTTTAAACGTTGAGGCCGACAAGGAGCGATTAGGGTTAGGATGAGACATTGTTCCATTTGCGTGTTACAAAGTCATTGCCAAAACCGCCACATTCAGATAAGGGCTAGAGGGGTATTCTTTTTGGAATAGGCTAGAGGGTGTGTACACCTAAAGACCATTAGGTGGCCCTGTTGCAGTCCTATGCCCATGTGACCACACCAGCAGTAAACCTAAGGCTTGTGACCAACCCATTTGACCACAAACACCATTACCTTGTCTTGTGAATAATACTGCCTTGACAAACGAACCAGCACAGACCCTGGGCGATACATGCATAAGGCATAGCAATGGATTACTTTCGTACCCATGGCTCCTTAGAGATACTGGAGGTGACACTGCCCTGCCCCCTCACTGGGGTGACCGAGGAGAGGAAGGGGGTGTTTTTCTGCTGTTTCCACTTAGGTTGGAGTTCATTTTTAGACTCATGCTGGTCCTGCTGGTTAGAGAGAGTTGCATGCGTGTTAGTGAGAGCCGGGGAGGTTAGAGTCTTCTTTCACTCCCCTCACATCAGCTGTCTTTCATGCAGCTGTCCTAGTACAGGCAGACAGCTGTGCGCCACACACACACACACTACAGTAGCCCCATTCATAATCATCACCCATATGTTTACAACTTTACCATGTCTGAGGAAAAACAGTGAGATCCCTTTCACTCCACAATTAAGTTCCAATTTCCAGGTGCCACCACAACAAACCATTGTGAGGAAAACAGAACTCTATTGAGAACTATTGGACAATATACTGTAAACTGTATACCCGAGTAAAGCGATTGGACAGCATGTCAAACTTGGCAGAGAGAGATGATAGGGATTCCAGTTGTTCCTTCAGGACTTGAGGAGATGGAGATGAGGGGGTGTGTGAGACGTAGCTTACAGGCCTGACGGTGAAGGAGGCAAAGGGGTCACTTCCAGACAAACGAGGTAGTGAGGAAGGCTTGGCTACTAGGAGCGGGCAGACTTCCTGTAGTACCCCCTTTAACATGGAGAGGGTAAGTAACACACTGGATCAGTATCCTATACTAGTAGAGTTTGGCCATCACTTAAACAGGTGCATTTAAAATCCAGTGAGCATTATTACAGTAGTGGGTATAAGAGGACAGTGTGATTAAGATCCTATACCCACCAGAGGCCATTGTTTCAGGGGTCTAATGCTCTGTCCTACTGGAGCATGGACACTTGGTGCAGGTTCCTGAGATTACCAGAAATATGGATTAGAAATATCAGTTATAGAAGAGGTTGGTTGATATCCATACAGACCCAGGAGAGAGCATTGAGCAAATTGTGAACAGATCAAAATCATACAAATCACCCAAAACAGAGTGATGTCACAAGTACTAAAGCAGGTGAGAGATGTCCCAAACCTCCATAAGAGCTATATTGAGTAGGGAGGTTGGCTCATGACTGGGAGCTTTAGTAGTCAGAGTGAGAGGAAGACCACCATCCTCCTCACAGCACAGCTAGAAGTAGAATAGAAGAGAATGGCTTTATTTTTTCACAGAGGGGAAAGACCAGTTGTGGATTTCGGATTATATAAACAATACACACACAAGACTGATACAAACATTATACAAGTCACGAGAACAGATTTTCGAAGTGGATGAAAAGGTCTTTGGTCTTGGTGGCAGAAAAATCTTCCAGGAAGTTCTCCTTACACCAGAGGTCAAACTTGTCCATTGAATTGAAACAGTCGAGGTGTTTTGCTTTGTGCTGCACTCGCCATTTACACATGGTAGGTATTGTTCCGAACCCATCCAAACTCAGTTCGAAGACGATCAAATCAACCAACCATGTTCAGTAAACCAATTCAGGCTGGCGTCAAGATATGCCCATTGGAACAGAACATTGACATGTAGCTCATCCACTTTAATACTGAGACTAGAGACTAGCTAGAACTATCAAATGGGAGCGGTGGGAATACCTTCCATAGTTCCTTAAGTTTTACTCTCAGTCTCCCCCTACTTCCTCTCTTCCTATTTGGTTTCCGCTGTATCTCTTGCCACACCCCTCATTTGGCTTCCTCTAGGGCAGGACGGCCCAACCCTGTTCCTGGAGAGCTACAGTCCTGTAGGTTTTTGCTCCAACCCTAATCTAGCACACCTGATTCTAATAATTAGCAGGTTGATAAGATGAATCAGGTTAGTAACACCTGGGGTTGGAGCGAAAACCTACAGGAGGGTAGCTCTCCAGGAACATGGTTGGGCAACCCCACCCACTCCGCCCAGAGTGAGTGAAAACACGGTTTGGTGATGAACTTTCACTTCCTTATTTTATAAAATACATTTTACCAAGACAAATATGATTCTTCATGTTCTGAATCGTTCAGTGGGGTCTTTCTATAACATAACATCTAACATATCCAAAAAGTTGGATTTCGTAACCTAATACATCCGATAAGCACCGAGCTCCGTTGACAGAGCGCTGCCGCTTTCTCACAGGAACTTTTGAGGATTTTACATGTTGTAGTGGTAGTCTGCAAAGATGTTTCTGCGGGTCGCAAAAAGCTAAATTAGCATGAAACGATACATTTAAAAGGCATTGAAAATAAAATGCATTTCACAGAGATAAGCTTGTTTTTGTGAGAAATCTTCTGTCATGTCTCAAAAATGATATCCATCTCTATATTGTTTTATGTCCTCCGGATTCGAGAAGAAAGATGAGTTCAACAGCGAACCTGTCCGTTTAGCCTCAATTCTCGCACAGCAACCAGCCTAGCTGACTCAATGCTATTTTCCTGGTTATGACCACTTTTTTCTCTGGCCTCCATTGATTTAGTCACCCTAATTTGGGCCATCCGACATAGGTAGAAACGCCAATAACTTTTGAACAGATTATGATAGAGACATGAGGTTTGGACTATGGGTTTTCTTAGAGGAGTATCTACACAATTAACATACCAATTGGTCAAAATATGCGTTTTTGATTGGACACCCTACTTCCTCCATCTGCCTGTTAGCAGGCCAAGAAGATAAATCGTAGACCCCAGCCACCCGAGCCATGGTCTGTTCTCCCCGCTTCCTTCACCCCCCCAACAAACATTTACCATGCCCCCACCCACACCCAATGGACATGTATCATTGTTACAGCGTAAATATATATATATAAATAAAATATATTACTGTTCCATTCACTTCTCACTCCCTCCCTGCTGCTCCCCCTATGGACATTCCCCAACGGACTCTTCCCCTGTCCCCACCACCCAACGGTCATTTATCATTGCTACAGTTGTATATTATTATTGTGTATATTATTATCCATATTTTTCTCTTATAGTCACTTCTCTTTTATTTTATATTTTTAATTTATTTTGACATGCACTGTTATTTCATGAGATTTCACTGTACCCTGCAATTACATCTGCATCCCTGTACATGTGACTAATAAACTCAATCTAATGCCACACCTCACTTCCATCTTGGGACAGACATCCTGATTCTGAAGAAGGCGGCGCTCTCAACTATCTAATTACATAATCTTGTGTCTCCGTAGTTAACGTTAAGTCGCACAGGCGAGAAGCACATCAAAACCAACAAAGTTAGTAAAGTATGCCCACACACAAATGTATACATAAAAATGTAGACTAACAAACCATTGTTAAAATGGAACAAATCATTTATAGTTCCTAGTGATTGACCAAAAGGCTATTTCTATCTCCCAGTAAGTGAGGGAGGCAAGGAAAGCACCTTTCTACTAGTCTGCCTGGGATTGAGGGAGCGGTGGCTCTCCGGACCTCTGTGGCCTTCAGGGACACCGTGGCTGGGGGTCTTGACTGGGGGGCTGCTGGGTTTGCCTTTGGGGACCCAGAGCACAGCAGCATTCACATTCAGGGGGAAGGCTCGGTCAGGGACAGACTGAGGAGGGTTAGACACAGTAGAGACTTTAGAGTACTAGACTAAATAGCCAAAACATCAGGTGGGTGAGTGGCTCTTCAACATTAAGGTTTGGCAATAAGAAAACAAATATATATCCATAATGGCACAGTCCAAAATATCTTACTATGACTATGAGACACCACTGTGACTATGTGCCATGAACACAACAACCATTCATAGCACCAGTGAGTGACAAGTAACCATAGTGAACCCCACCACCTGAGCTGGGAACCTACAGGTACCTGAGTCTGTCTGGGTGAGGGAGACTCAGCCGTGGCTGTTAGAACAACCTCCTGATGGTAAGTCCTAGTCGACTGGGACTGGGCATGGGCTAGGCCCTGCAGTAAGGGAGAGGGCTTAGAGCTTGGCTTGTCTGCCAGTATAGGCTTAGGTTCCTTAGGGACTTCCTGGAACATGACAGACGGGGAGAGCGAGGCGAAGGGAAGTTAAATAGAGGGACTGACAAAGAGATCAGTGGAAAGTTTACTCAGGACATCACAAACCCATATCAATTGATCACAAACCCACCAGAAGCAGAGGTGCCTTGGTCTTTGCCTCTCTGGGAGGGGGAAGAACTACCTCACCAGCTGATAGCTCAGAGACATCCTGGAGCAGGAGGAGGATCATGAGGCGGCGGTGTAATAATGGAGGCAATCAGGCAGCTAGGCTTAAGGTGAGACCTGCCACCTGTGCAGTGTTCATTGGTCTCTCTAGCTGAGGAAGCCACTGACACCAGGTGATGTGGTGAAAGGGAGGACACACCCACCCACACAAGAGTACCTTCCCAAACAAATCCAAACATAACATTCAACAGTGGTTGTAGAGAACCCAGTGAGTGAAGACATAGGTCTATGCCTTACTTTGTGAGACTGCTTAATGCTGCTTAACTAATTGTATACTACATCTCATTTTTTATTTTTTACTTACTTAGGCCTATGTATGCTGCAATTCAGCTTTTAGCTGCAACTGTGTACAATTCCAAATAAACCTTAAATATATAACATGACTAACACCATCCACAAAAAAGGTGATTATCAAGCTGAACACTTCTCCAGTGCACCACAAACCAAGGGAGATGGATAGGTTCAGTGTATATTACAGTATCATCGCTGGCAGGGACCATCTGGTCGACTCCACGAGACGACCTCCTCGATGGTCTCTTTATGTTTAACACAGGATGCTCTTCCTCAAGATCATCATCATCATCATCATCGTCTGGAGCATAGATCTAAACACACACTTTTCTCAGAACACCCGACCTTCCACCTCTTCACGAACACGCCTTATAAAGCCAAGTCCACAACTTCAGTGAGTAAAGTTGGCAGTGCACACACATGTTTTAAAGGGATAGTTTGAGATTTTGGCAATGAAGCCCATCGACTTCCCCAGAGTCAGATGAACTCTGGGATACCATTCTGTCTATGCGTCCAGTATGAAGGAAGTTAGAGGTGCGAGACAATGCTAACTAGAGTTAGCTCATGACTGGAAGCACACAGGAACAGCTAGCTTGAGGTAGTAGATACAGGGCTTCATTTACAAAATCTCAAACCATCCCTTTATAATATCCACAGCTATAATATCCACAGCTTCAGTTGAGTAGGTTACCATCTGGGACGTTCTGAATTTCGACACCAGATGGCACCAACACCTCCCAAAGTATCAAGAAACCAGGAGGAGAAAAGTAAAAGGGCTTAAAAACATTTAAAAAACACTTAAACGATAGGTTTTGTGAAGAAAAAAATATTAAGCAGGGGCTTTTAAGTATGTTCTTGTGAGGAAAGAATGAAAGGGGGATAGAGAGTGTGAAAGAGAGGGAAAATAAATAGTGGCCTTAGAGAAAACAAGCTAATCCAATTCATTCAAGCTCCCCCACGACGCCAGGACAGCGGAGTCACTGACCACCTTCCGGAGACACTTGAAACCCTACCTCTTTAAGGAATACCTGGAATAGTATAAAGCAATCCTTCTACCCCCACCTCCCCCACAAAAAAAAGGAGAAAAAAAGTGGTTGTCCCACTTGCTATCATAAGTTGAATGTACCAATTTGTAAGTCGCTCTGGATAAGAGCATCAACTAAATGATGTAAATGTAAATGTGGCCGGTTGTGAAATCAAAGCCTGCTGCACTAACTCCCAGCAGACAGACACATTTGGTGCTTCGTTTTCCACAGACACGTAACTTCCACCCCTATAAGGTGTCTCATAAAGGACACACCTCCTCTCTCTCAATAATATATTAGAGACAGGTTTAACCGACCCCAGATGTGCCGCTGCGCATCCTATAGCCTCTAATGTGACTACTAATCATTGCCAAATGTGTAGCACTTGGGGACAAATCACAACTTGAGATATGCATGCTATTTAACTCAGATTTCAACACATTCTGTATGGCGAGCTTTGAAGGAATGCAAACCATGAAGTTGGCCTAACGTGAGGATGTGCTTTTGTCCCCTGATTAAATAAAGAGGGACTCACCCGGTTGTGCTGGCTGCTGCGGGTCCTGGTGGTGACTGGGGTCTTCCCTCTGCTTCTGACAGGTCTCTCCACCACGGGGACTGTGACTGGCTCTGGTTCTGGGACTGTCGTCACCTCTAAACACATACACACAATTTCCATCAATGTCATGCTCTGTCATTCAGTCTATTAACCAACCAATCAATCCATGATTCGTATTATCCCAGAGGGCCAATTTGGTTTGCAAGTAGGCATCTCAGAAAAAAAAGATCTCATGTGTAATCTAATGTGTCAACTGCCGAGATGAATCTGATTTGAATCTGTAATAAACCTGGTCTAAGAAAGAGGATGACTGAGTGTTACGTTTCTTACCTTCCTCCTTGTCGCTGTAGCGGTCTGAGTCAGAGTTGCCGTTGTGGTTGCTGTCTACCTGAGTGATGACCATCGGTAGAGTCACGGTCTCAGGAGGACCATGGTCCAACAGCTTCTGGAGCCTTCTCTCATACAGCTTACGGGTTGTGGCTGCCATGACAACAAGACATTCAAATAAATTCAATAGAACTATATTAATCCCTCTTCTCATACAGTTTATGGGTGGAGGCTGCCAAAAGTTCAGACATTTTTCAAATGAATTCAACACAACTGTATTAATAAACTAATGAAGTCTGCAACAATAATGGCCATTATTAAAATAAATTCAATACAACTCTATTAATTCCCTTCTGCAGAAATATAGAAGGCATTATTTGTCTGGACCAAAGAAATTGAACCAATTCGTTTTATTTACATGGACTGGACACAGGAGCACAGCACAATTACATACATATTCCACCTACCATACAATCAACAGGTAATAACAGGCGATTATAGACTCGATAATAACACAGAATGAACCCAATGTTTTCTAAAAACAATGCCTTTTAAAAAGGAACTAGCAGACTGACTGACTCACCCACGATGGGTCCTACGTTGACTCCATACTTGAGCAGCTCGTCCTTCAGGCCCTCACTGGTCAGCTCAGTCACATCCAGGTCCTCCGGCCGAGGCTTGTCTGTTTTCCTCGTGGCTTTCTGTGAAAGAGGGATCACAGAGGTCAGATTGGTGTAACGTGAAGTGTTGAGATCTATAGTCACAGAATTAGCCTACCACCCATCACCGAACGATGACTTGAATGGGAATGCTCGTTCCAGTAATTATATTTCTTTGAGTTCCTTTAATGCACTTCAAATAAAAGGTCTGATTCGATTTGTGCTGCAGCTCACCTAAACACAAATCCAAAGAAGCAAAGCAAAGAAATCCCTGTTGTGCTACTGAACATGCCTGAACATTACAGGGTTTAACATTTGAAATCCACAAACTGGAATGTCCAGATGACCTCTTTGTATTGGTTTTGTAAATCTGCAGTGTGTGTGTGTATGCGGGCGTTGACTGATCTTTAGATTAGTGTATGCTTTACCCAGCTCCCTGGGCTGCTTTAGCAAGCAACACCCCAGATGTTAAACCCCTTAACAGGTTTCTAATCACACACTAATTATCAGCAGAGCTAGTTTAAACGCCATCTCCTGACCTAAACCATCGTGAGATTGATAAACTCTGCTCGTAAAGAAACAAGTCACCGCTTAGATGAATCATCAGAAATATATGTTTGCCTAATGCAAGACATGCATCATATACACTGAGTGTACAAAACATTAAGGACACCTGCTCTTTCAACGACAGACTGACCAGGTGAAGGCTATGATCCCTTATCGATGTCACTTGTTAAATACACTTCAAATCAGTGTAGATGAAGGGGAGGAGAAAGGTTAACAAGGGATTTTTAAGGCTTGAGACATGGATTGGTCTAATGGGCAAGACAAAATATTGAAGTGCCTTTGAACAGGGTGCGGTTGTAGGTGCAAGGCGCACCAGTTTGTGTCAAGAACTGCCACGCTGCTGGGTTTTTGAAGCTCAATAGTTTCCCGTGTTTATCAAGAATGGTCCACCACCCAAAGGACATCCAGCCAACTTGACACAACTGTGGGAAGCATTGAAGTTAACATGGGCCAGCATTCCTGAGGAATGCTTTCGACACCTTGTAGAGTCCATGCCCTGATGAATTGGGGGGGGGGGGGGGGGGGGGGGGTGGGACTGTTTTAACCATAAATAACATAACTATTATTTAGCTTTTCAATGATCATGCAACACCGCACGATTTGATAGACAGCACATCATTGAAATTTGCCAGAGTAGTCTGTTGTGCCTTGTACTTAAAGTAGCAAATGCGCATAAGGTACAGTTGTTTAGCTATCAGGAAGTCCAGAGAATCCGGTCACGCAGCTACTCAGTTTGCTCTTTAGTCTAGAATCTGTTTGTTTGAAGCAAACACACCAGCCATGATAATATAGCACCATCCAATGAGTTTTGGATTCAACTCAATGTAAAAATGGTACTGACGGTAAGACATTTCATTTTATAAAGCATGTCGGCCTAATTTGTTTAGGAATACTCCCCCTCTGATAACAAATTAATGAAATTCCTTAACATCTCTGCCATGGTCAGTTCAACATGTAGGAGTTGGGAATAGTCTGGCTGACTAACTTATAATGATGCAAGCAAAAAAGTGGCAGGAATTGGGAAGTTCTAACTTTTTCTATGGTTCTTGCCACATTCCATTGGAACTCTGCCATGGTTCTCCAGTCCATGGAACATGTGATGGGGTGGGAGTAGTAAGGAGAGAGAGAAAGACCGGGAGAGAATCCCAGACAGACAGAGCGGGATTCAGCAGCTATCATTTTCCCACTAGCCTCTATGAGACTCCTCACTGTAGGCCTCAGTAAAGTTGGAGCTGGATCTCAGCCCAGCTGAGCGCATTTCATTATCACAGCATTCCAATGAAGAAAGGAGGGGGGAGAAAAAAAAGAAAAAAGTTCCAGACTTCCAGTTTGTTCCCTCACTTTTCTTCCTCTCTGTGTCCACACACTCAGCTCATGGCTAGCCCCAAGGACCAGCCAATCCCTGTGCTTTTTGTTTTGCGCTAGGCTACTTGCAGAAGGGTTGTAGACTAGAGGTTTAAATTACATGGAATTAACATTGCATCAATGCATTGCTGAACAATATGGATTAACATAGTTTAGTCAGTCACATGATCGCCTAGATTTTCACAATGCTCTCAGTCAGACTGAGTGGTTGTTTATACTCAGAAATCGTGGCTTGGTGATGTAATAGTGAAACTGACTATTTTGTGTGGCTTTAGGGGTAAACTATAACAAACTGCTAGGCTGTGAATAATGATGATGTGCATATGGTTAATCACCGTTATGGCAGACATACGTTTTCATATCTGTGGTCCTCATGACCGCTGCAAGCGAAAAACTCAATGACAATAAACCATTCAACCTTAGTTGAACTAAACCTCAGGAGAGAAAAACAGTACTGTTCTGAGTGTGCCAGTGGATGTTTGCCTCAAACGCTTCCTAAGCTTAATCAGTAAACTATAATCACACAGACAGACATGCCTGGGAGTCAGGTGACTGTATGAAAACATCAGGAAGAGCACCGCTACGATAGCAATTAAATCTAATGAAAAAAGTACTAGCCTACACACCCCCACTTGTCGCACACAATTCACACAGTTAACCACACACATCTGTGTAGTGATAGTCTGTGCACACATTCCTCTTCCAGGGAAAGTATTTCCTCAATAAAGAGACCAAACCCAGTAGGAAAATAGCTCTATCCACCACACCAGGAGCCTCGATTTCCTTCAATCCCATTTCCTCTTCTTCAATCCCATTTCCTCTTCTTTAATCCCAATTCCAGCACACTCAAAACTCCTTGAAGTTCCTTTTCTCTTCATACATAGGCTACTCCCCCCAACATAAACAAAACGTATCAGGTCCAGCTCCATCCCTTCCATACATTCCACTTGACTCATTTTCAATACTATAGTGACACTAGCTGCTTTAAGCAACGCCGGTGTATTTGCATAAACCATTGTTGCTTCCTATTGTATTGCGATGCATAAAAACAGTCCACGGGAAGTCAAATAAAATTCAATTTCAACTTACTGTATCGGTGGGCAGGACGTTTGGTCATTATAACGGGGAGAATTTGAGACAAAATATCTAAAATAACATATTATTAAAAATACTTTCCAAACGTGGGTCTGTTGTCTTTAGTCTCAAATTCCCCCCCTTCATAATGACAAACCGTCCTGCCCACCAGCACAGTAAGTTGAAATTGAATTTGATTTAACTTCTGGCTTCCCGCTGACTTCTTTTGTGCAACCCAATACAATCGGAAGCAACTCTAGAGTACGTAAATACACCAGTGTTGCTAAAAGCAGCTCTAGTGACACTAGTCTGACTACTACAGACAAGGATAGAATTGGATTGAGAGCCACTAAAAAGGCTCTTTGAGGCAAGCTGCAACCCATCAAGTTTCAGTGTGTTTCTGTGGGCAGAAGACAAAGTGATTGATATTCTCACTGTCCACACCTCTCAATAAATGTCAATGGTTCTATGTATTCCCTAACCTAAAACTGAGCAAATACAGGTGAGGTGACGTTAACCTTACCTCAATGTATGAAGACTAGTGTGAACAACAAAAGTTGTTATCCGTGTGACAGAAAGTCACTTTCATTCAGTCATTCAAGACTGATGCAGGGCGACAAGGTGTGTGCACCTGAATACATTTTTATTTGAAGCACGCATACAATGCATTCCAATTGTGTAGGCCTACTATACAGTACACTAACCATAACGGTCTAAGAACAGCTGTTTCATTCATAAATGCTTTGCTTAGAAAAATCCACAAATATCAGTTAATTAAAGCCGCCCCGCAACTTACCCAAAGAAGAAAGGGGGGCTTGGTGGATTAGGAAAAACACCCAGACTGTTACACATGAAGGTAGCAGGTGTTACCTTGATAATTGACAACACACTGTAGAGTTGAGTTTTAAAAAACTGCCATTCTAGTCTGACATTTCATTAACAGGTACAGTGCCTTCAGAAAGTATTCACACCCCTTGCCTTTTTCCACTATTTGTTGTATTAGAGCCAGAATTTAAAATGGACTAAATTGAGATGTGTCACTGGCCTACAGTTGAAGTCGTAAGTTTACATACACTTAGGTTGGAGTCATTAAAACTTGTTTTTCAACCACTCCACAAATTTCTTGTTAACAAACTTCAGTTTTGGCATGACAGTTAGGACATCTACTTTGTGCATGACACAAGTAATTTTTCCAACAATTGTTTACAGACAGATTATTTCACTTATAATTCACTGTATCACAATTCCAGTGGGTCAGAAGTTTACATACACTAAGTTGACTGTGCCTTTAAACAGCTTGGAAATTCCAGAAAATTATCTCATGGCTTTAGAAGCTTCTGATAGGCTAATCATCATTTGAGTCAATTGGAGGTGTACCTGTGGATGTATTTCAAGGCCTACCTTCAAACTCAGTGCCTCTTTGCTTGATATCATGGGAAAATCTAAATAAATCAGCCAAGACCTCAGAAAAAAATGGTAGACCTCCACAAGTCTGGTTCATCCTTGGGAGCAATTTCCAAACGCCTGAAGGTATCACGTTCATCTGTACAAACAATAGTACGCAAGTATAAACACCATGGGACCAGCCATCATACCGCTCTGTAAGGAGACGCGTTCTGTCTCCTAGAGATGAATGTACTTTGGTGTGAAATGTGCAAATCAATCCCAGAACAATAGCAAAGGACCTTGTGAAGATGCTGGAGGAAACGGGTACAAAAGTAACTATATCCACAGTAAAATGAGTCCTATATCGACATAACCTGAAAGGCCGCTCCGCAAGGAAGTAGCCACTGCTCCAAAACCACCATAAAAAGGCCAGAGTCCAACTGCACATGGGGACAAAGATCTTACTTTTTGGAGAAATGTCCTCTGGTCTGATGAAACAAAAATACAACTGTTTGCCCATAATGACCATCGTTATGTTTGGAGGAAAAAGGGGGCGCTTGCAAGCTATGGAGGACTAAAAGTGCCACAATTAAATAAATAAATACACCATTAAATAATTACTTAAATGTGTCATTAATTAATTAAAATTAGAATTAAATACATAAATGTGTTATTAAATGTGTCATTAATTAATTCAAATACCGATTCATTTTATGTAAAATACATATATAATAATTTCACTATTTACATTTACATTTCATGGTCCTGCGTTGGAGTGCTTCCTGAATTACTTAAAACTGTCAAACTGACCCATCAAAAGTTGGTAGGCGGAACCTAACGCCTGATTGGTTACCCTCTGCATCAAGCCAAGACAAATCAATTCCGGATAATGTCAGCAGGTCCTGCTTCTACATCCTCTGCTAAGTTTAAAATGTCTCTAACCAACTCCCTGGAAAGTTCACGGAGATCCTCCATTGTCTCTATCCAGGTTGGCCTACTCTACTTCAGACCAAAGCAATGGATCAGACTAGATTCGCGTTAGCCCCGCCCACTGACTTTGATGGGTCAGTTTGACAGTTTTAAGTAATTCATGAATCACTGCAATGCAGGATCATGAAATGTAAATGTAAATAGTGAAATAATTATATATGTATTTTACATAAAATGAATCGGTATTTGAATTAATTAATGATACATTTAATTACACATTTATGTATTTAATTCTAATTTTAATTAATTAATGACACATTTAAGTAATTATTTAATGGTGTATTTATTTATTTAATTGTGGCACTTTTAGTCCTCCATAGCAAGCCGAATAACACCATCCCAACTGTGAAGCACGGGGGTGGCAGCATCATGCTGTGGGGGTGCTTTGCAGCAGGAGGGACTGGTGCACTTCACAAAATTGATGGCATCATGAGGAAGGAAAATTATGTGGATATATTGAAGCAACATCTCAAGACATCAGTCAGGAAGTTAAAGCTTGGTCGCAAATGGGTCTTCCAAATGGACAATGACCCCAAGCATACTTCCAAAGTTGTGCCAAAATGGCTTAAGGACAACAAAGTCAAGGTATTGGAGTGGCCATCACCAAGCCCTGACCTCAATCCTATAGAAAATGTGTGGGCAGAACTGAAAAGGTGTGTGCGAGCAAGGAGGCCTACAAACCTGACTCAGTTACACCAGCTCTGTCAGGAGGAATGGGCCAAAATTCACCCAACTTATTGTGGGAAGCTTGAGGAAGGCTACCCGAAACGTTTGATCCAAGTTAAACAATTTAAAGCAATGCTACCAAATACTAATTGAGTGTATGTAAACTTCTGACCCACTGGGAATGTGATGAAAGAAATAAAAGCTGAAATAAATCACTCTACTACTATTCTGACATTTCACATTCTTAAAATAAAGTGGTGATCCTAACTGACCTAAGACAGGGAATTTTTACTAGGATTAAATGTCAGGAATTGTGAAAAACTGAGTTTAAATGTATTTGGCTAAGGTGTATGTAAACTTCCGACTTCAACTGTATATACAAAACCCCATAATGTCAAAGTGGAATTATGTTTTTAGACATTTTTTTAAAAACTCATAAAAAATGAAAAGCTGAAATGTCTTGAGTCAATAAGTATTAAAACCCTTTGTTATGGCAAGCCTAAATAAGTTCAGGAGTAAAACTTAGCTTAACAAGTCACATAATAAGTTACATGGACTGTGTGCAATTATAGTGTTAAACATTTTTTTTATGACTACCTCTCTGTACATTTACATTTTAGTCATTTAGCAGACGCTCTTATCCAGAGCGACTTACAGTTAGCGCATACATTTTTTTATCGAACCCACAACCCTGTACCCTACACATGCAACTATCTGTGAGTTTCCTCAGTCGAGTAGTCAATTTCAAACAGATTCAACCACAAAGACCAGGGAGGTTTTCCAATGCTTCACAAAGAAATGCACCTATTGGTAGATGGGTAAAAATAAAAGAAGCAAACATTGAATATATCGCTTTGAGCATGAATTTATTCATTACAATTTGGATGGTGTATCAATACACCCAGTCACTACAAAGATACAGGCGTCCTTCCTAACTCAGTTGCCGGAGAGGAAGGAAAACACTCAGGGATTTCACCATGAGGCCAATTGTGACTTTAAAACAGTTACAGAGTTTAATGGCTGTGCCTGTGACAACTGAGGATGGATCAACAACATTGTAGTTATTTCACAATACTAACCGAAATGACAGACTGAAAAGAAGGAATCCTGTACAGAATAAAAAACATTCCAAAACATGCATCCTGTTTGCAATAAGGTACTAAAGTAGAACTGCATAAAATGTGACAAAGAAATGTATTTTATGTCCTGAATACCAAGTCTTATGTTTGGGGCAAATCCAACATCACTGAGTACCACTTTTCA